ATGTCACATGCTTAGGAGGAGCCTTGGTGTTCAGTGAACCTTCAAACAGTGGCAGTAGCTGCCATCCTGGTCGTCCCTGTCACTGTTGTCAAGAGGTTGGAGGCAGCGGAGATGGTGGTAAGGAGCACAGTTTCGGAGCCAAACATGTGAATTTGGACACTGGACAGGCTGAACAGCATCCACCCACAGTTCCCATTCTTCTGAGACCTCAGAACGGGATCTTGTTTGGAAATAGAGTCCCGGCTGATGTAAGCAGCTGCGTTAAGATGAGGCCATGCTGGAGTTGGGGGGCCTGTACCCTAACATGTGTGGTGTCCCTACAAGAAGGGATGCAGACAGGGAAGGGAGGGAGGTGACAGCAATGTCTGCACACCCAGGGCCCCGGGGCCACTGACAGCCTAGGCGCTGAGAGAAAGGCCTGGAGCTGTTCTCCCTTGAGCCTTGCAAGAGGGCTGAGATTGGATTTCTGGCCTCTAAGGCTGTGAGCAAATACATTTCCGTGAAAGGCTCCAGCCGCCCCAGAAAACTACTAGAGACATTAAGGTCACTTCTCCCCATGTGGCCTTCCCTGAGGGCATTAACTTCCTTAGGTCTAGGCATTCTTAGTGGACGAGGGGACATGAATAGCACTGAGCTAACCCTGGGAAATAGGAAGCGCTCAGTGCATGCAGGCAGCTGTCATCACCGGTACCACCACGGTCATAAAAACAGCATCAGTGTTGTCATGGACATCAGCCTCACCACCGTCATCCTCATCATCAGCTCCACCACTGCCATCATCAGGGCTGGGTGGAGCTCAGCGGTTGAGCAAGTGCTGAGCACGCAGGAGTCCCTGGGTTCCATCGTTGACACCAAGAAAACATCTCGATCAAATCCTCATTGCCGTAGTTTGAGTGTGTCCCCCACAGGTAACATGCTGGAACTTACATCGCCAGTGAGGTAGAGTTGGGAGGTGGGGCTGATGCGTTTAGGTCATGAGGGCTCCATGCTCGCGAATGGCTGAACACTCTTTTCTTTGGACAATGTTAGTTCTGTGGTATTGGGCTCGTGATCGTGAGGATGGGTATTGTAAATCCAAGCCCAGCCCTCGTGCTGTTTCTCCAGGCTGCTTGCCTCCCCTGCTGCCCTCCTCCGCCCTGTGACACAGAACGGGGCCTTGTCAGAAGCTAACCAGGTGCCCCACGGGATCTGGGACTTCCCAGCCTCCAGAGCCAAGAGCCATATTCTTCATAAATCACCTGGTGTCTGGTATCCTGCTACAGAAATAGGAAATGCATAAGACAGTCCTCACTAACATCAGCATCGGCACCAATACCAACCTCCTCCCCCTCCTCCCTGTGCCCTCTGTGGTCCACAGCAGCGTCAGGAGGGCAGTGTGTCATGATGCAAGGTGGCTGGGGGCTTCATCCGGCTCCACCATTGTCCTGGCTGGAAGGGTGAAAGAGGGAGGAGGAGGCTCAGGTGACCCCGATTGTGGCTGCCCAAACCAGTGTCCTGCTCTGACCTGGGCCCTCAGTCCCCATCCTGCTGGAAGACTTGGCCACTCTGCCCAGAGCTGATGGTGCCATAGGCCACAGGAAGGACAGGAGAATGACAGGAAGTCACCCAGCTCCATCTGTCTCCTGGAGCTGCCGGTGAGGGGTGGCAGGTGGATGCCAGGACAGGTGATGAGAAGCTTCTGCCCATCCAGCCCCTCAGGCATTGTGGAAACTGATCTGGCCTTTTTAGTGATGGCTCTGTCAGCAGCAGATGGCTCCCCAGGCACATCTGGGGACTGTCTGTTCAGAGAGAGAGAAGAAAGTCACAGATGTGCCTGTGTGCACAAGTGTGTGAAAGACCCACTCCTGATTGCATTCTCCGATGTGACCTGGGGCCGATGTGAGGAAGCTCTCACCTCGTTATTGCCAACCCCGTCTCCAGTTGAGTGACAGACACCAATGTCATGGGGTTGTCCTCCCTGGGCCATCTCGGGCCCCCATCCTGTAGTCAGAGTGGCAGGGCCTGCTTCCAGCCTTGAGCACCTGGCTCTGGCCACGCTGTTAGGGGTTTACTCACCTGGTTTCCTGAATCTTCACAGTGCTGCTTCTTGGGGAGGAACAGTGAGGCTCTTCCATGCCTCATTTTACAGATGGGGAAACTGAAGCTTGGGATGGTGAGCTGAGCTCCTGCTGGTCTCATAGCTGGTGCAGGGTGGAGGCTGGAGTCCAGGCAGATCTGGGTGAGGTCAAAGGCTGAAGACTTGCTGCTGAATTTAAGATAAATGAGTTGCTCTAGTTTGGGGAAATGGAAGTGGTGTGGAGGATTGGTACAGGTCAGGGCAGGTGAGGGGGATGAGCTGGGGAGATACAGACCTGAGCAGTGGGTCAGGGCTGGGGATGACTGGTGTGTCCACACTCTGCTTGGTAGTAGGGGGTGTGGTACCCAATAATCCCATGGGTTCCCTGTGGAAGGACTGATATCTGCCGAGTACGGGTGTTTCGTAAGGTGACTGGAATTTGGAATTTCTGAACTAAAAATAGCCCATTCTTAGAGTTCAACCAAGGACTCAATTGAAATATTTCCTAGGAAATCTGATGTCCATGGGACCTTGCAGATTCCCGTGGACCCACTCACATGGCCTGTTGGAATTCTGGCCGTTTCACACACAGAATGCTGGCTCGTGGGCTGGCTGTGACTTCCATTACTGCTGTTGAAAAAAAAACAACCCTTTTTTCACTAGGGAATGATTCAGATATATACAAAGTAACAGAGAGTGCGATGATTCCCTCTACACCCGTTACCCTGCATGATTAGGTGTAGGGAACAGGGAAAGGGAACATTACCAAAATGCCTGCAGTGGGTCCTGGTCTCCTGTGAGCCACTACAACACGAGGCAAATTAAAGAATAAAGGCAAGAAATGAGACTTAGAGAGGAAGCTGGGTTCTGGGCCTGATCAGTGCTGCTCTGGGCAGCAAAGACAATGGGACCCCAAGCTTGCCACTATTTATTGGGTTCATAGGGAGTAACAGATGACTCAGAGGGTGGCAGTAATCCTAAATTGACGAGGATTTTATAATCAGAGAAAGTATCAGATGTCTTGGAAGGTGGTGGTAATCCTACAACCATGAGGATCTTATGCTAATGAGGATCTTAGGTCCATGAGAAGCTTATGTTGATTAGGATGCTAAGATGAGAAAAGACATTCATACAATAGTAGGTGGGATGAGTTAAGGTGATAAGGAATTTGCCCCTCCCCAGGTGAAACCTTTCTCTTACCACTCAGTTCTCAAGAAACCAGGATGTCTTCAGCTGATGTAATCTTGCCTGTGTGTGTCACAGCATCATGGGACCAATGAGGTCTCAGCTGTGACTGGAGGCAAAAATGGAGTTATGTTTAGGCATGTCATAGCCAGCCTATAGGCAAGAAGACTAGGCCTAATCATAATTTAATTATGAAATGATTTTCCCCAAAAATTATATAGCGTGGCTTCCAACACCCAAGTATCTATAAAATCACCCTGCCACACCGGACTTAGCATGCCTACAGTCCTGTATTCCATGAGGTCACCTACAAACTCAGAGGTGCACAGACCCTAGCTGGAGCCCACATGCCAATTGCCACATAGAACATCTCTCTCCCTTGCTGTTTCCTCTGCCCTTGTTGCAATTGGGGAGAATCTGGTTCCAGTTGCTGTCCTCCATCTGCCAGGGGCCTCTCTTCTGCTCTTCAGCTTTTCTCAGTTTCAGCTCCCAAAAGTTGACCAAAATCCAAAAATATGAAATGGAAAATTCCAGAAATTGTTCATAAGTTTTAAATTGCACACCATCCTGTTTGCATGATGAGATCTCACACTGCCCTGCTCTGTCCTACCTGTCCCTGTGTCCATCAGACCTGTGCTTTACATGCTGCCCACCTGTCAGTCACTTAGTAGCTGCCTTGGTTACAGATCGACTTGGTGATCAACTGACAGAGTAGCCATAGTGTTCATGTAACCCCTATTTACTTAATAATGGCCCACAGGACAAGAATAGTGATGGTGGCAATTTTATTACACCGTATTTGTTTGCTTGTTTGTTTGTTTGTTTGTTTGTTTTGGAGAAAGAGTCTCACTAGCCCAGGCTGGCCTTGAGCTCACAGTGATCCTCCTCAGTTTCCAGAGTGCTGGGATGACAGGTGTGCACCACCAGGCCCAGCTACACCATATTGTTACCATTGTTCTATTTTATTATTCATTATTGTTGTTAATCTATGCCTAATTTATAAATTAAACTTTATCACAGGTGCTATGTACATATAGGAAAAAAAACATCATATATGCAGGGGCTGGTACTCTGTGACTTGGGGGCCCGTGGAGATCCTGCTGTGTACTTCTTATGGTCGAGGGGAGACTCCAGAACGTAAATCTGCCGCAGTGGGCTTACCCACTTACTGGCTGGTGGACACGGACTTGCTGCTGGCTTTAGCTCGTGACAATATGACCTCCATGAACACTGGAGTACAAGGCTCCATGTGTGTGTGTGTGTGTGTGTGTGTGTGTGTGTGTGTGTGTGTGTGTGTTTCTCTGCATGAACCTGTCAGTGTGACCTTGCGGGATCGTGAAGCTGGGCACTCTAGAAACTCCACTGCCTTCCAGAGTGCCCAGGCCATTTGCATCTCCCCCTTGATGGATGCTCCTGTGGCTTCACTTCCTGCCCAACACGTCTGGGGCCATCGGGGCACTTTTCCTGGCCACGCTTTTGAACATACCAATGTACGTTTCTGGACCCTTCACTCTTGTTGACCTGCTGGAGTCGGATCCGTGCTGTGTGTTTCAGAGTGGATTCATTTGCATCTCTGTTTCTTTGTCTTTCTTTTTCCCTGAGAGTGGCAGTGGGTGGGGTGTTCTTAGGGGAGTCTCAGCGGGGGACTGCTGCTGGGAAGGAGGGACTGGGCTTGCCCTTTGCGCTGTCTCCGCACTCCCTGGACCTCCCTCCTGGCCCTGGTCTGGGCCCAAGCCCATCTGGGCCTCTGTTCCCACAGATATCGGCCCAGTGACGCTCACTGCAGACCCGGTGGTGTTCCAGAAGGAGCTGAGAGAACTCTACGTGCAGGTGGGCTGGCCCTGGCCCCAGCTGCTGACCCTCCCTGTTGCTCTTCCCAGTCCATGACAGAAACCAAGTCTTTGCCCCAGCTGAGAGTGGAGATGGCGGCCTCCTTCCCCTCATGGCTTCCTCTCAGCTCTGCGGCAGTTTGTGCCCCAGCCTGGGGCCCTGGTGAGCTGTACCGAATGGGCTCCTTCCCTCCTGAGCCCTGTGCCTGGCATCTACAGCTTATTATTTGATGAGTGAATGAAAGGGGAGAGGGAGGAGGCATCTGTACCCAGTGGAGGGCTGAGGAAGCAGGGCCCAGTAAGTCCTCGTGTGGTGAACCAGCAGATCAGGAAGAAGCGTTTACTGAAAACGCCTGTGTGCAAATCCTGCTTCTGCAGGCTGGGAGTGCAAACATGGGTGACAAGGACACAAGCTTTCGTCCCACGGTGGGGCTCTGTCTGCTGGGCAGGGTGGCAGGGGTGCGGTGGATTTGGGGTTGAAGCCAGGGCAGGTTGCAAAGAGGATTTGGAAGGTGGTTTCCAACGCTTTCCTCTTGCCCCGCCCCACCCCGCCCCTTCCTGTCTGCACCTTTGTCCTTCAAGCTTGGCGATGAGGGGCTTCTTGGGGCTCTCTGCTAGCTGTTCCCATGCCCCCCCCAACACTTGTCACACTGGTGATTAGATACTCGGGTGGGGCTTCCTGGTGTCATGTTGGCACCCCTCACTGGAGTCCATGGGATGGGATAGGCATAGGCATGAGAGATGAAGCTTGTGTAAGCTAAAGCAGGCCGACGCTACGCTGTCCTTCTGGAAGGGAGAGGCAGGCACCGGAGCAGAGCCCAGGTCGGGGGTGCCGAGGGACAGGTGGCATGCGGGTCCCCAACTCCCCTTTGTTCTGGAGGTGTCTCTGGGTGTCCCATCCGGAGGAGGCAGGTGGCAGCTGCTGACCCGATCCCTCTCCCCAGGGAGGCGGTGACTGCCCCGAGATGAGCGTGCAGGCCATCCAGGCCGCCGTGGAGGTGGCCAACCCCGGCTCCTTCATCTACGTCTTCTCAGATGCCCGTGCCAAGGACTACCACAGGAAGGACGAGCTGCTGCGCCTCCTGCAGCTGAAGCAGTCGCAGGTGAGCGAGGCCCAGCCCCCGACCCGGGGACCCTGAGTGCAGCTCCCGCCTGCCTGCCGGCCTCACTCCTGGTGAGGCCCATGCCAGCCCCCTCCTGTGCACCCACCCGAGTCTGCCATCTGTCTTCATCACCTCTGCCCCTGGTCCCCGCACCTCATGTGCCCACCCTAGCATCCCAGGGCTCAGAAGAGAGGTCAGGCTTCTCCTTCCTGAAGCCTCCGGGGCTGCTCCAAGATGAGTCTACCTCCATGCCCTGCTTTGCTGTGGATTTTATCTTGTTTATTGAGCACCTCCTGTGTTCCTGTCCCGTATGTGCACTTGTCCTGGCTCGGCTCAGGATCCCCCTGCAGTGGGCACACTCGCATCTTACAGAAGCATCACCCACGCCCAGGAGAGGAGTGACCTTGTCCCTAGCCGCTCCATCCTGGGGCAGGTGGCCGGGCAGTCATGAGGCAGGCCACACACCCATCTTCCAGGTGGTCTTTGTGTTGACCGGGGACTGTGGCAACCGCACCCATCCGGGATACCTAGCCTATGAGGAGATCGCCTCCACCAGCTCGGGGCAGGTGTTCCACCTGGACAAGCAACAGGTGACAGAGGTGAGTGAGGTCGCTGCCCGCGTCCACCCCCTCGGGGGGCTGCCCCTGGTGATCGAACAGCAGTCAGGGTTGAGCAGTGCTGAGTGCCCATCCCTCCCCACGGTGGGCGCAGGAGGCTCTCAGCTGGAGAGGGTTGGTTTTGTCTCACCACACCCCACCCAGCTCAGACAGGTGCTTTGGGTTTCTGGGCCAAAAACTACAGGTACAGAGGCTGGGGCTTAGCTGGGCATGGTGGCTCAGCCTCTAATCTGAGTACTCTGGGAAGCTGAGGCAGGACGCTCTCAAATTCAAACCCAGCATGGTAAGTTTAGGAAGACTCTGGCTCAAAATTAAAAAAAAAAGGGCAAGGGGCTGAAGGTGTAGCTCAGAGCAAAAGCCTTGGGCTCCACCCTAAGGACATTTGGCGGAAGTGCAGGTGTGGGGTTTCTTCCAAGCTTCTCCCCAGAGCCTGGGAAGCCCAGGTGGGTGGAAGAGGCGGAGCCGCCAGAGTCTGTTGCTGGAGGACTCGGCTCTGTGGCTCCAGGGCCCGTACCTGGCCTTCCGCAGGCCTCTCCGGGGCTGCTTTCTCCACACCCAGTCCCCTCCTTCCCAGCTGCCCCGATCCTTCCGGCTGGCTGGTGACCTCTCTGGGCACCTGAGCCCCTGATGTGGATGCAACCTCCCTACCTCACACTGCCTTCAGGGGCCCAGAGCCTCCTACACAGACCTGACGCACAGGCCCCGTCTGCTGTCCCCCAAGTGTGCCTGGACCGCGTCAGGCCCTCTGCCCTCCCGACCTCACTGCTGTGTTCTGCCCTGGCTACTACCCATGGCCTCGCTGTCCTCTGCTGGCTCCTTGTGTCCCCAGTTCCTCCCACCCCAGGGCCTTGGCAAGGGCTGCTGTCCTTCCAGCTCCATCTTGCTGGCTCCTCTGCCCCTCCCACCTTCCCACCGAGGCCACCCTGGACTTCCTGTGTCCATCGAGGCTCCTCATGGCCTCTTTCACCCACGTGTTGCTTTGCATGATTGCCATTTTATGCCTGTGTGAGTAGCAGGTGCCGGGGAAATAGCTGGGGGTGGATGTTGCTCCCTGGAGCCTGAGGAGGGGAAGGTGTGGGGAGGCTGTGCACAGGGCCAGGCTGCTGTGGCCTGAGGGAGAGGTTTCGTGTGCTGCGTATTTGTGAGCTGCTGGCTGCAAGCTCTCTCTCCAGGGCCATGTTTAGATTAGCGTGCCTTAACTCCCCGATGACAGATGGCGTTTACAGTTCCTGCGACACATTCGCTGGCTTTTGGCGTGTCAGGCTCGTCTGGCACTGAGCCCCACGCGAGGGCGTGAGGCATCACACAGCAGGCGGACAGCTTGGTGCTTGCTTTGGGGAGACCTCGCTGACTGCTCAAAACTTCCTGGGAACCTGGGTCCTGCCAGAGGGAGGTCAGATGGGGGGGTGCGGGGGACTGGAGGATGGTTTGCAGGTGGCAAAGCCACCAGCTCTGGTGTGATTCCCCACTTTGTGCCATGGGACCCTGGTGGGCAGTGTGTCTGCCTCGGTGAGACCACCAATGACCTGGACTGGCCGCTCCGGGAGGGGCTGGTTTCGCTCTTCTCTGGACACAGAGCCCTGTCGCTTGTCAGCTTAATGCCTTGGTCCCGGCTCCTTCCAGATGTTCCCAGACATGCAGCAAGCCTGGGAATTCAGCGGGGGTAGCCGGGGCTGCTGTCCTCCCCCAGGAGGGAGAGGAATGTCTTTTGGGGACTCCAGCTGGGAGAAGCTGCCCCTAGAGCTTCTCCAAGCCATGCCGTGCGGTTGGCCTGTGACCCCTTCGGAGCACATCTGGCACTGCAGGAGCGACACGCTCCACACACTGCTCTCTTGCTCCCTGGGCACCTGCGGTGTGCAGCGTGGCTCTAGGTGAGGGGCGGAGGTGACCTCCCATCCAGTGTGGCTCCAGCATGTGCAGCTCTTTCCAGCAGTGGAGGGGCCCCCAGGCCCCAGGAGCCCCCTTTGGGGTCCCAGGGTAATTAAGGGATGGGAAGGTGAGGGCAGGACCAAAGGTCTCAGCATCCTGAGGTAGACGGGGACCATGTCGGAGGCGAGCAGTGTGGCCTCTGGCCCTGTCCCAGAGGTGTGCATTTGGGGTAGAGATTTAGGGAGGACCAAGGGGTGGCACCCCCCGCTCTGTCCAGCACACCCAGCTCAGGCTGCTGTCACTGCCCCAGGGATGTGGAGGGGATGGGGGCCGGGCAGGGGCTGAAGAGCCTGGCACACTCATCATCATTGGTCAGCCTCTGGGGCAGGGAAGTCCCATCTCTTCCAGGAGGCCACTTGCTCTCCTCTGTGCCCCCCGTGTGCCCCCCTCCCCAACTTAGCATGGCCCGTTCTGGGACCCTTTAGGACCCAGCACGGCAGGCACAGATGATGAGCTGCCCTGATTCTGCGTTAGACTAGGGACAGGCGACTGCCTTCTAGGACAGACAGGGCCAGGCTGGGGGCGAGGAGGTTCCTACCAGGTGGCTCTGATTAAGGGACCAGGAGGGGCCTGGAGGTGACCTCATCCTGGGCCCCTCCCAGGGGCAGGCAGTGGTGGAGTGGTTGGGGCCTGGGCTGGGGACAAGACTTGCTGGGCTTCTGAGGGCAATTCTGTCCCTATCTACTGGGGGACCTTGAGCACAAAGTTGGGCACTGCATGCCTCAGTTTCCCCTGTGGGAGGGGATGGCCGGGATGGAAGGAAACAGTCCTGGGTAAGGGTTAGCAAAGGCCAAGCTTCCTGGACTTCTGCAGGGAGCTGCAAAATGCCCCTGGTTCCATGCAAGCCCCCCAGAGAGGAGATTTCTCTAGAAAATACCGGGGCAACTTCTAGGGTGTCCTCCTGGCCAGCACCAGAGCTCAGGACTAGGGTCTCTCCCTGTCACTCCGTGCCAGCCTCCTGGAAACCCAATCTGCGGCACTGAGTCCATCTGGCCTCCTGGTCCCCTTCCTGTTTCCTCAGCTGCCCCGGCTGTCAGGAGTCTTGGGAGCAGTCTCCGGGGATGATTTATGTGCCACGAAGGGCCGAACGGCAGCCATCTGGCCAAGGTAGCAGTGCCAGATTCTTTCATTCCTCCCCCATTAGCGACCAGGAGATGAGCCCGGCGCCAGCTCCCAGGCCCACGGCCGCTAACATCTGGAACCCATTGCCTGCGCCAAATAAACACTGCGCTTGCTTAATGGAGGCCCTGTGCCCGGGAGGCTCCCATCCCACCCCGGAGCCCTGGGGGCTGCACGGGGTCCAGAGGCCTTCCCCCCGCAGGGCCTGGCACAGTGGGTGCTAGCTGGGTCCCAGTACTGTCCGCGGTTCAGTAGCCGGAGCTGCTGAGCATCTTTCTCCATCAGAACAGCCTCGAACAAGCTCGTCATGGCAGTTGCGACACAGTAGCGGGTGTGACTTGACGGGCGGTTGTTGCCTGTGTCTGGCTTCCTCGCCCGGCTGCCTTGCGTGTTACGGTGCCCTCCTGACCGCTGACGGGACCTGGCCCTGGCAAAGGACAGGGGTCACAGAGCTGCTTCTTGGCTGTCAAGGGGCATCGCCCGCCTTGCCTTGCCTCTCTTGGCCTCTCCAGCTGGGGTCCCTTGGCCACAGCTTCCTTCCAGCCCAACCCCACGTGGACCAAGAACCTTGTCTCCATTGCTTTGCTGAGACAGGTGGGACCTTTATGAGAAACACCCTGTTTAGAAATCTAGGCAGAAGCAAGACTGGAGTAGCTCCAGATTTCAAAACACTTTAGTTGTCAGGATACCGAATTCTTATCCTGTGATAATTGAAATCTTACCACATACGTTTCAGCTCAGCACAAACAAAACATATGCATTTTCTAAATCTCAGATGATTCTTCCAATTCCCTTCTTTTTCCCCTTCCCTTCCCTAACATAGAAGACCACATCGCAGGCAGAGCTGGAGGATTTAGATCCAGGATGGCCAATAGATGGCATGCAAGACACCACTGGCTAAGGCTGTACCCGTGGCAGACATTGCTAATCAATCACGGGACTTTTCCTATGGAGGCTGGTGTGGTTTTGCACATCTCCTTCAAACAGCATTCCAGAAAACCACTTCCAGTTAAATGGAATTAGTGAGCAGCTGCACACCACTCTGCTTACTCTTGTTTGTATTAAAGTCATGGCACATTTGTCATTTAAAAATGACTTTTATTTTTTAAATTACTATGAAAAATCTCAAAGATAGAGAATAGCAAAAAGAACATACTTACCAACTAGATGGAACAAGCGTTTTTGATCCACTTGCTTTATCTGTCTGTATACTTTTTTCTTTCTTTTTGAGAAAGGGTCTCACTAAGTCACCAAGTGGCCCAGGCTGTGCTCGATCTTGCCCATCTTCTCTATTGTGACATCTTACACATAAATAATTTAGTTTCCTTTTTCCTTTCTTTGAGTTGAATCTAGAGCCTGTGTATGCTAGGCAAGCACTCTACCATTGAGCTACACCCCTAGGACCTAGCATGGAATTTTTTTTTTTTTGGTACCAGGGATCAAACTCAGGACATTGCACTTGTGAGGCAGGCGGCAGCACTGCTGAGCTAAATCCCCAGCCCTGGAATTTAATTTTTTTAAAAAAAGAGAGTTATTATCCACTATAACCAAAATATTACCAATAAAATCAATCATAGTTTCCTAGTATCTGATACCTGGTCCAAGTTTGCATTTTGATATGTCTTTTTTTTTTTTTTTTGGTACCAGGTATCAAACTCAGGACCTTGAGCTTATACGGCAGGCACCAGAACCACTGAGCTAAATCCCCAGCCCTCGATAAGTTCTTTACAGCAGTTTTTGTGCCATTAAGTCTATCAGATGGCACATATTTTGGTCTGGTTGTTATGTCTAAAAAGTCCACGTGAGTCTGGAACCAGCTGCTCTTCTTTCTGGTGACATAGTTGTTGAAGAGGCATTGACTTGTACCACATCACGTGCCCTGGACTCAGCTGATTGTTTCCTTTTCCCTCTGCCCCTTGTATTCTGCCTACACTGAGTGTGCCCAGGCCTAGGTAGACAACAGCTAGCATTCTGGCAGGAGGAGCTCGTAGTGGTTGCTGTGTGTACTTGCTGTTGGTCCACATCAAGGGACAAATAATGTCTCCTTGTCCTACTGTGGCTGATGAGAGGTTTGATCAGTGGGTGACCGGCAGCTCTCTGCGTCGCGAGGCCCTGTTTCTCTCCCTTTGTGACTCAGGCCATGGAGTGGGGGCAGCGCTGCGGCTGCATGTGGACATCCAGTTCCCCATCAGCCTTTCATATGATGGCTTCGGCCTCCACGGGGAGCCTGGCCTGAAACGATGATTTCATTAGGGGTTGCAAAATAATGATTTCCTACTTGCCTCATTCCTTCCACATTTATTACGGGCTCTCTTCCAGGAAGAGCGTCTGCTCCTCAGAAGGCGTGATCTAGTTTTTCTGTAGTTCAATTCTCACTGGGAAGGCAAGAGCCTCGCTGAGTCCTTTCTCGGGAATTAGGAGGTCACTAGCTGTGGGGACAGGCGAGGTGTTACTGTTTTGAGTTTTCCTTTTTCTGTTTCAAGGCTGTTAGGGCACATGGATTATATAATTCAGTGTGTTTTGATTCTTACTGTCTTTTGGGGCTCAAGTTATCTCAGATTTAGCCAGCAGGAGTGCCTCCGGTTGGTTCCTGGGGCCCTTTCCCGTGTCCTCGTTTGTCTTTGATAGGTTTATGCTTTGTGGAATAACCAGTTCTCCCAGGCTGGCCTCATGAATTCCCTGCCTGAAACCTGGAATTAGCCATTTCTCCAAGGTATTGCAGGGGCAATGTGTTTAGAAACTGAGATAGATATGGGGATTTGTGCACAACACTGCTGGTCCGTCTGTCTGTCTCTCTATCCATCATCTATTGTATCTGTCTACCTATTTATTATAACTATTATGTATCTATCCACCTATCTATCTATCTTATATCTATCATCTATATCTGTTTTTCTATTTATAGATCTACCTGGTTTATTGTGATATTTCCAATTCAAATTTCACGTGGCAGATTTTAAAATTTACTTTATTTGATTGTAAACCTGCAGCTTTCCCTTACATTTTGTTATAAGAGAAAATCTTGAGTCAGAAAATGTTGGCAGTGGCTGAGCATGGTGGCACACACTTATAAACCCCACACTCAGGAGGCTGAGGCAGGACGATCATGAGTTCGAGGCCAGCCTGGGCCACACTGTTAGTTCAAGGCCTGGCTGGAATAGATAGCAAGAGTCTATCTCAAATGAACAAACAAACCAAAAATGAAAAGTTACCATCTTTACTTATTTGAGAGACGTAGTTTCTAAATTGCTATAGATTGTCCTTCCAGCTTCAAACTACTGAGTAAATATTTCTTTGCTTTTTGGTTTATCATCAAATAAACTAAGTAAAAAAACCCTGCAATGTGAAATTTGAATTGGAAATATCAGTATAAACCAGAGAGATAGATAAATAAAAGGAAGGAAAGAAGGAAGGAAGGAAAGAAGGAAGGGGGGAGGAGGGGGGATGCAGGGAAGGGTCTCGGGCAGGCAGTGGGCTGTGGCCTCACTTTTGCTCCTCCCCAGCCAAGCCCTCAGGGGGCCTTGACTGGAGTCACTTAGTTCCGAGCTGGAGAAGCCAAGCAGGGACAGTGTCTGAGTCAGGCTCACAGTAGGAAGGTGGGGAGTTCACCTGGACACTGTGTATGCTGTCTAAAACCTATGTGGGGTGTCACGGCTTGCTGCTAGCTGGGGAGCCGCCCCACGGGGGCCAGACACAACCAGGCACCAGGGATCCTGGCGTCAGTGTCACGTGCATCCCTGCAGGTGCTGAAGTGGGTGGAGTCGGCAATCCAGGCTTCCAAGGTGCACCTGCTGTCCACAGACCACGAGGAGGAGGGCGAGCACACGTGGAGAATCCCTTTCGACCCCAGCCTCAAGGAGGTCACTATCTCCCTGAGCGGGCCAGGGCCTGAGATCGAAGTCCGGGATCCGCTGGGTATGTGCCACTACTCGGCGGGCCTGAGACTGAGCCGGAAACCGGGATGGGACAAAGACCCAGAGCTAGGGTGGCAGGGGCTGAGACCCGGGACTCCAGGACTGATGAGGTGGGGGACACAGTGGAGAAGGGGGGCGGGAGGAAGCAGGAAGGCAGGAATTAAAATAGCAGCCTCCCTCTGGTTGGTCCCTGGGGAGCCTGGGGCCAGCATCTGGTCTGTGGGCTGTGGGCGGGCCCATGGTGGCCCAGGACTGGGCTGGGGACTGAGTGGGACTTGGGGCTTCTGCAGGGAGGATCCTCCAGAAGGACAAGGGCCTCAACGTGCTGCTCAACATTCCCGACTCAGCCAAGGTGGTAGCCTTTAAGCCCAAGCACCCGGGGCTGTGGTCCATCAAGGTAGGAACCCTGCATGTGGGGTGGAGCTGGAGCAGCATCTCCATCCCACCTCCCTGGGGGCTTGGCGAGTGGCAGGGATGTTGGCATAGCAACCCAAGTCAAGGTCCAAGGACAGAGGAGAGTTCTGCTTGCCGAGGAAGTAGAGTGGTTTGGGGCCAGTTTGGGGGCAATGGAGAACTTGGAGAAACCACCTCAGTGTTCCAAGGGCTGTCCAAGCTGGCTAGGGCTCGAACCTGAGGAATGTGCAGAAGAGGCCAGGGTGACTATGGGGGGCCAGCTATGGTCGGTGGATGCTGGAAGCCAGGGCCTGCAGGCTGCATTGGCTCCCAAGCGTCCCAGGCTGGAGCAGGCTGCTGCCTTAGGATGGTTTGAGTACCTGCTGGCTGGGCATTCCCTGGGCGCCTGCTGGGCCCAGGACTGTGGTGGGTGCCAGGTGGAAGGGGAGCACCAACTCCTGCCTTCAGATCTCTGACATCTCTCAGCCCTGAGCCCTAATGCGAGGGGGACGGTGAGGAGGGAGTTAGATGTGCAGGGCGGACAGGGCCTGTAGGTATTGGGGGGCTGAAAGAGAGGTTGGGGTGGTCAGCAGGGCTTGTGCGCCTGTACCTGGGGTCACGTGAGCTGCCTGTGTCCGCAAAGGCGGGAGCTCTGTAGCTGCTGCCGTGGGACCGATGGGCCATGTAACAGGCCTCCTGGCCCGGAGCTGGGTGGTGGAGGCCGCCACTCAGGTGACATGTGGACCTATGCCAGGTCTACAGCAGCGGCCGCCACTCGGTGAGGATCACAGGCATCAGCAACATTGACTTCCGAGCCGGCTTCTCCACCCAGTCTTCTCTGGACCTCAACCACACCATCGAGTGGCCCTTGGAAGGTACGCGCTCGCCACCCTGCAGATAGCGTGACTGGTGGGGACCCTGAAGAGTTGAGGCTCAGCCCTCCTCCCAGTCCATGTGGATGTACCTGGAGGGATCAAAAAATAGGATCAATGTTTAAATTGCAAAGATTTATCACAGTAAAAGGCACATCACAGTGGATCCCTTCCAGTCCTCCCCTTCGCTTGGAACTCACTCATCCCATTGTCCTGACCACTTACTGCAGCTGCTCTGGTGTCCTCTTTCCTGAGTGTCTTTATAAAACAAAACTCAGTGAACACGGCTGCCCAGCACTATCCAATGGAAAGACAGCTCCCCAAAACATGCCGCTGTGTCCTCATCCACCCTACTTACCAGCTCTGGCACTGTGTTTGACTTCTGGCTCCTCCCCAAAGTGAAAATGGCCATGAAAGGTCAATATTTTAAATCGATTCAAGAAATTCAGGCAGCCGAAATAGCACAACTACAGACACTCACGAAAGAGGATTTCCAGAGCTGCTGCAGAAAGTGTCGATGACGATGGGATCAGTGTGTTTGAGGTGAGGGGGAGGATTTTAGGGGGACTGAATAGCAATGTGCCTTTTACTGTAATAAATTTTAAAAATTATGCACATGCTATTCTTCAATCACACCACATAGAGCCATCAGCCCCAGCCCAGGTGATGTGTGACATTTGCCTCCAGAACATCTTCCCAGCCACCAAAGGCCTCCCGGACCCCGAAGTTGTCACTTTTATTACTGCACTCACATGCCTAGGGCGCCCTTAGCTCCCCAGTGACCACGGCACTCATTCAGTGACAGAACAGGTGCCCGTGAGCTGACCGTTCACCACAAAGGAGTGCTGCCTTGCCCTGAAGGGGTGAGTGTCCCGGGGGACCCCTGGACGCCCCCTGGCGGATGGAGGCCGGCATAGCCTGGGGGGACATTGAAGTTGGAGGCACAGTTTTCAACTGGAAGTCATCCCCAGGGACTGAGGGTGCCTGTGGGCCCCAGGCAGCTCCTCCTGGGGAGTCAGGTCCTGTGTAGTCAGAAAATGCCATCCAGCAGCCAGATCAGGGTCCTAACTATAGTTTGGAAAATGTGGTCCCTCGCTGTGCCCTTTCAGAGGGTGGGATCAGCTCAGAAGGGACTGGGAGGGGCTGGGCCCAGGTCAGGACACTCGGGATCACCGAGAGGTGACCCAGGCGGTGTGTGCTGGGCCCTCAAGATTTCCCTTTGTGCCCAGGTCTTCCTGGGGTTTGTCATTCTTTTCATCTCCTCCTGGCTTCCCTGCCAGCACCAGCAGGAGCATCTTCAGCATGAAAAGGGAGCCATGAGCTCATTCTGTGTTTGTTTTGCCAGTAGCAGAAAGCGGGGAGAAGCCAGGAGACAGAGGTCTGCCCTAGACCCAGGACAGTAGAGATTCTGAGGGCAGTGCCGAGCAGAGACTGAACCTGTCCCCGGGGAAGTGGACAAAGGATGATCCCACATGGGACCTTCTTGGGTTTCTGCTTAGGATCAAGATGGGGATGCAAGATGTTTTTTTAAAAGAAGAGAGACAGCAAAGCAACTGCAGATGCTAGATAGTGATGGGTACTTGGCTCAGTGCAGGACATCAGGGCCCGAGGGCTCTGTGGCTAACAGGATGTGGATGTCTCCCCTCGGAGCAGTGCAGGGCAAAGGCCTGTGTCACCGGGGTGGCTTTCCAGGAGTCAGGTCCCCAGAATCCTTATCTGCCTGGGGGTTTCAGCGTCCTCAGAAGACATAGGCGTCTCAAGGGTCCCACCAGTCACACCCACTGGCTGCTGTTGATGATCTTTGAGAGAAAAAATGAACAACTGTCTGAAGGGAGGGTCTTGGCGGAAGTTCCCGGATTATCTAAGGCAATGAAGAAAGTCAAGTCCAGTTCTGTCTCCAGGGACGCTGTGGAAACAGCTGGATTGCCACCAAGACAGGGAAAGAAAGGCAGGCGAAAGCTGAGCAATGGGACAAGTTGGAGTCAGGGAATCCCCAGCTAGGTGTTCGCCTGATCTGGGTCCATTCTTGAAACCGGTCTGAGGGGCTGGGGACGTGACCAGGTCTGCAGAGACGGGCGTGACACAGCCCTAGGAAGCCAAGGTGGATGGGCAGTGGAGTTCAGCACCACGGACAGCAGCAGGCCCCAGGCTCTGTCTCCTACCCCCGCGGGAGCAGGAGCGGGTGGAGAAAGGGAGGGTGTGGGCGCAGGAGGGCCACGCAGGCCGAGAGTCAGCCCAGGCGCCAGCCCTCTTTCTGCTCTCCCCTCCCCCGCAGGCATCCCCATCTCCCTGGTGATCAACTCCACCGGCTTGCAGGCCCCGGGGCACCTTGACTCAGTGGAGCTCTCGCACCACTCGGGGCGGCCCCTCCTGACGCTGCCCACGCAGCCCCTCTCCAATGGGTCCACCCACCAGCTGTGGGGCGGGCCGCCCTTCCACGCCCCCAAGGAGCGCTTCTACCTCAAAGTGAAGGGCAAGGACCACGAGGGGAACTCCCTCCTCCGTGTCTCCGGGGTTTCCTACAGTGGGGTGGCTCCAGGTAAGAGCTCCTGAGTCTCATTTCTTCCTGGATTTCTTCCCTGATTAGACTAGATTAGGAAATGTTTGCTCATTAAGGTTCTGTGGAAAGCTACTCCCTGGCAGGCATTATGCTAAATACCGAGATGCTCCAGATGAGGCTCTCAGTTCAGAGATTTAAAACAAAGTCATCTATTCATCCACCCACCCATTTATTCATCTGTCCATCCATCCATCCATCCATCCATCCATCTTCCTACTCACTTACTTATCTATCCATCCATCTAACCGACCATCTATTCATTTACCCATTGTTTCTCCATCCATCCATTCATCCTCCACCAACATCCATGAACTCAACAGTTGTTTTTTTTTTGGTACTGGGGATCAAACTTGGGTCCTTGCCTTTGTGAGGCAGGTGGCAGAACCACTGAGGTAAATCCCCAGCCCTACTCAACAATTGTTTTTGGTACCCATACATCTGTCCCATCCACCCATTCATCCATCCGTCCATTCATCCTCCACCTATCTCTTTTGTGGTACCCATACATCTGTCAATCTGTCCACCCATCCACCCACCCATCCACCCATCATCCATCCACCCACCCATCATTCATTTCCAGGGTCCACCATGTGCCATTGTGGTGCTGGGCACTGCACACAAGGTAGCAGGCAGGGTGCATACGGGCGCTCACACTTCAGTAATCACAGTCACTGTCGCTCAGGGATACCAGCTCTGGTCACCATTTGAGCACTTCCTATGGGCTAGTCCTGGGCTAAGCTCTTGCAGGGCGCTGGCTCACTACTCGATTGCTGCAACCTTCCGAGGTGTCCCCATTTTATAGATGATGGGGCTCAGGCCAGCTCTCCACATGTGGCATCCTACTGTGGCCATTTACCATCTCACCTTTGCCCATGCTTGTTGGTTCCCACCTGCGAGGTCTGTGTGGTTTCCCAGGTGCCTCTGAGGTCTCACCCCCAGAGGGCAGGGAATGCCTTTCAGGTCCACCCCCGGTCCTGGCAAGAGGGATCTGGGCTCCCTGGCCACCTGGCCTCCTCACAGGGCTTCTCTGTCTTCCTCCTGCCCACTGTCCCCTCTGCTGGAGGTGGGTGCGGCTGACATCCTGGGAATTCTTTGTGAGGGGCCCCAGCAAGGGGCAGTCTGTCCACTTCAGACGGGACACAGGAGAAGGAAGGTGCGTCCCGAGACTCCCATGGTGCACAGGGGCTGTGGCTCCTGGGCCTCTCTATGGCATCCAGGAGGCTGCAGGGAGGACACGGCAGGGGAGAGGACTGTTTTTCTCCCTGGTCTTTCGCACAGATGAGGGAGTCGGGCTTTAGCTCCGGGTTTTGGTCTCTGTCTTGGCTCCAGAAGGATGTGGGCAGAGATTTTTGTTCCCCCCTGCTTTCCAGGACTGAGGATTTGCCTCAAGCAGGGGCCTCTGGGGTTGGGGTGTGGGTGGACCTGGGGTCCCTGGGCCCTTTCAGCCTGTGGAGACGGAGCCTAGTGTCTGGCTGGGGCACGGTGTGTGTGGGTGAGTGGCAGCTGTGGTGACAAGGCTGAGGACGTGGCTGCATGGTCCGACACCCCTGTCCCCCGGGACGTGGCAGACAGCCTACAGCCTGATGTCACTGGCAGCTGCCCTCCCCACCCCAGAGCTCCAAGGAGGTCTGGCATTGTCTCAGCCCCAGAGCATCCCGGCTCCTCCGCGCTGAGCAGCCGTGGCCACAGCCGACCCTGCAGGGAGTTTCTCAGGCCTCCCCAAGGCTGAAGGGAGAGACACTGTCACCCCAAGACCAGCGCCAGGCGAGGGAGCTGGGATGGGGGCTCCCAAGGGGCTCACCATAAGCTGTGAGAGTCCACTGAAGTCATTTGTTTTATCTCAAAAATTCATGTGACTTTTGCATCCACAGCCTTGTGCCAGCACCTGTGGTTACTTTGAAATGAAAAGGTTTTTCCCAGCAGAGATGTGGGGAAAATGGCCCCCCATGCACAGGGGTGCTGGCACTGCCCCACCTGCTCGCCTGGGATCCCCCGTTAGTCTGGAAGCAGGATTCACCCGATGTTGGGACTGGCCCCATGGATGGGATGCAGGGTGGGGAGGGGGCTCCATACCCCCCGTCCCCAAATTGGTGGTCCACGCCTGTACTCCCAGCACTCAGGAGGCTGAGGCAGGAGGACTGCCTTGAGTTTGAGGCCAGCCTAGGCTACATAGCAAGACCCTGTCTCAAAAAACAAAAACACCAATGAAACAAAGAAACAAAAAAACTCCGAAAGGCACTTGAGCCTTCACTGGCGAAACATGTGGGCCACATGTGTGACGCCAATGGCTCCCACACAGCACTCCTCTCCTCCTTCTCAGGACTAACCATGCACTCGGGGCTGGGATTGCCCCATATTGCACAGGTAGAAACTGAGGCTGAGAGGGGCACAGGGATCTGCATTTGGTGACCGCTGAGCGGAGGTGCTGAGGCTTGAGACTCTGGCTCCTGCTCTGACCCAGTGTGTGGCCAGGGTGGGCTGTGGGGTGGGGGGCTCTGAATGCAGATCCTCGCCTGCAGGTGCCCCCCTGGTCAGCATGCCCCCCAGGATCCATGGCTACCGACACCAGCCCCTGCTGGTCTCCTGCTCCGTGCACAGCGCCCTCCCCTTCCGGCTGCAGCTTCACCGTGATGGGGCCCGGCTGGGCGAGGAGAGGCACTTCCTGTGAGTGACCACACCCGGACCCTGGGTCCGGAGAGTGCTCAGGAGTGGGTGGCAGGACAGGGACCTTGGGCTAGGTCTGTGTCGCCCCGGGCAGCCCAACCCGGGGACCTGCAGCATGGCCAGGGTTGGAGGAGTGGGTTCCCAAAGCTCTGATTCCTGCTGGGCTGCAGCCCCAGCCCAGCTGGTCTTCCTTGTCTCCCGGAAAACTCAGCACATGTACGCGGGCTCCAGCTAGGGTGCCAGGGGCAGGAAGCACCTCGGTATGGATGGGAGCCCAAGGTCAGAGAGGGCAAGGACCTTGCTTAGGGTCCCACAGCTTTGTCCTTGGCTGGCTGCCTCTTCTTGCTGAGTACCATGAGGGTCAGGGGCCCCCAGGGCTGGGTGAAGGTGGGGGGCCTGACTGAGGTTACTGTGATTGTGCCCCCTGCTGTTCTCTTTAGGGAGTCGGGGAACAGCAGCTGGGAGATCCCACGGGCTTCCCAGGCCGAGGAGGGAAGCTACGAGTGCACAGCGGTCAGCAAGGCTGGGACCGGACGGGCCAGGGCCCAAATTGTTGTCACAGGTCTGTCCCTTGGGCCCTCTGTGTACCGTCCTCCCCCTCTGCCTGGCTCTTCCACCTGTGATTCCTCCCCAGGAGTCTCCGTCCAGCGGCTGGGGACTGTCCCTTACCCAGAGCGGCTGTTTGTGCTGCCACCCGCATGCTGGCTCTGGCACTGTGTCACCCTGTGGTGGCCTGAGGGTCTCAGCTGTGGAAAGGTCAGGGACTCTAGCTCTTGGTCTGGACTTCAGGGCAGCTGCAGGTCATCTCAGGGGCCACTGTCCCGTTAGAGTCCCCATCCCAGATGAAAAATTCCATCAACCATCTCAAAATGAGATTGGCCTTGTTTGTTTTTATTAAATCTCAAACCTAAGCTGTCTTGGAGAGAAGCCTGATTGAACAACTTTACATTCTATTCTAACAAATTACATGTTCCCTGTAGGAAGGCTGGAAAACCATAGACAACCATAAAAGAAGATCAAAGCCACTTGTAATCCTACCACCCAGCATTCGATTTACTTCCTTTCAGCCCTTTCCATGTGTGCATTTTAACAAAGAGGGAATAATATCATAGATGCTTTCAGTGACCTGATTCTTGGCCATCCAACAATACAGCAAGCCAGCATCTCCGCTTCTGGGATTTTGGAAATGAGGCTGGAAAGTCGAACACTTTGAGGAACTGGGGTGTTCATTTAGTCATATTTGCTGTATCTCCTGTCTGCTAAGATATTTAAAACTCAATAATAATCATCCTGACATCACATTCGTATCTCTAGAAAAAGTAGTTTGTCTCTTATAGTAATCAAGCTTCCTTGATCACATCTAGCAAAGTGAACAGTAATGCCTGAATTGTACTTAACTTTGTCCATAGTAAGATTTCCCCGTTTGTCCCAGAATGTCAGTCACATCCTTTCTGTGACCGCAGAGCTGGCTGCGTGGGCATCGCACACAGGCGTGTGGGACCTGTTTGGGTTCAGCTCCCCCTGCCGGGTTGCAGCCCCCCCGCGCTATGTCAGGCGGTCTCTGACCTTGTCACTCCTTCTGGCTTTCTGCTGCCCACACAGTGGTTTAGTTAGCTCTTCGTAGCTCCTTTGGGACAGTGGTCTTATTTCTCAACTTCAGCTGCTCTAAATAGCTCTGCCATGGGGACAGAGGATGGTTTGGAGCGAACCATATTCTCTCTTTCCGAGCCGGCTGTTTCCAAGCTTATTCCCCAGGGGGAGTTCTCTGCTCTAAGGGTGTGAAGAGCACATGGGGCTTGTTAATCTTGCACTTGGCTGTCATTTGGAAAACACACGTGCACGCACGCTCTGCAGCCCCACCAGGGTGTGACAGCCAGCAGCGGGGACGCGAGTTCTCCTGCATCTCCGGATGGTGAGCAGATGCTGCCTAAGTGCTTTGCTGGCTGACAAGTGTCCCAAGAGACAGGGGATGAGGATCCCCGCCCTGCCCCTCAGTCCCTCCTGTTATTCTGTCTCCACAGACCCTCCGCCACAGCTGGTCCCTGCCCCCAATGTGACTGTGTCCCCGGGGGAGACCGCCATCCTAACCTGCCAGGTCCTAGGTGACGCCCCCTACAATCTGACGTGGGTTCGGGACTGGCGAGTCCTGCCTGCCTCAACAGACCGAGCTACCCAGCTAGCCAATCTGTCCCTGGCGATCGGTGGAGTTGTCCCCAGTGACAGCGGGCAGTACCAGTGTGTGGTCAGCAACACAAACGGGGCCACGAGGGCATCCACCTGGCTCCTGGTGCGAGGTGAGGCACTTCCTGATGTTGCCCCCAGCCCTCTACTTAGCATCTACCCCAAAGTGCATCCACCTGTCCTCCACCCGGATATTGTCCCTGCCAAGGGTAGTAGCCCTTCCTGTGTGTTCTGAAACTTCAGGCAAAGATGACTCTGTAGCCTCCTCATCAAACCCTAGTGATTCCTGCTGCTGGGAAGGCCCTCCTCATATCTACCCCAAGTGTCTGTTGCTGTAAGCAAAGCCGGTCTCCCTGTGTCCTGTCCTATGCCCTGTGTCCAGTGCCCTCCATCGTCAACATTTTCCTCTCCAATAGTAGGGCAGGGACTGAGTCCTGGAGATTGGCAGTGGCATGTGGGTGGCACACTGGGGGGCACTGCTAGAAGGGAGCAGAGGAGGCAGCAGAAAGAGCAGCCATCTGGAGTCCAGAGACCTGGATGTGGCCAAGTCTGCCACAGGATGCTATCTCACCAAGTGTGAAAATGGGCAACTTACCACGTATCTTTTCTTGTGCTAGCAAAGCTGGGTCAGCTGCCTGGAGTGGGTTGAGCAGACTCAGAGGCCCGATTCGCTCGGCAGGCAGGAGATCTGTTAGTTATGTCTTTCCAGCCTTTGTAGATAGCTCACTGCCACTCTGAACAACCCATGGGCCGGGATGGAACCTCAGCTTATGGCCAATTTAGGGCGGGCCTTGGGGACCACCTCAAGGTCCCTGGAGACAAGATCCACCCAGCCGTGGCAGCTGCCCGATGTCCTCTGTGAGGTCTCCCAGCAACACTCTGGGGTGACTCCGGGAGGCCATTTGGTCTACCCAGTGCCCGGGCAGCTGTGTGGCAGTCCAGTCCCTTCTGGGCCTTGGCTCCGTCTGCCCCCCATCTGTGGCTGCAGGGAGAGGAAGGGTTCCGGGATGGCCCTGATGGCCCCACCCCACTGTCCCCTCTCTGGGCTGCAGAAGCGCCACAAGTGAGCATCGACAACAGGTCCCAGCGCTTCTCCCAGGGTGTGGAGGTGAAGATCAGCTGCTCAGCCTCGGGGTACCCCACACCCCACCTCTCCTGGAGCCGTGAGGGCCTCGCCCTGCAAGAGGACAGCAGGTGAGAGCCCAGGACACACTCCGGGGCTGCAGCAGGCAGGTGAGGTCTCCAGGGGCTGCATAGGGGGAGGGGCACTGCTCTGCCTTTCTCTGGGGTCACCTGAGGCTCAGGAGTGACCTCTCTCTGGAAGCCTAACAATGTCCCCGTGTGGCGTTCGTGATCAGGAGCCACCTGTGCTCAGATCCTGCTTCTCCTGTTGAGGCTATGTGACCTTGGGCAGGTTGTCTTACCTCTCTGAATCTCGTGGATGAAATGACTACATACATACAGTGCTTAGCCAGCAACCCAGAGTAAGCCATCAGTGCAGAACGGCAGTCACCAGTGAGGTTGAATAATTTTATTAATGATGACCGTGGAGCCAGCCTTGTATGACCTGACATGTTTTTCTGGCATGACTCCAGAATCCACATGGATCCCCCAGGAACCCTAATCATTCAGGGGCTAGCCCCAGAGGATGCTGGGAATTACACCTGCGTGGCTGCTAATGAAGTGGGCACAGACGAGGAGACTGTCACCCTGTACTATACAGGTACTCGGGCCACGGCATCTGCAGGAGGGACCCTGGCCTGCCACACGTATTTATTGACCATCTAGAGACTTATATTCTGGTGGGGAGGCAGGAAACAACAGATGAAGGTGCTTCCGAGGAGGAGGAGGAGGTGCCGTGACCAGGCCGGGCCGGCGCGATGTGAGGGAAGGTGTGGAGGAGAGCTGGGTGGTCTAACCGCCCCTCTGCCCACAGATGCCCCATCAGTGTCTGCCCTGCAAGCCGTGGTGCTCGCCGCTGTCGGGGAGGAGGCTGTGCTGGGGTGTGCGGCATCAGGGGTGCCCCCGCCCCGGGTTGTCTGGTATCGAGGTGAGTGGCGGTGGGCAGAGGGGCTGGGATCAGCTTCTGGCTCTGGGTGGGGGCTTCGCAGGGAGGTCTGGGGACAGCCCGTGGACCCCAGCGTCTGCCATGCCCCTCAGCGCCAGCTCCACACAGCCAGCACTGCCTTGACCCTGGGTTTGAATTCTGGCTCCCCCGGGTGACCTTGGCAAGTGACTTGGTGTCTGTGAGCCTCAATTTCCAACTCTGGAAAATGGGGAAATCGGAGCTGTGGCTGTGTGGGATGAAGGGTTTGAAAACGGGCTGTGCTCGGTGTTCTCCAGTGACGGTGACCGTGCCGTGACTGGAGGAATGGAGGAGAAAGAATGGGGTCGCTCTGGCCCTGGGGGAGGCTGTAGAGGCTTCTCCCAGCACCCTGTACCCAGCTGGGGCTCGCCAGGGCCAGCCGGGTCCCCACCAGCCCCTCGGCCCGGGACCTCTGTACCAGGAGCACCTGAGCCAGGCCTGGCAGAGCCTCAGGCTGACCAAGGCGGGGTGGGGTGGGGGGAACAGGCTCTGTCCTGGTCGGGGTGGCAGAGGTGTCCGGGCTCCTAGCTCAGCATTCCCAACACTGTGTGTCTGGTCAGAGCCTCGGGCCAGCCCAGAGCCCCCCTTTTTAATTAATTAGTTAATTTTTATGGCACTGGGGATTGAACCCAGAGCCTTCACATTGAGCTGCGTCTCCAGCTCCTGTTTTATATTTTCAGATGGGATCTCACTAAGTTGCTAAGTTGACCAGGCTGGGCTCAGTCTTGTGATTGTCCTGCCTCAGCCTCCCAGAGTGCTGGAATTACAGGCATACACCACCACACCTGGCCCCTAGAGGCCCTTTTATTCTTTTTTTTTTTTTTTTGGTACTGGGGATCGAACTTAGGTCCTTGCGCTTGCACAGCAGGTGGTGAAACCACTGAGCTAAATCCCGGCCCAAGGCCCTTTTAAAAAGGGGGGTCTTACAATGGAATATTCTTCAACCTTAAGAAGGAATAAAATTCTTGCCTGTTATCCTAGCATTCTGGGAGGCTAGGAAGGAGGTAGGAACATTGCAAGTTCAATCCCAGCCTGGGCAACTTAGCGACTTAGCAAGACGGTGTATCAAAATTTGAAAAACAGAGAAGGACTGGGGATGTAGCTCAATGCTAAAACTGGGTTCAATCTCCTGTATCCCCCCAAAAGGGATGTACTTCTGACACAGGCTACAGCCTTGAGGACATTGCGCTGGGTGACATAAGCCAGCCCCCCAGTGACACACAGGAGGTTCCATTCCTATGAGGTCCGGAGCAGACAGCTCTAGAGACAGAAAGGGGGAGGCCGTGGCCAGGGCCAGGGGAGGGACGGGACCGAGATGGTCACAGAGCAGTGTGGACTGCTAGACATCCCCGAGCTTCCCGGAACACAGGTTACGTACGATGTCAGTTTCCGTTCCGTGGACTTCATCGGAGTCAAAACCAGTATCCTCCATTTAAGACGGTGGCAGTCAGGGCAGCCAGGAGGGGTGAGGTGTGGTTGCCTCAGGGCTTCCTGGACCCCTCAGAGCAGATCCGGTGGGACCCTGGGGGATCCAGTGGGGGCCCAGCGGGAGGCGCCGGCAAGGGGTCCTCAGTGACAAGCCTGTCGCATGGGGGTGCTACGCCCCAGGCCCGGTGAGCCCAGTGGTTCAGGAAAGACCCCAGGGGTCCCAACTGTGGGGCAGAATGCTTCCACCCAGCCGCCCCGCCGATGCAGATGCAGGTGCCCTGGTCTCCATGGTGACCGTGGCCCTTGGCTGATGCTTTTCCTCGATCTCTGTACCCCAGGTGATCTGGAAATGATCCTGGCCCCCGAGGGCTCTGTCTCTGGGACGCTGCGGATCCCCTTGGCTCAGGAGAGGGATGCTGGCATCTACACCTGCCGGGCTGTCAGCGAGCTGGGTGACGCCTCCGCGGATGTGAAGCTGGAGGTTGGATGTGAGTGTCTGCTTGTCCGCTCCCCCCACCCTGCCCTGGTCCTGCTTCTGAGCAGGGAGCGGATGCCGCCAGTGTGGGATGGGCGAGGGGTGTCGGGAGGGAGATCCTGTGTTGTTTCTCCCTGGGTGACAGATTGTCCCCCGACTTGGTGGCTTACACGATAAGCATTTGTTATCTCAGTATCTGAGGGTCAGAATCTGGGCCGGCTTGGCTGGGATTTTGATGGCTCAGGTTGTCCCAGGACTGCACATGATGATGGTGGCTGGGGCTGCCGCCTCCTGGGCCAGGCTGTCCACTCCAAAGCCACTCATGTGACCTTGTGGCCAGAGGAGGCTTCTGTTCCTGGCTGTGACTTCTTGTTTCTGTTACTTGCCAGCCGTGTGCTCTGGCCAGGTCCCCGAGCCTCAGTTTCCCCCTCTATGAAGTGGGGCTGACTGTCTTCCTGCCTTGCATGGGCTGAGACGTGGTGTCCAGTGTGGCATTGGCCAGAGCGGTGGCTTAGTCAGGGGACAGCCTTGAGCCCTTTCTGCGATGAGAGTCCGGATTCCTCGGCCCTTGGCCTGGGCCTGGGTTCCAGGCATTGGACTTGCTTGGCGGCCTGAGCTGGCCAGGATCGGCCCTGGCAGGAGGGACAGGTGCAGGAAGCCGGGGGAAGTTCAGAGAATCAGGAATGCGCTCGTCCGGGGTGGGCCGGGCAGGGTTCGGACAGATGCAACCATCTCAAAGTCGGCTTCCTCCTGGGCTTGGGTGCCCCTTGTCTCCGTTTGCTTGACCCATCCCTCATTCCTCCACTGCAGGGTCACCAGGCACCCTGTTGTATCGGGGACAACCCAACACTGGCAGCCAAGAGGCTTCCTGAGCAGGGGTATTTATCTAAGTTGGAACCGGAAGCAGCCAGTCAGGTGGAGAGTTGGGAACAGTGACCCCAACAAGGCAAAGGGAACGGGGCCTACAGTTTCCCGGAAGAGAAACGGGCTGGAGTAAGGCAGAGGACAGGGTGGGGACAGAAGACCAAGCCTGCAGCTGCCTGTCATGGCCCTCCTGGTCCGGAGCTGCCGGGGAGCTTGGGCTCTGTCTAGGGGGGCAATGTGCACAGGGTTTTCCCAGTGGGTAGGGGTGGAGGGCCACACGGTGGGCTCTGGCAAAGCCACTGTCACCGGTGCTGGCCGGAGGCTCTGGGTGGCCCAGGGCTGCGGGGAGGCCGCACTGTCATCACGCTGGCCCCTCGCTCTCTGCATCTTCTCAGCAGAGCTTCATCCCTGGGGTCTGGGCTGATGCTCCGTCTGCCTGCGCTGCCTGCTCACCGTAGGCCCTGGTGAGGTCCCCGTGGGTCAGAGTCAGGAGGCGTGGCTGGCACCCAGGGTGGGACAGAATGGAGCGTGCCCGGCAGCTGTGGGCCTGGCAAACTGGCCTGGCAGGGGTGGTGGGAAATCGAGTTTCCTGCCCACTGGGGCAGCAGCTGCAATCCAGACTTCCTGGCCAAGCTGGCAGAGGCTGGGCTGGGTGGGCTCTGTGCCGCTTCCCGCTGCCAGGCTGGGAACAGGTTTCCCGGTGGTATTTGGGGCCGAGGAAAGACGCCTTCCGCCTCTTCTGTTGCTGGGGGTGTCTGTGCCTTGGTTCCTCCTGTGCCTGCCGGGTGGGCTGTGGGCGACTCCCCAGGGCTGGTGAGCAGCTCTGTGGCAGGCACCCCCGGCCCCGGCTCAGCACCCTGTGTCCCCCGATTTCTCTTTCCCTCTGTCCTCTCATCTCAGGCCCTGCTTCTTGTCCCCCACCTAGAAGCTGCTAATTGCTGGGCTGATGAGCAGGGGAGCAAAGGGCTGGGAGCTTTTGTGATCCTAAAACCTCTCTGAGTGAGGTGGCACATGCCTGTGATTCCAGAACACGGGAGGCTGAGGCAGGAGGATCACCAAGTTAGAGGCCAGCCTGGGCTACATGGTGAGACCTTATCTCAAAAAAAAAAAGATCCAGCCAGGATAGATGTGTTTTTCCAGCGACAAATTTGTTAGCTATAATTTTTCACATTCCATGGTGGGGGGATGTGGAAATCACCCCGGGTGGGAGGAGCCATGGATGGGTGGGAGCTTTGAGCCTCCAGCTCCACCCCCTTTCCCTGGGGCCTCTAAATGCAGGCCCTGAGACTGGGCCCCTGCATCCACTGTGTTCTGCACAGCCTGGGACCTGACACTCCCTCCTTCCTCCTGGCCCAGCTAGGGCTGCGGGGGCACTGGGCAAAGATGAGGAGCCCAGGAACTTCAGGCAGTGGAGCCAGGGTGAAAACAGTTACCTCTTCCAGGAAGGGGAAACTGAGGCTGGGGTTTGGAGGGCTTCATCCATGGGTGCTCAGTGGGGCATGGGCAGCACGGGGAGGGGGTGCTACCTGGGCCTCAGGATGCCAGGCAGTGTCCCTGCTCTGGGGGCCACCAGATGGCTGAGGTCACTTCACTTTGGCCTGAGCATCCACAGGGACTTTTCCCTCCAGAAACCCCAGGCAGGGGCAGGAAGGGGCAGCCAACAGGGTCCTGGGCCCCAGGCCTCAGGGGCTCTGACAGTGAGCAAGGAGAGGCCGCCTTTGCTGCACCCTCTGCCTGCCTGGGGCCTCCCTCCCTCCCTGCCTTCCCATCAATTCCACCAGGCCTAGGGCCACAGTCTTGCCTCGAGCTGGCCAGGTCCCTGGGTCCCCAGGCTGGCAGTGAGGCCTGTGCCCTGCCGTCCCAGAGGGGGTGTGATGGTGTCTTGGGGAGCGCCATGGTCCGGATCCCACCCCCCAGGTCAGAAGCTGGGACAGGGTGCAGGAGGCTGGGTTCTCGGGCCCTCGCTGGCCTCCAGCCCCTCCCTGTGTCCTTCGTGCCTTTCCTTTCCTGGTGCGGAGAGGAGACGCTTTCAAGGTCTCTGCCAAGGGCACTAACCCAGCCTGGGTGCCTCCCCCATGGCCTTGCTGACCCTGCTCCCCCAGAGCCCCCTCTTTTGATGGCACAATGGCCACGGCAGGGCGGCCAGGCTGAGTCGTGGGCTGGAAGTCCCTATCACCGCGGTGAGGTCAGGGGTGGGCAGGGCACCGTTGCTATGGGACAGCTAAATGGAAAGCAAAGGGGATACAGACAGGGACACCTCCGGGAGGGTGACAGGGGGATGAAGTGCAGGGCCGCACTTGGTGGGGCTGCGTTTGGAGAGAGCTAGGAGACACGGGGTGTCCAGGGTAGATGGACGCGCGCGCCGGGGCTCAGGGTGTGTGGATGAGTAGTGGCTGGGCCTCCTGTCCCATTGCCTCCCACAGGTTGGTGGCCGGCTGGCGCCAGTGCCCTTCCTGTCCGCGTGCTCCAGGACCCCACACGGGGCCCTCCCCACAAGTGGGCTTCTCCAGGGACCCTGGGCGCTGCCCGTGTCCCTCGAGACCTGCCCAAGGCCAGGGTGGGAAGGGCCCTTTGGGAGGAAACGGGGCCACCGAGGAGCCAGGTCTCGACCTCTGCCTGGGTCACCATGGGTCAGCGCGGGCATGGGTGGAGCCTGAAGGTGGAGGAGTCTGAGCCGTGCAGGGGCCTCAGTGTCCTGCCTCAGTCTCCCTTCTGTGCAAGGCAGACAGACCAGAGGACCAAGTTTTCCCTGTGCACCTTGGGGGTGTCCGAGTCCCAGGGCTGAGGGTGGGGACCTTGGCTTTGGCGACGGTTAGATCTGCAGGGTCCTCAATCTCTGACCCTCAGCTTCCTCACTTGGGAGACTGGGTTCATGGCACTCATCCCCAGCTGGAGCAGCGTGGTCTCCAGCCCTGTAGCTTAGGAGGACGCCAAGTGCTGCTCTCCATCCTTCCCCCACTGCCGCTGGCTGCCCTCATGGTGGGCGGCTGGCCTTGCTCAGGCGGGAAGGTCTGGCCCTCAAGGCGGTGGGAGAATGGAGTCAGGAGGCCAAGGTGGCTGTCTGGGGACTGAGGCTGCAGGGCTCTGCCTTCAGGGAGCTGGGGAAGCTCGGGGGAGTCTCAGCTCTAAGCTGGGTGGGGCAGCAGATGGTAAGGCTGTGCCCACGGGGCAGGGGCTGTGCAGGAGCAGGGGCCAAGTCTGAGGCAGAGCTAAGCAGAGGCTGTCTGACCTCAGCCCTGCAGCTGACAGTCTGGAGCAGCATCTTCCTCCTTGTGGGAATGTTCCAAGTTGTGTTTATATCTCCTTGGAACTTCCCTGTCCCCGAGGCCAGAGAAATTTGATGTCATGGTTTGGATGGATGGGGGAGATTTCTGCAGAGGGACAGAAAGAACAAAGAGGTGGTGGCTTCCCCTTGGAGCTGGGCTCTGTAGGTTAATGAGGGGCCGGGGACCTCCAGAGTCTGTGGCCTGGAGACAGGGAGCTGATGAGGCGGGGGGTTGCAGGGGCGGTGGGAACTGCCTGGGGCTGGACCATTGCTGGCCATTGAAAGAACAGAAGGGAGCTCCAGTTTCTCTTTGGGGAAAAAACTTGATCCTCTTTTTCCTCTCCTGATTATAAACGACAACACTTGGAAGAAAAGTGGCAAGCGGGCGGGCGGAGGAGGATGTGGGATCTGGGCGTGTGCTGCAGAGTTAGGGGCAGTTGCACTTTGTGTACTTTGTGCATGTTGAGTCTTTTACAGCTCGAGTGGTCAGCACGGCCCCGGTGTAGGCCACTGTCCCTGCTGAGGTTATTCACTCGGCCCCTTTCCACTCTCCAGTGCCCCCTGGACCCTAACAGATGAGGCCATCCGATTCCTAACAAGCCTGTTTAAATTGTGGCATTTTTCAGAAAGCTCAGAGAAAGCTGTAGAGTGAGGAAAACCTGAAACCCTCCTTCGGGTGGCTCTCGGGATGGCACAAAGTGGACATAGCTGGGTAGAGCAAGGACCCCAAGACCCCATGCATGGTCCCAGCCAGGTCGGGGGTGCAGTTCGGACTCCTCTAAGCGCAGGGGCAAGATGGAGCCCTGGGTGGGGCGGGGCTGGGGCTGCAAGAGGGGAGGAGGGGGCAGTCCCGTGGGGGGGGCCCAGCCCGGCAGGCTTCCCTGCGGACCCCTCTCCTCCCACAGACGCGCCCCAGCTGACGGAGCTGCCCCGGGACGTCACCGTGGAGCTGGGCAGGAGCGCCTTCCTGGTGTGCAGGGCCGACGGCCGCCCGGGCCCTACAGTCACCTGGCAGCGTGGAGATGGCCGGCCCCTGGGGCCCCGGCGGGGCAGCAGGCCCGGGCAGCGGGACTCGGGAGTGCTGTTTATTGAGAGTAAGGCAGGGGCGGGCAGGGTGCGCGGGACCGCAGAGCAGCTGACGCTGGGTCCCACTGAGGCTGTGCGACCCTGGTTTTGATGATAAAACCGACCCACGTCCAGGGCTTCACACACTTCTGGCCCACGCCAAGCGGGGCTTGTGTGTAAGCCGCTGTCATCATCACGGTGTCACGGCTCCATCCTGCCCACAGGTGTGGCCCCCGAGGACCAGGCCACCTACATCTGTGAGGCTCAGAATGCCTTTGGGAAGGCCCAGGTCGAGACCCGGCTCACTGTCACCGGCCAGGGTTCGTTGGGACATCCTTGCGTGGGGGAGGCGGGAGGCAGGGCTCCCGGGCGCCCCGTGGCCCCTACACCATTAGGGACAGATATGTGCATGGCTAGGCTTCAAGAGCAGCCTTGGTGTCCCCGTTTCCTGGGCAGTGCCCTGAGGGACCTGGACCTCCTACGACCTCCAGTCCTGACCAGTTCCCCGGCGTGGGCGGGCACCTGCGGCGCCTGATGATGGGTCTCGGGCATCTGTGGCTCCAACACTGTCCTCTCCCCACAGCAGCCCCGCAGACTGCCAGCGGGGCCTCCACCGTGCGCGTCCTGGAGGGCCAGCCCGTGTCCCTGCCGTGTGTCATCCTGGCTGGGAGGCCCCTCCCGGAGAGGCACTGGCTCCGGGCCGGCCGCCCCGTAAGTGACCCCAGGGTCAGTGAGGGACGGTCGCTTCTGCACTCCCCAGCTTGGAAGTCCTCTTCTCCCTCACTCTCTCTGCTGCCTCTTGCTGTCCTGCCTGTGCTATGGCTGCTGGGCCCCTGGGGGAGGGTGACCCAGACCTGAGGGCTCCGTCAGCCCTGCTCTGACGGCTCAGGGTGGGGATGTGACCTGTGTGGTTTAGGATCTGTCTCCAACCCGGCACAGGGCACACCAGGTGGCTTACGGATTCATGTCCACTGGCCTTTCTGCACTGCTAGGGTCCCTGTGCCCTTGGGGCTAGGCAGGGGCGCCGGCAGGTAGACAAGAAGTGGACAGGAAGGGAGGCAGCTGTGCTCAGCTGTGCTGTTTGTTCTGCTGCTTCCTCACCCTCCCTAGCTCCCGCCGGGTGGCCGGGCCTCTGTCCGGGCCGATGGCAGCCTCCACTTCAACCAGGCACTACAGGAGGACGCAGGGACGTACAGCTGTGTGGTCACCAACGTGGCCGGCTCTCAGCACCGCAATGTGGAGCTGATCGTGCAGGGTGAGTCCCGGGGGCCGGGGTCGGGGCACAGGGGGCTGCTTGGAGTGGGGCACTTTGGTTTAAGAAAATCACACAGCTAGTGCTTATTCCCAGAGGGGAAATGAAGAGCAGTAGCTGAGAATATCAGATTTTACACTTTGGCGTGCATGTTTCCGTGCTTTGCACACACGCACGCTGCACAGTCATCCCTCGGTACCCATGGAGGCTTGGACCCAGGGCACCCTGGGAATCTGCCTGTGCCCCCTGTGTAGAACGGCATGGCGTTGGCATAGACCCTTCAGCCATCTCCAGGTTGCTACGCAGGTCACCCGCCTCGCTTACCAGCCGAGTCCCTTCCTGTGACGAGGTCGTTAAATGAGTGGTCGCTGAATGAGGAGCTGAATGAGTGTGAACATTACAATGTTCAGAACAAAGAGATGGTCAAGGGGACTCCAGCTCAATGGCTTTGCTTTCATTTGCACACCTCCAACATGCGGTGCTGTTGCGTGTAACCACGTAATGCTGCAGTACTGTCCTGTACAGTACCATCAGCAAAAACTACAGAGCTCTACAACAGGGTGTATTGTGCAAAAAAGATATCCAGGCTCTTAAATGAGGAATAGCTACAATGCCTAACACAATATAAGTGTGGTCTAAATATAGTACTGTATTGTTTAGGGATGAATGGTAAGAAAAAGGAATGGACAGTTTTTGCTCGTTGTTTTCCTTAAACTTTTCCTTCCTACATTGGTTGACTTGGGCAGAACTGTGGACACACACACACACGCACGTGTTTGGTGTGTGGCACAGTGCAGATGCACACGTGCTATATATAGAACATCATGTATTGTTTGGTTAAAATTCTGTGTTCTTTATTTATTTGGGGTTTTTTTGGTACCGGGGATGGAACTCGGGTCCTTGTGCTTGCGCAGCAGGTGGCAAAACCACTGAGCTGAATCCCTGGCCTCTATGTTCTTTATATAAATTACATGTACATTCTCTTTCTATCTCCTGGACTATAAATTCTTTAGATGTGCAATACTTAAAATCAAACCACGATCGCCTTTTGTCCTTGTCTTGCCACCTGCATGTTTCCTTGACAACAACACATTGTGGCTGCTTTTCTGTCACTAAGTCTTCAGCTTCTCAGCCGTATGGACACCCGGGATGGTGATTTTGTATAGCAAGTACATGGCCAGGGCTTTCCCGAGGATAAACCTATTGACACGGGTCAAATTTTGAGTCCCTGAGATGGCACTTTTAGCCCTTTAATCCCTTTTTCCCAGCGCCCTCCTACCCACAGTGACGGGTCCCTGTCCCCTTTAACATAGGAGAGGAACTAAGGTTGGTTGTATTTTGCAAGTTACCAACCATGTCAATATCTTCTTTTCCCATTTCGTTTGTTTCATTAAAGCCCTAGAGGGATGAGCAAGACAAACATGTGATTCTTTGGTTTATAGAGAAAACCAAAATTCAAAAGGGGTTGGATTGAGCTGGGCTTGGTGGTGCCTGTAATCTCAGGATTCTGGGAGGCTGAGGCAGGAGGATTTAAAGTTCCTAGTGGCTTAGTGAGACCCTGTTTCAAAATAAAAAATGAAAAGGGCTGGGGATGGGGCTGGGTGTGAGGGCCCTGGGTTCCGTCCCTGGTACCGCAAAAGGTGGGGGGTGCGGCTGGGTTGAGTGAGAACCCAGTATGCCTGGTCCTCGTAATTCCACTTTGTAATCTCAGCCACAGGTTGAGCATGTAGCACATGCCAAGCCATGATGTTTTCACTTAACTTTCATCCTAAATTCAGGCTGGGCCTGAATTTGCAATCCTCCTGCCTCGGCCTCCCACAGTCCCTGGATTACAGGTGTGCCTCATCACACCTGGTTATTCTTGTTTTTAGTAGACTGGATTTTGTTAAAGAGCATTTTTACAGCAAAATGAGCAGAAGACATAAAGATTTCCCATAGACCCCTACCCACCACACGTAGAGCCCCCCGTTGTTACAATGGGCAAGTCCTCACGGGCACATCTCCCCCAGACTCCCAGCATCACATGAGGGCCCCTGCGATGCTGTGCAGATGTGTGATGTCATGTGCCCACTGTTACAGCATCAGACCAAGTAGCTCAAGGCCCTGAAACCCCTCTGGGCCCCTTTCCTCTTCCCTCCCTCCCCCATTCCCCGGCACCCTCTGATCTTTCTACCATCTGCAGTTTCATCTTCTCCAGGCCGTCATCGAGTTACAGTCAACTGCAGTCCTTTTTAGGGCTGAGTAATATTCCATTCTGTGTACCCCCCCCCCATTTTGCATCATCATTAATGGACACGAGGGTTGTCTCTGCCTCTTGGTTACTGGGGTTCACGCTGCCAGGTGCTCTAGCTTATGAAATTGGTTTGTTTACACAAGTGCCACCTAGAATCTATCCCACTGCCACCCACCACGTCACCAATGAAGGGTTTCCAGCCTCTCTGCCCTGTGCCGCCTCAGGAGTTCCCACCCCGACCATCACCTGGACCAAGGTGGGTGGAGCCTCTAGCCTCCAGGGTAAACCGAGTCAGCCCAGGACGGGGAGGAGGGCATGGCCTCTGCTGATGTCGCCCGTGGCTCTGTCCTAGGAGACCCAAGCCCTGACCTCCAGGAGTCCCCACTACAATGTGAGCAAGGACGGCACCCTGCTCATCACCCAGCCGTCACCCCAGGATGCAGGGGCCTACGTGTGCACCGCCACCAATGCTGCTGGCTTCTCCAGCCAGGAGACGTGGCTTTCAGTCAACAGTGAGTGATGGCAAGGCCGCGGTGGGAGCCCCAGGGGAGTGGCACAGTAACGGGCACCCCCACCTGCTGTGCTTCCCACCTCACTCTGCCCCAGACCCCTGGCCTCCTTCCCATTTCTTGATTTGTTTTTTTTTTGGTACCGGGGATCGAACTCAGGTCTTTCTGCTTGCGAGGCAGGTGGCAGAACCACTGAGCTAAATCCTCGGCCCCTTCCCATTCCTTCAATGATCTGTCCAGCCCCAGGGCCTTTGCACGTGCAGTGTTTCACAGCCCTTCCTCCGCTTCCTGGGTTGCTCTCCTGTCTGTCATACCCCAGGCTGGGTCACCTCACTACGCAGTGAACGCTGGAATGCCCCCTCCGTGGCGCCCATCCCAGCCTGTTGGTCTGTTTGGTCCCAGTGTGAGGACAGGGTGGGACCTGGGACTTCAGGTCCAGATCTGAGATGACAAGCCAATAGATGCACAAGCCAGTCCTTCCCTGTTGTATGCTTTTAGGTCCAGTATTTTACATTGCAGAAAACCCTTTTTAATGGTGAGATTCATCTTTGCAGTGGTGACATACAGGGATCTGGCGGGGGGGGGCTTGTTCTGTGCTTGCTCAGCGTGCATGGTGTCCCTTGGGTGGAGGGTGCAGGAGAAGAGGGGCCCTGAACCGCTGCCATCAAAGGTCTCAGCCTTCGTGGTTGTCAAGACAACAGCAGGTTGTCTCACACCCCGGCATGGGCGCAGGCAACCAGGGGCAGAGTTTGTGCATCTTGTGGTGGCTGCTATCCTGGGAATAAATGGGATAAGCAAGGAGGAGAAGGAGAGGGAAGAGGACAGCAGAAGAGAGACGAGGTCCCGACATCACTGGGGCCAGTGGGACCTGGTCAGGCTGGCAGAGCAAGATGCGCTTCCCTAGGGAGGTGGGGGACAGGGTGAGGGGCTGAGTGGAGCCCTCGAATCTGAGCCCGGTCTTCGGCACAGGCTCTAATAGAGCAGAGCCCGCCCACTTCCGGGGTCTCCCGAGGTCAGGTGGCAAGGGCTGTCTGTCCCTCTGGGGACTGTGCCGCTGTCCCCCCCTGCTCACGGCCCTGCTCCTTTTCCCAACAGCCAAGCCCAGGATCCGGGTGAATGGGTCACAGGACGCTGACTTGCCTCTCAGAGTCACAGCCAAGACCGGCGAAGAGGTGACCCTGGACTGTGAGGCCCAGGGCTCCCCGCCACCCCTGGTCACCTGGACGAAGGACGCCCACCCTCTGCTGCCTGGCACTGACAGGTACCCCAACCCCAGGCCCTCGGGTGGAGACAGGTTTGCAGGACTCGGGCCTGGCTGGTGACCCAGCAGAGGTGGGGACCCTGTGGCCACCCCAGCAGGCTGACTGGCTTCAGCAAGAAGGTCTTTACCTCTGGCTCCACGCCTCTGCAGGGACCCCAGGGTGGGTGTGGAAGCCCAGGGCACAGGTGTGGCATCTCCTTTCATCCCCAGCTGCCCTGTCCCCGGGCTGCCTGGGGACACGGAGGGTCACTCAGGCAGGGCCTGCGGCTCAGTGGTGCTCGGCTGAGCAACAGCAAAGCTGAGTCGGGGTTACATCTGGGCGCCCGGCTTTCTGACTCAGTCCTCGCCATTGGGGAGCCACGCTGCACCCTCAGGCTGGGCTGTGGGGATGCAGGCTAACTCCTGGATCCCTTCACATGGTGGGTGGCAGGTGGGCCTGGGGGTGCTCAGGTCGCTGACGTCAGCCCTGGTGAGGTCCTAGAGACAGAGGAGGTCCCCGACAGCCTGCCCTGCACCCCCTCCCACCCACACGTGTCTGCAGCCAGAAGGTCTGTTGGGTGAGCTCTTCCAAACTTGCAGCCCCGCACCCCTAAATGTGACGCCAGGACTCAGCTGGGCTGTCAGGGGCCCCCTGACTGGTGGGATCACTGCTGCTCCTTACGGTGGGGTCGGGATGGAGGGGAGTCAGGGAGCCTGCATCTGTCCTGGAAGGGCTGCTCCCCGCTCCTGGCTGGGCGGCTGCCAGTGGCCAGCGGTGCTTGTTTATTTATGGCTTGTTACCGAAACCCGCATGGCCATCTGTTTCCTCCTCTGTGCCTTGCGTGTTAATAGATCAGCAGGGAGCTGTAAATTTGCAAGAGCCCCGCTTTTGCAACTGGGAAGTCTCACCCAGGTCCCTGTGCTCACTGGTATACCGCTCCTCTCCAGGTGTAGGACACCCCACAGCTTCCCGGAAAGAGCTTGCGAGAGCCGGGTCCCTTCTGCACCTCAGCTTTTCACACTCGTTTAGAGAATAGCTGTATTGAGATCAAATCTGCATGTAATTCACTTATCTCAAGCGTACAATTCAGTATAATTTAGTGCATTCATTGTTGTGCAACCATTGCCACAGTTAATTTTAAAACATTTTTATCACTCCCCAAAAGACTCCTACTCTTTGATAGCCACCCCACCCCACCCCGGCCCGGCCCTGGCAGCCACTAATCTGCTTTCTGTCTCCTTGGATTGCTGGATTCTGGACACCGCACATAATGGAATCTGTGTGGTCTGTTGCCTCTGGCTTCTTTCACCTTGCATACCATCCTGAGTCCAAACCGCTGCAGCTAGGGTGGATGCCACTCCTCTCCAGGCTAAATACTATTCTGCCTCGAGGCTGGGCCGCTTTCTGTCACTTTGTTCACTGGTGCATGATCCTGGGGGTTGCATCCACCCTGGGTGATTGGGAACAGCCTCACTTTGGCTGCTTTTCACTCCTGTGGCCACCTGTGTGTTCTCAAGGTTATTTGTGCCTGAGGCCCAAAGAAGCATGGAGGCATAGCTACCTTCAGCCCCATGGCGATTTGGTCATAAAATGGAGATTTCAAATCCTTGAGGCAGGGCTGGGGATTTAGCTCAGTGGTTCTGCCGCCTGCCTCAGATCCTTGAGGCAGACACATACCAGGCGGTGGGTGGGGGTGACCTGCTGCTGCCTGCTGCCTGCTACGTCTCCCTCCCCCTTCCCCTCCCCCTTCCCTCCCCCTCCTCCTCTGTGGCTCCAGGCCACCATTCTGGAAGCCCCAGAACTCTCTTCCGGGAGCTGGGAGCCATACCTATCCAGCTGTACCTCCGGACCAGCTGGCTCCCCCCTCAGAGAGGGACTGTCTGGCCTGTGCCCCTCATCCCTCCTCATCCCCCTGGGCTGGGCCATGTGCTCCTTCTACCTTGGCCAGCTGCCTTAGGACTCAGCCCTGGGGTGGCCCTGCTCTGTCTTTGGGCTTCTTCCCCACCCTTGCTGGCCCGTCCTGGGCACTGTGGAGGCTTCTCCATAACTCTGGGTATAGACAGCATCGAGAGCAAAGATGTGCTGAACCTTTGGCCAGGGGTGGCCTGGTCCTCCTGCCAGCCACCCTGGAGATGGGCAGGGTGGGGTGAGTGGCCTCCCACCCAGGCCTGGGGGAGGAAATGGAAAAGGGTGAGGAAGCAGGAACCGGAAGTCCCACCCCAGGGCAGGGCTGGACGGGCACTCAGAGCACATGTGGGCACGCAGAGACCTGAGGCACTCAGACAGGTGCATCCCTTCCCTCCCAAGAGGCCGGGGCGCATCAGGTGCTGTTGCAGAATGAAGCGCTCGGTGCATCCGCGTTCTGCACTCCTCCCACCCCACTTCCTCTGCCTGGCCTCATGGTCTCAGGGCAGAGCAGCCTTCGAGGGCCCAGCTTGCTGCTTCGTTGCTAGGCTGCTGCTGTGTTTGGGGCTTGTGCCCCCTGCCAGTTTTCAGCAGCTCTAAGGGGGGATGTCTTCACACAAATGTGCCTCTGTATCTTTGGGTCATTTCCTTGGGGATTGTCCCAAAAACGGACGGCTAAGTCCAAGGGTCGGAATGGCCCTCGGCTGCATCTCTCATCTCGTGGGACCACTGTTTTGAAAGAGTGTCCACGTTGTAAATTCAAAGTCATGGCCAACACTGCCCACTGTGCAGTGCCACATACCCAGGACCGTGCAGGGGGGAATCGGAGACAGAAAGGCCTGGGACCCCTCAGTACCACCCTGACCTGCTCAGTGGACTGGAGCGAGATCTGCCCCCCACCCCGGGCTCAGTCTCCCCGTCTGAGACTCGAGAGGTTGTTAGGCGGTGGTGGCCGGGAGCATCCGTGGCTCTGGTCCGGATGCTGTTTCTAGGCAACTGTGTTTGTTTGGGATTCTGATGCGGAGCTGGGACAGCTGTGTGCATTCCTGGCTGGGCCTGCTGCTCCGGGAGGCAGCTGGCCAGGGTCCCATGCAGGGCCAAACCCCAAATCCGAAAGGGGAGAGGCGATCAGGCGACCGGGCTGCCTCAGCCTCGACATCGCTCGGCGTTTTCCCGCTCCCACCGCCTGTCCCGGCCTGCTTCTTGCGATGCTTCCACCCACCCCTCTCCTGGAGGGGCCGCTGCCCTGTTAGCTGGAGACGAGAGGCTGAAGCGGGGGACAGCAGAGCTTTGTCTCTGTGACCTCAGCCTTCTCATCTGTGGAGGAGCTCAGCTTGGGCAGCGTGGAGCTGATGGTGCCCAGGCTCAGGGCTGGGATGTGCTCTGTGTCTCTCGTATCCATGCTGGCCCTGTGTGTAGGGGCGGTGGGCATGCTTCCTCAGTTTCCCCAGCATGGCTTTCCATTGGTGGCTCCCTTGTGAGGGTCTACAGTGTTGGTGAGGCCACTGTGAGGGGTCAGAGTGGGCATTCGTAGAGCAGGGTGCCCTGTCCTAGGCGCAGACCCGGCACACGCAGCTGGTGCACACTGCTGGGTCCCTTGCAGGTGGCTGGGTGACTGCCAGAAGTGCCAGTTGATTGACAGCCCCCAGCCCTGCTGCTGGACAGCTGCCATGTGAGTCAGCAGTGTTGAGGAGGCACAGGGGACAGCCATGCTCTGTTGAAGGAATGAATGAATACATAGTGAATGAATGAATGAGCACCTGGCTGGACCAGACTCAGTGCAGCTCAGAGCAGGGGAAGTCACCTGCCTGGGATCTCAGGGAAAGCTTGCTGGAAGAGCTGGAGCCTGGGGTGCCCTGGTGGGGCACTGAGTCAGGGAGGAGGCAGCTATAATTTGCCATCAAAAAAATTCTGAGCACCTACTCTGTGCTGTGACCTTGGCACACCTGGCTCCTGTGGACGGACGGCGTCCTCCCCGCTCCCCACCTGCTCTCTCACCATGTCCCTGCTGGGCTTTGGCCCCAAACTGTGCCAACTATGCAGGTGTGAGGCACCTGGAACCCCCAGCCCCTGGGTCCTATCAGCCAGCACCAAGCCTCAAAGCCACCACTTTGTCTCCTGGGCCGGGTTCTGGAGATCAGAAAGCAAATGGTACAGATTGGGCCAGGGGGACGCAGGTACCAGAATGAAGCTGCTTTTTCCAGTGTGAAAAAGTTCAGAGACATTGGCTGCCCTGGCTGAGGCTGCACAGAGTGTCTGTGCCACGGCCCAGACCTCGTCCCACCAGCCCCTCACCCTTTCCTCCAGCCGAGGTGTTGCAGGGTAGCCTGGGACCCTGGTGTCAGCCTGAGTGTCACTGAATGTGTTTTAGCCTCAAGCTAATGGGGCCCTGCTTGGTGAGTGTAGACAGGTCAGCATGATTTAACTTAAAGGAAAGCTGTAGATGAGAAAAGCCAGGGTGGGGCGGCCCCAGCCATTGTATCCCTATGTTTAAACATCCACTTCAGAGGTAGCAAAATAATAAACCATGGTGTGACCCAGTGGTGGAGTATTATATGACAGTGAAAAATGAATTAGACCTGCACACCCAGGCGCGATGCCACTTATATATGTGTCCAACCCGTGCAGAATGATGATGCATGGGGTTTGTGGACTCTCTGTCATCAGCATGGCCCTGTGCTAGAAATTAGTTCCTTGGATCTCTTGAAGGTCCTGTGAAGGGAAAGCATCGTTGTTGGGTCTGTTACTAAAATGAGACCACTGAGGCACAGGAAGCCCAAGCGACTTCCCAACCTCACACAGCTGGCAGCTGGCAGAGCAGGCATGACCCCACTTTGGGGGAGCATCTTCCTGGTTGTCATCCACCCGCAGGGCCTGCTGGATGTCTGGGGTAAGCCACAGGGCGCTTGTCTCCCACTTTGCACACAGGGAGCCAGAGGCTGCATGGGGTGAGCCTCCGGTGACAGTGACATCCCTGTGTGCTGCTCGCCGGGTCTCCGGGGACCCTCTTGGCTGCCTAGCAGGGCCCCTCTGAGGGCTCCGGATGCCCACCCCACAGGGGGAAGCAGGGGCCCAGCAGGACAGGGTCGGGGCCAGGAATGGAGTCCAGCCGGAAGTTGTAGTGAGCTCCAGCTGAGGACTGGCCCCTGCGGTCCCCACGCCTTTGAGAGCTGCTTGCTTTTAGGGCCATCCGGGGTCAGGGCTGCAGCTGTGCCCCCATACTTCGGGGTAGGGGCTACTCAGAGCCAGCACATGTGGGCCGGTGACATCATGTCTGTGAGCGCCCCTGGGGTCCAGCCCAGCTGCAGGAGCCTGGCTGGGGGTCCTGATCCTTGTGGAGGGGTTCTGCACGGCTTCCTCCTGCAGGCAGGGGGCCCCAGGAGTCCCTGGGCTCAGGGTCCGGCCGGCCTGCTCCAGGGTGCAGAGGGCCTCCGGCCACATCCACTGGGCTCAAAGGCGCTGGTGGTGCCTGTTGCATAGCTGGGGGAGTGGACGCTACCGCGGTTATGCATCTGGAAAGGGTGCAGGGTGAGAACCCGGACCCAGGCATGGTGCTGTTTATCTCCTGCGCCAGGGCTGGGGGTGGAGTGGGGGCAGGTGGGGGCCCTGCCTTGGTCCCAGAAAGCTTCCTGGATGAGGAGGTGGGTCTTGAAGTCTGTCCCTGGGCTGGGGCCCGTCTGGTCTCACAGGAGCTCCTGTCCCTGCAGCCACATCCTCCTTCCATCCGGGTCCCTGCGCCTGGCACCAGCCCAGGTGGGTGATGAGGGACACTACATGTGCACAGCCAGCAACCCCGCGGGGTCAGCCTCCCAGCGCTATGTCCTCGGGGTCCAAGGTAGGACCCACATGGGCCGTGGGCACCACATCCTGTCCCTCCCTCCATCCCTGCGTCTGCGCCCCTGCCCGGTCCTCTGTCCTCCTGGGCCTCAGTTCCTTCACCTGCAAAATGAGATGGTGTCACCTAGCCCCTAGGAGGCACCCAATGAGATGGAGGAGGAGAAATGGTTTGAAAATACTCAAACAAGAAAGCTGCCCTCCACCGCCCTGGGGAGGAAAGGCGGGAACCAGCTCCCCTGGATGCTTCTAGCTGGGCCTGTCAGGCGCCACCTGGGCTGCCACTCTGCACCTGTCTTCTGCCCTGGGGCGGCCTCGTAAGGGGGAAGCTAAGGATCCGGGCTGTGCCCCTTGGTGTGTGCTGCCTCCCTGTCTTGCTGGGCTGCTCTGAGTCCTGCCACCTCGAGCCTCAGTTTCCCCAAATGCACACTGAGCTGGCTGTAGCCTGGAAGGTGCTTTTCAAAGGATGCTGGGTACACTGGTGTCCAGGCAGAAGCCAGAGCCTACCCTGCAGGGATGGCGGAGTCCCCGTGGGGGTCTCGAATTGCCCACCTTAGGGCGCCCTCCATCTTGGCCTCCCTGGTTCTCGACAGCTGTGGTGGGGTCTGGGCTCCAGGATCCCCCACCTGGCTCACCCACCTGACACCACTCTGGGTGCCCCGCCAGTCCCCCCTCAGGTGCAGCCAGGCCCTCGGCTCCTGAAGGCCCTGGTCGGAGAAGCCCTGGATCTAAACTGTGTGGCCGAGGGCAGCCCAGAGCCGCGGCTGAGCTGGACCAAGGATGGGGCGGCCCTGCCCGGAGGGGAGCCTGAGGGCTCGGTCCACTTTGGGGCTGTGCAGGCCTCCGACTCCGGGCTGTACCGCTGCCAGGCCACCAGTAGCGCTGGGACAGACACCTGGGAGCTGGAGCTCAGGGTGCTGGGTGAGTGTCACAGCCTGGCTCTCAGAGGGGCCTTCTCGTCTCCAGCCAGGGCAGAGCCCTTGCCCTGGCTGGGGTCTCCCAGGCCCTGCAGCTGCGGGGCTGTCCGGTGTCTCAGAATCTCTGTCAGCCCTGGGACTGAGCAGCAGGCCCTTGGAGCCACCACCAGGCCCCTGCCCTCCTTGTTCTCCCTCCGAGGCTGTGGCCCTGGGTGCCTTGGGCACAGAAGTCCTCCGGGCAGTGTTTGGGCAGCACCGGACCAGCTGTCCCGCATGCCCACTAGATAACGTGGCCAATTTCCTCTCCTGCAAAGCGGGTCACTGAGAGAATGTGTGCAAAGCGCTGGCACACAGGAAGTTCTGGGTCCATGAGCCACAGCGCCACTGCCAGGGCACGGGTGGGGCGGGGCCCTGTTTGGCCCTCTGAGTGGTGGCCCCTCCTGTGGGCCCCTGAGGGTCTAAGCCAGGGTCCCCGCCCTTGCTGGCCTCTCGGGAGGCTGCTCTGGCCTGGGCCTCCGCACTTGGGCTGGGAGTGAGGGCGGTTGTGTCCCCCCTGCCAGAGCCTCCGCATTGGGTGGCCGACAACAGCAGCCTGGTGGAGCGAGTGGCCGGGGAGAATGCCAGCCTCCCGTGCCCAGCCGAAGGTGAGACGCTCGGGCTGGGCGGGAGGTGAGGGCTCCGGGTCACGGTGGTTGTGGAGTCGCTGCTCCCTGACAGCTGCTCTTGGCCGGCTTCTGCCCTTCCTGGCTGTGTGGCTAGGGGCGGCTCACACCTCTGTTCCGAGCCTCAGTTTCCTCACCTGCTTGCTGGGGACACACGCGTCCCTCGGGCAGGGCTGCTGGGAGGTCTGGGGACCACAGTGGTTTGGGGGCCCAGCACCAGGCCTGGCAGTGAGCAGGGGACCCGCGGTGACTGCGTGGCCTCCACTTCCTGAGCACCTCACTGTCCCCACCACCCAAGGCCTCCTCGGTCTCTGGCTCCTCTGTGACTTTGGCCTGGGATCCCCAAGGACACAGTCTGGGCCCTGTGTGGTGACAAGGGGCAGTGACAGAAGCCTGCAGGAGCTGGAACAGCTGCTCTTAGCTGCTTCTCCAGCCTCAGAGTGCAGGACGGGGCACAGGAGAGGTGGGCAGGACGTGGGCCGCATCTCCCTGGGCAGGACAGGGACAGGGACCCAGGTGTGGCCTCTGGAGAGCTGACTGGCGCCACCTTGTGTTGGACTCTGGAAACAGCAAGCAGCATCAGGGCAAGGGACTTGGGGAAGCAGGACCTAGTGGGTGCCTGCCGCCCACCGTGGCCTGGGTCCTGAGGGCTAAGGGACAGTACTGTGCCCGCCATGCCTGGCCAGCCAGGCCCCTGGGGTCTGCATGGACTCCACCACCCCCTCCTTGGGGTGGGGCAGGAGGGGAGGTGCCCTCTCTGGGCCTTGGGGAAGGGACTCGGGGAGCCACCGGGTGCTGGTCCCAGAGCTCAAGGCCACGCTCCAGTGGGAGCACTGTCTCCACCATGCTGTGCACCAGGCAGGGCCACAGCTTGGAGGCCAGGTCCCGGGTTTCCAGGAGAAGCTGATAGGTCAGGAGGGGTGTGTGTGTGTCACGTGTGTGTGTGAGATGCCTCTGATGGCCACATCCTGCCTGTCCCCTGCTGCCCTCCCTCTGGCAGGCACAGGGCCAATGAGGTCAGAGGTTCTCCCTGTAGATTCCAGTCCCAGGCCTGGCAGTGAGGGGGACACTGGGGGCTCCAGAGTAGGGGTCTGACTTGGAAGTCTTGGGGAGCACCCAGGCCTGCAGGAGGGAGGAAGGAGGCAGGAGCCTGCCATGTGGGCTGCCAAGATTGTGTCCCTCAGGGGCTCTGGGGTGACGGCCGGGTGGCACCACTTGGTCAGCTGGGCTACTCATGATGCCCTGGGAGCCAGCAACAGCGAGGGCTCCAATCGCAGTCCTGCAGGGGGGTGTCCTGCAGACCCATGCGCCAGGCCATGTGGCACATTGGTGGCAAAGGTGGCGCTCACGGTGGGGCTGTGTCAGAGCCGTGCTAGTCTCGTTGAGAAGGCAGGATGGGGCCAAGCAGGCACAGGGCAGTCTCCACTCAGCCCTGCTGTGTGCCAGGCATGGTGCTGGGAGCTGAGGTGCAACAGGGGACAAAACAGGGACCCCAGTGCTTATGGGGGGAGGCAGACCACAACTGATAAAACCATGCCGGGCTGGAAAGCGCATCAAGGAGCGTGCTGGGGTGGAGGGTGGAGTGGGTAGGTGCAGTTCACTTGCGGGGGAAGCAGGCCCATGGCCCATGCCTGTGGGCCTCATGGGGAGCCCAGGGGCAGTGTGGACGGGGTGTTGGGTCGGGGATGGGCACAGGCGGCAGCTCTGAGGAAGCCCCCCAGGTCCATAAGGGGGTCCCCGGGGGTTCCACGCAGAGATGCAGTGGGGCCAGTGCGCGTGTGGAGGAGCTGTCAGCGCTCCATGCCGAGGAAGCTGTCTCCCCGCCAGGGACGCCCAAGCCGAAGGTCACGTGGCACAAGGGCCCGGCCTCAGAGACCCTGGGTGGCCGGCCCGGTATGGCAGTGCTGGACGATGGGTCCCTGCTCCTGCCCCGGGTCTCACCCTCTGAGGGCGGAGACTACGAGTGCCAGGCCACCAACGAGGCAGGCTCTGTGTCCCGGACAGCCAAGCTGGTGGTCTACGGTAAGAAGGGGCCCCGCAGCCAGGAGCCAGGGGCAGGCTGATGCCCACCTCCCACAGAGGCCAGCTGGAAGAGGCCCGTGTGATGCAGGGTCTGACGGTAACACCAGGTCCCCGGGGCCCAGGAGCCCACTGGGGGTGGGGGGCACAAGGCCCCATGTCCAGGTTCCAGAGGAGCCCCAAGAGGGATGCTGCTCTTCCCAGAGACCTGCACAGGCAGTGGGGGGAGCAGCCAGAATGCCGAGCAGCTGTTTACACAGCCCTGCCATTACATCCAGGTGAAAAGCATCACGGCAGTGAAGAGGCCCAGGGCCAACTCTGGCTTAAAACCAAGGGAGTAATGCCAGTGTTCAGGGAGGCTAAGACAGGAGGATCGCACTTAGTGACTTAGCAAGACTTTGTCTCAAAATGAAAAATAAAGGACTGGGGATGTAGCTCAGTGCAAAGACCCTGGGTTCAGACCCTACTACTGCAATAATGATGATATAATAATAGAGGGGCACTGTGGGATGGGCTGGGGCGACCCCTGCTGGTAGATGAGCCACAGCAGCCTCTGGGCCGGGCCAACAGCGCCTGCTCCCTGAGCCCAGCGGCTCTCGTTAATGCCTCGCCTGGAAAGTGCTACAAAGAAGAGACTCACCCCAGGGACCCTGCTGGGTGGCTGTGGCGCCAGGTTAGGGCCAGAACCAGATGTGCCCAGGACTCTTGCCTCTTGCAAAGCTGAGCAGCAGAGTGTGGCATCCGCTGGGCCCCTCTGGGGCCGTGCCTATCCCCGGGCGAGGCTGCTGTGGCCCCCAAAGGCATAGGCAGATCTCCTGGGGACTGCTGAATGGCAGGGAGGGTGGGGGGTCGACCGGGCCCTGGGGTGGGGGTCGAGGAGGCGGGGCGGCAGCTGTCTGCTTCTTCTCACCCCCTCAGTGCCCCCCAGGATCCGGGAGGACAGGCACAACGGCAATGTGTCGGCGGTGGCGGGGCAGCCACTTTCGCTGGAGTGTGATGCAAATGGCTTTCCGGCCCCTGAGATCTCGTGGCTCAAGGACGGGCAGCCGGTGGGTGTCCTCTGGAGGTGCTGGATTGGTGCCAGGCCCTCTGGAGGGGGCATGCCAGGGTGTGGCAGAGGTGTGACCGGTGTCTGGGGATGGGGGTTCGAGCCTCACTACTGGAATGATGATGGTGATATGATAATCATACATTGTATCAGTGGAGGCAATGGAGACCGTGGTCCTGGGGTGAATCTCGGGGTCCTGGTGGGGAGGCCGGCACGATTCTGGGAGTCTGAGGCCCTCGGTTCTGGTCACCCGGTGGGCCTCAGTTTCCTTGTTGCTAAATGGACACTGGCTCCCTCTGGCCTCTCCTGCCCAGGTCCCCGAGGCTGGCAGCCACCGCCTCCTGAATGGGGCACGGACGCTCCACTTCCCCAGGATCGAGGAGGACGATGCTGGCCTCTACTCCTGCCGGGCAGAGAACCAGGCAGGGAGCACCCAGAGGGACTTCGGCCTCCTGGTGCTCAGTGAGTGTGCCCTGGGCATGCACTTGTGCTGCTGCACAAACGGGCCTGTGGTAGACCCGGCCCTGTCCTCCCAGAGCCCCGGGGAGGGGACACATGGACAGGCACACGATCAACCCAGTGCTACACAGGCAGGGCAGGGCAGGGCAAGCTCCCGAGAACAGAGGGCCGGGGCCCATGCAGCCAGGGTTTGGGGAGCTTTCCGAGGGGGCAGTGCTGATGGGGACCTGCACAGGTAAAGGCCCTGTGGCCAGCGGGGCTCGCAGGGTCAGAGCCTCCCCACTTCTCACCCTGCAGTTCCTCCTTCCGTGCCGGGAGCCAGGGCTGCCCAGGAGGTGCTGGGCCTGGCTGGTGCCGATGTGGAGCTGGAGTGTCGGACCTCGGGGGTCCCCACGCCCCAGGTGGAGTGGACCAAGGACGGGCAGTGAGTGGCCTCCCTGATGGACACAGGGCTGATGCTCGGGCTGGGGCCACCTGGATGGGCCCCGAGGGAGGCTGAACTCTGAGGACACTCGTCAGCAGGAGCAGGGTCTTCACATTGCTCGACATCCTTAAAAAAAGACAAACTAAATGGTTTTTAGGCGAAATTCACATAACATACAATTGTTCAATTTAGAGCAACAGTTTTGGAGCTTTTAGTGCATTTACAGCATTGTGTCGCCATAGCCACTCTCTACTTCCAGAACATTTCTTCACCCCAGAAGGAAACTCCAGACCCATTAGGTAGCACTTCCAACCCCCTTGTCCCTGTCCCCTGGGGCCATGACCAGCCCACTTCCTGTCTGCACACATCTACCTACTGTGGGCACTTCCTACAGTCAGGCACTAGGTGGGCTTTCCTGTGGCTTCCTTCCCTTGGTGGAATGTTTTTGAGGTTCATCTGCGTCATAGCAGGGGTCAGAATTTCGGTCCTCTTTCTGGCTAGGTAATTCTTTATCTGTGGATGGAGGCCTGGTGACAGGAGGAGTGGCCGGCCCGCCCTTTCACCACCTGCGGTTCCCTCGGAGCTGGCTCTCCCACCTTTGCTCTGCCCAACTGACCATTTCCACTTGACGTCTCTCATCTCTCCAGGCCTCTCCTTCCAGAAGACCCTCACGCCCAGCTCCGGGAGGACGGCCAGGTCCTCAGAATCACCAGCAGTCACTTGGGGGACGAGGGGCAGTACCAGTGCATGGCCTTCAGCCCAGCCGGCCAGCAGGCCAAGGACTTCCAGCTCCGAATCCACTGTGAGAGCCAAGCCCTTCCGGGCCACCAGCTGCTCATGACGCTTCCTGTCTGCTGCCACTGCCTGGGAGGGGCCAATAAGGACAGGCATGGGGGCCCTCAGGGGCGAGTCCCCTGTCTGAAAAAGCCAGGTGGGGGCCACCAGGGCAGCTATTTCTGATCAGAGCCGCAAGTGGGAAGCCGGTGGCACATGCCATTTGTGGACAGCAAATAGGGCCAAAGAGGGGCAGGGTGCCCATCCTCACGGTGTGGCCCAGGCAGAGGCACTGCCCCGCGTCTGAGGGGCATGGGAAGGGCTGGAATGGTTAGGGACACAGTGGCCCCTGAGTCTTTACTTGTGGTCAGGAGGGGAGGAGCGTTCTGGGATGCAGCGTCATCTCACACCATGCCCATGTGCCCTCCGTGGTCATCCTGGGCACCCGTGGTGGGTGACCTGCCCTGGGGGAACCTTGATCCAGTCCAGCCCCTCGTTCCACAGATGGGGAGACTGAGGCCCAGAGAAGTGACAGGACCTACCCCGGGTCATACAGTGAGTTAGAGGCAGACGGGGGCCCTGCTCCCTCCGTGGTGACCGGACTCGCTTCCCACACCAGCATGGCCCCGAGCTGGCCTGGCTCCTCCGTCCTTACACCCACACTCTCCCCAGGCCCTGTGCCTTCCTGTCCCCACAGGGCCGGGCATGTAGCTCAGTGGTGCTGTGGCTGCTTTGCAAGGGCAAGGTCCTGAGTTTGATCCCTGCATCAAAAAAATAAAAAAAGTGATTGCTTTTACCTGTCCCCACAGTAGAAGCCTGTGGCTTGTGCTTGTGGCCCAAGGGCATGTGCATGCTTCCCTGGGGGAGGACATCAGCTGCCTGCTGGGGGCATTTGTGACCCCCCGCCTGCTGTGTCCTCCTTAGCACCCCCAACCATCTGGGGCTCCAATGAGACCAGCGAGGTGGCCATCATGGAGGGACACCCAGTGCAGCTCCTATGTGAGGCCCGGGGCGCCCCCACCCCTGACATCGCCTGGTTCAAGGATGGGGCCCTGCTCGCCCCCGCCAGCAGTGAGGTGGTCTACACCAAAGGTGGCCGGCAGCTGCAGCTGGGGCAAGCCCAGGTATCGGATGCTGGGGTCTACACCTGCAAGGCCAGCAACCCTATGGGTGTCACAGAGAAGGCCACCAGGCTGGCAGTTTATGGTGAGCAGCTGGGGTGGTGGCAGTGTGTGGGGGTCCCCTGGGAGGGACGCTGGACCCAGGGGCCCCAGCCCATCTCCAGGGGTCAGTAGGGGTGGCCACTGAAGTGCCGCAGGCAGCAGGGAAATGGGACCAAAGAGCCCCCCAGAGAGAGGTCCCCCCAGCCCCTCCAGCATCCCCTGTGCAGGTGGGGAGACTGAGGCCCAGGGCCGGGGCTGTCTTGGGGTGAACAGCACAGCCAAGCCTACACCCAGGCCTTCCCCAGGTTCGGGCTTTTCACTAAGCTGACCTCAAAGACGGGGTCATAAACTGCTCGGGGTTCATTGCTGAGCTGAGCTGGGCTCCAAGGGACTTTGCGACACAAGCTGGGTCACTCAGCTGCTGACGGGACTCAGTCTGGGGCCCGCACACACACCTCCATTAGTGACCTCAGTGTCACCTGATCCAGGGGCTGGGCTCTCGGACAGTTGAGGGGCCTGGAGGAAGGTGGGCCTGGGTGGGGGTGAGCAGGCCCCAGGAAGTTGGGGGTGACACGCGGGCTGGTGGGGATCATCCTGGTCCCTCACGAGGGGTCAGCCTGGGCACTGTGGCCCCCGAGATGCAAAGGGACCCTCCGAGCTTCTGAGCCTGCGCCCAGCGTATTTGGGGATCTGAGGACCCCGGGGAGAGTGTGCATGTGTTTGCATGTGCGAATTCCATTTTCAAAGCACCTTGGGACCCAAACAGGGTTGAAAAGCACCTTGATTCCCAGTCCGAGATTTCCGGGGCCCCCCAGTGCAGCCTCTCAGGGTCCCCCCAAAGGGCAAGAGGAAAGCTCAGCCCTCCAATCCCGTCCCCTTGGCCACCACTGGCTGAGTCAGGAGCCCCCCAAAACCACACCTGAGACATGCTGTGCAGGGTACTGGAGACAGGCAGACAAGCGAGTGTTCCGCTCGGGATGGGCTCGGGGTGGCGGTGGGGACAGAGCGAGCACCGGGGGTCCTAAGGGCAGGGGGCGTCTGTGCAGGGCTCGCGGCAGACAGAGCAGGGCAGGTACGGTCTGGGAGGCTACCGGGGTCCTGAGCACCCCTGCTTCCCCCCAGTTGCACCCACCATCGAGGGCGCCGGCGGAGGGCCGTACTTGGTGCAGGCCGTGGCCGGGAGGCCGTTGGCACTGGCGTGTGTGGCCAGAGGCTTCCCACCTCCCACTGTGTCCTGGCAGCACGAGGGGCTGCCCGTGGCTGAGAGCAACGGGACGTGGCTGGAGCCGGATGGCGCGCTGCAGCTGCAGAGCCCGGGGGAGGCGTCCAGGGGTCTGTACAGCTGCATGGCCAGCAGTCCTGCGGGCGAGGCCGTGCTGCAGTACGCCGTGGACGTGCAGGGTGAGCCGAACAGAGGGAGGCAGAGCTCCGCCCACGCCTGTCTGTCCCAAACTGCGGGGTTGGAGGGGCGCAGAGCAGTCCCTGGAGCCCTTGTCTTGCACGACTCCAGTGGGGAGCCCTGGAGTCCTGGGGTCCAGGTCCTTGCTCCTGCCCGTGTCCTGAGGACAGGTCACTGGATGGGGGACACCACTCTGCCTTCTGTCCACAGAATGGACTTGTCAAGGATTTTAGGGCTGCCCTGGGGCTCCATGCTGAGTGCTTGCCTAGCATGTGTGAGGCTCTGGGTCTGATCCTAACACCAAAAGGAACAAAAACATCCCCAGACCCAGAGCTGGCATGAGCATGTCCCCAGCCACTCAACAGACGTGCCCAGGTTCTCCTCTGCCAGCCCATGGGGCGTGGGGAGGACACGGGACATGGCAGACAGGGCTCTTGGGACTTACCCTGGTGGGGGTGGCAGTGAACAAATGGGCTCCTGGCCAGCTCTGACCATTTGTGGAGAGACTTGCTGAGCTCTGCCTGCCAACTGCGCGTCCTGCCTGCAGTTCCCCCACAGCTCCTGGTGGCTGAGGGCTCAGGCCAGGTGGCCACCGTCGTGGGGCAGACCCTGGAGCTTCCCTGCCAGGCCTCAGGCTCCCCAGTGCCCACCATCCGGTGCGTATGGGCACAGGGCCGGGGCTGGGCGGGCAGAGTGCGAGGTGTGGGGCGGTGTGGGAAGGGAGCAGCTGCCCCGCCCTATTCCTGGGAGTGGGAGCCAGTGAGGCAGGAGGGACAGGAAGCCTCCTCACCGGGCCTCAGGCCACCCTGTGCTCCTGCCCACCCTAGGTGGTTGCAGAATGGCCGCCCTGCCGAGGAGCTGGCTGGGGTGCGGGTGGCCTCACAGGGGACCACGCTGCGCATTGACCATGTGGAACTGGGCCACGCGGGCCTCTTCGCCTGCCAGGCCACCAATGACGCCGGCACCACGGGGGCCGAAGTGGAGGTGTCCGTGCATGGTGAGCCATGTCCGGGACTCTGGGGGTGGGCAGCGGAAATGCCAGGCAAGTGGAGCCAGAGGACAGTGGCAGGCCTGGGAAGGACAAAGGCTCATCTCCTCTGGGTGGTGTCCCCAGGCTGGGTGTCCCAGTTCCCCAGAGATGTGGGTGTGAGGGGCTCGTCTCAAGTGGGCCACTTAGCGCATTCGTCCTCTGTCCTGTCCAGCCCCTTGGCCCCCTCCCCTTCCCAGCCTCAGCCCTCCACACGCTCTCTTCCTGCTGACCACAGGGGACCTCATGCAGTTCTTTAAATACATCGGCATCCCCTTCCCAGACTAAAGGCCAGAGCCCAGCGCCCACCACCTGCTTGTGTGGTCATTCAGCTCTGCTTCCTGCTCTGTGAGCTCTGAAAGACCAGCACACAGTCGCCTTTCTGTGCTGTGTTTGGGGACTAGAACTGTGCTGGGCACAGAGTAGATGTTCATGGGCATGTGGATGGATGGATGGATTATAGGTGGATGGATGGATGGATGCTGGATGGCTGGCTGGATGGATGATGATGGGTGGATGATGGGTGGATGGATGGATGGATGGATGATGGATGGATGGATGATGGATGGATGATGTATGTGTGAGCGGATGAATAAGCAGATAAGTAGTAGGAAGATGGATTGCTGGTTAGATAGTTGAGTGAATGGGCAGGTGACTAGTAAGTGGATGGATGGATGGATGGAAGGATACATGAGGAGTTGATGGGTCAGTGGGTGGATAGATAGATGGATTGTGGTTGAATGTGTGGGTAGATGAGTCGATGGATGGTGAGTGAATGGGGAAGTAGATAGGAAGATGGATGGATGGTGGGTGGGTGGGTGGATAGATGGGTGGCTGGGTAGGCAGGTAGATAGGAAGATGGAAGGATTGCTGCACGGTTGGAGGATGGGTGGGTGGAGAACTCCGAAGGGAAAGGCTCCTCTGCTGGCTCCCAGTCTGGGGCTCCTGCTCAGCCAGGTGTTTGTGGGGGCAGTGTGGGGAAAGCTAGAGACCAGACCTTGGTGGAGCCCAGCCAGGACACCCCTTCACCCACAGACATCAAGGGGATTGCTGGGTGCTCCCTGCATCCCTCCTTATCCTGACCCAGACCCTCCCTCTCCCACCCTGCCCAGAGCTCCCATCCGTCAACATCATTGGGGGTGAGAACATCACGGTCCCTTTCCTGCAGTCTGTGACCCTCCAGTGTGTAGGGGCCGGAGCGCCTCTCCCAAGCCTCCGCTGGTGGAAGGATGGGGTGGCCCTGGCAACCTCAGGGGGGACCCTGCAGGTACATTGAGGAGCCCCAAGGTTGGTGGGAAAGCTGGGCACAGGCGGGGAGCCACTCTTCATGGGTCCTGCGGGCCTTGTGCAGAGTCTGGGTAGTGTGGGGTGGGACAGGCACAAAGCCCTCTAAGCCTGGGACACTTGGTGGGTCCTGGGGTGCTGGGCCTGGAGAGAGGAGGGGACCCTTTTCTTCCAGCTCGCAGCACTCTGCTTGCCCCGGGGGCCCCCAGCAGCCTGGCTATCATCCCCTCACTGCTGTGGCTGTCCCCGGCCTGGGCTCTGCAGCTTCCCCACACACGCAGCCCCGCAGCACACACTCTGGCCCCTCCTCCCCCAGATCGAGAAGGTGGACCTGAGGGACGAAGGCATCTACACCTGCACAGCCACCAACCTGGCTGGGGAGAGCCAGAGGGATATAGTGGTCAAGGTTTTGGGTGAGGAAGTGGGTGAAGGCAGGGCCCGAGGCCTGGGGTGGCGGCCAATCCCCACAGAACCCCGGGGGCTGGTGCATGCTTGCGGAGGAGAATTTAAAATCACAGTGTGTGACCAACTTTAGAGGATGCAGACAGAATGAAGTAAAGCCCAGCAGCTGGCCCTTGGCTCCTGATTGCTGTGGGTAGCAGGCCTTTCTCACCTTCACAGCTGCCTTAGCTTGTTGGGTTCATGTTTTGGGTCCATGTGCACCCTTACCAGGGTGGGCAGGTCCCTGCCTGGCCGTGACCTCGCTCCAGATCTTGCTCTTGGCCATGGCAGGACTGGCCAGGGCTATTGGAGGTGGCTGGGATGAGAGACGCCCACTGTCCCCAAGCTGGGTCTCTCCTTGTCTCCTCCTAGTGCCCCCCAACATTGAGCCAGGCCCCACCAACCAGGCGGTGCTGGAGAACGCGTCCTTGACCTTGCAGTGCCTGGCTTCTGGGGTGCCTCCTCCGGGTAAGCCCCTCCTCTTGGAGACAGCCCACTCCAGCGGCCCCATTAAATTCACCCAGAGTGCTGGGGACACGCGGGGGGATGGCACAGGCGCTGGCCCTGGCCCTGCTGTCTCCCCTGTTCACGACCCATCCATCCGCCCATTTACCCGCCTATCCACACCTGCCTATCCATTCTCGGCTCACACCAGTCACCGCCGCACCCAGAGCCTTCCCCGGGTCTGCAGCCAACCTGGAGGCTCTGCTCCGTTTGCAGCTCCACAGGGCTGCCCCGGGCTGGGTGTGAGAAACAGGTCCCCCAGGCTCCCCGTTTGTGGTCTCTCTTGTCCAGACCAGCTGTGAGAAAGGGCGGGGTGCTGGGCACACGGGTGGTGTGGGGCTTGCTGGGGGGGCGGCCCGGCCACGCCTCCCATCCCAAAGCGTGCACCCTGCTCCCTCTTCTCCATCTGCCGCCGAGGCCCTGCCCAGCTCCTTCCTGAAGATCTCCGGCTTCTCTAGCAGCTGAAAAAAGCATGGCCACCCTGGGAGCTTCTCTTGGATGCCCCTGCACCAGCAGCTTCCCAGGGCCCACAGGGTTCCTTGCCTCTCTGCTTCCTCCTCCAGATGTCTCCTGGTTCAAGGGCCGCCACCCCATCAGGGCCCAGACAGGGGTGATGGTCTCCGCTGACGGGAGAAGTCTCCGCATTGAGCAAGCCCAGCTTTCGGACACTGGGAGTTACCGCTGTGTGGCTTCCAATGTGGCAGGCAGCACAGAACTGCAGTATGGCCTCCAGGTCAACGGTGAGCTGCCCTGGGGCCACCGGGGTCCTTTTCCAAGAAATTGTCTTTCCTTCCTCTTGTCTATTACTTTGTCCATGCATCCATTCACTTTTTAACTCATCTAACACATCCATCCAACCACCCATTTACTCACACACCCACCCACTTACACATCCATTCAGTCATCCATCTACCCATCCATCCATCCATCCACCCACCCACCCATCCGTTTATCCATCTACCCACCCACTCACCCACCCATCCACGCATCCATCCATCCAACACCCTCTACCCTCCATTCATCCCCCATCCATTTATCTACACATCCACCTACCCACACAGCCAGCCATCCTTCCATTCATTCATGCAAACATCTAACTGTCCAATTGATCCAAGCATCCTTCCTTCCATTCAAAGACTCTGCTCATACTTCTACCTATTAATTCATCCACTCATCCATTCATTCATCCATCCAGCTAGCCAGCTAGCCATTTTTCCATTCATGCATACCAATATCTGGCCATCCATTCATTAATCCAACCATTCATCTATCCATCCATCTCTCCATCCACTATTCATCTCTCTATCCATCCATACAACAACCCTTTCCTCCATCTATGGGTCTTCTATCCAACCACATTATTGAATACTTGCTCTGGAGAAGTCACTGGCACTGCAGCCCTGAATAAGAAAGACCCAGAAGAATTCAGTCCAGTGTAGGATTTAGTAATTAGAGCATGACTCAACGTGCAAATTCATGACCTTGTGATGAGAGCTAGGAAACATGAGATCCACTGCATGCCTGTCACTGGGGCATCCAGGAGGCCCCTCTGACAGCTGAGACCTCCAGTCCTTGAATCTGCAGAGATGTGGGAAATTCAAGAATTGAAAGGAGGCTGGAGGCCTGGGGCTTACTACAGCAGAAAGAGAGGAGAGGTCAGGGCCTTCTGGTCTTTCCCCCACACCATCACCATGGCAGATGACTTCCTGCTGTTGACCCCAGGCCTACATTCAGGAGCTGCTTCCTACCCGGGTGACTTTAGGCAGGTGACTTCCCTGTTTGAGCCTGTTTCCCACTGGTGGAAGTTTCTCTGGAGGAGCTGAAGGATGCGATGAACAGCCCTGAGAACTGTGGACTGACCGCCTGGTCAGGATGGCTGGCTGTTCCTGCGCTTTTGTGGGTGGGCCTGTGTTCTTCAGCTCACCCGCTGTCCCTCGCCACCCCACCCGCAGTGCCTCCCCGAATCACTCTGGCACCCAGCCTGCCAGGCCCGGTACTGCTCGGTGCCCCTGTCCGGCTTACCTGCAATGCCTCAGGTGCCCCCAGACCCATGCTGATATGGCTGAAGGATGGAAACCCCGTGTCGCCTGCAGGGACTCCTGGCCTCCAGGTCAGCAAGGCTGGGTGGCCCCAGGAGGGCGAGCGGGGGCTGGGCCCTGGGGATGCAATATTAGGGAGAATCCAAGCTGCCTTGCCCAACATAGTGTAGCCCAGCAGTTTATGTCGCCCAAAGCTTTCTCACTGGGCCAGGGATTTAGCTCAGTGGTTCCGGCTCCTGCCTTGCAAGTGCAAGGTCCCGAGTTCAATCCCCAGTACCAAAAAAAAAACCCCCAAAAAAACCAAACATGTTAAAACACTCATGTTAAAACACTCACTGCCATGTTAAAACAAGTAAAAATCAGTGGGTGAAATCCATTTTAATTTGAAAGTGAATCCAAAGCATCCACAGGAGTTTACTTCGTTCTATGATCAATATAATCAATGAGACACATTACGTTCCTCTTTTCACACTAACTCTCTGAATTGTGCTGTATGTTTTACATAGTGTGATCGAAGTATAGTATGTGGTGAATGTTTGAATTTTAAAATTTATTGCAGTAAAAGACATTGTTATTAATTCCTCTTGCTTTGAACAAACTTATGCCATCCTCCTTGCCACTTTCTGCAGCAGTTCTGGAGTCTTCTTTCATGAGTGTCTTTCTGAGGTGCGATTAAAAATACAGTGAATCCTGTTGTCGAGCATCGTCCAACACAAAGGCAGCTCATAAAAACATGATGCTGTGACCTCATCCCCCTTATTCACTGGATCTGACACCATGCGACTCTGGCTCCTCCCCAAAGTCAAAATGACCACAAAAGGTCAATTTTTGAATCGATTTGGGACATTGAGGCAGCCATGACAGGGCAACTAAAGACACTCAGGAAAGAGGACTCCAGAGCTGCTGCAGCAAGCAGCAAGGACCATGGGATGCATACACATTTGAAGTAAGGGGGAAGATTTTGTGGGGTTTCATGGTAATACTGTGATAATTTTTAAAATTTAAACATTAACCATATTTTCTATTGCACCCTGTACATTTGTGACCCATCTCAGTTTGGTGGCACATCAAGGGCTTACTGGCTGCCTATGGCCATTGGGCACTGCAGTGGGCAGCGTGGCTCTAGAGGCCATGTCAGGAGGGGATAGAACTGTCTGGCCCCAGTAGAGGTATGGGTGCAGCCCCTGGCTTCGCTGCCCTGTGGGGGCCCCAGGGTCTGATCAGGCTAGCTGTGTGCCTGGGAGCAGGGCCAGCTTGTGAGGACAGGGTGCTTCCCTGTGGAGGGAGAGCACAGCTGGCCTCCTGAAGCACCCTTGCTCTGGGGACACAGGTCTTTCCTGGGGGCCAGGTCTTCTCCTTGGCCAGTGTCCACCCCTCCGACTCGGGCAGCTACTCCTGCGTGGCTGTGAACGCTGTGGGTGAGGACCATCGAAACGTCACCCTGCAAGTCCATGGTGAGTGTCCAGGTGGCTCTGTGGTCCCGACTGACAGCTCCGGGTTGGGGGGTGGGTGTCCCCAGCCCCATCCAGAGAAGTGAGACTGGCTGGATGGACGAGATGCCTGCCCAACACTGGCTACCGTTGTGTGGGCTCAGTTGGACCCCGGACCTGTCCTGGAGTGTGACGCCCCTGTGGGTGTGTGGGTGGGCAGCTGGTGGCCCTGTACAGCCAGCAGCTCCATCTACAGGAAGCTGGGGGAGGAGCAGGAAGTAGTAGGAGGGGCAGCAGGCAGAGTTGGGAGACCCCTGGTCTTCACAGTTCTAGTCATTTGGGGGTGACAGTCCCTTCTGGGAGGGGGATATGAGGAGGTGACACGCCTGGCTAAAATTTTCCTTCATTTTTCTTTTCCCGGTACCGGGGATCGAACTCAGGACCTTGAGCTTTGGGGGCAGGCATGGCACCTCTGAGCTAAATACCCGGACCTTTGGGCCCTGTGTTCTTAATCACCAGACTCCACTGGTTGTGTTTGTCTCGGGGAGCAAGGTGGTTTGGGCCTGCTCTGGAGACTTTTTTATTTGTTTTTGTTCTTGTAGTTTTAAAAAAATATTATTATTTTGGTACCGGGATCGAACTTGGGACCTTGTCCTTGCAAGGCAGGTGGCAGCACCACTGAGCTAAATTTCTGGCCCAAGTTTTGTTGTTTTTTTGAGACAGGGTCTCTTGATGTAGTCCAGGCTGGCCTTGAGTTTGTAGCAGTCTTCCTGCCTCAGCTTCCTGAGTGCTGGGATTACAGGCATGCCCCACGCCTGGCTAACATTTTATATTATTTTAAATTTTTGATGTCATTCTGGACATTGTGGATTCACGTGCAGTTGTAAGAAGTGATGCAGAGAGGCCCTGAGCTGCCTGTCCTCTGTCCCCGGGGCTCCTGCCCCCAGGGACATGGCAGTGCCACAGTCGCCCATGTTCCTGGGCCGGGGGCTTCCTTTAGAATCAGGACCGTGTGGCGGGCAAGGCGGAGGAGGTCGGGTGGCCCCATCCCAGCGGTGACTTCCCTGGTGTCTGCCTGGGTGGCCGGGAGTGGCCAGCCCAACCCTGATGGTGGCCCATCCTGCCAGTCCCACCACGCATCTGAGGGTCCCCTCCCACCCCTCCCGCAGTGCCCCCCAGCATCCTCGGGGAACAGCTGAACATCTCTGTCATGGCCAACGAGTCTGTGACCCTGGAGTGCCACAGCCACGCCATGCCCCGTCCAGACCTGAGCTGGCGGAAGGACGGCCGGCCCCTGCGGCCACGGCCCGGTGTCCGCCTCTCCGAGGACAAGGCCTTGCTGGAGGTGCGCGGCCAGCAGCGCTGACCAGGCCTCCCCCCCAGCAGAGCTGCCCTGGTGGAGCAGGGCCTGTGGGTGCCCCAGCACCCCGAGAGCATCCGGTCACCTCAGTGTGACCAGCGTGCCCTCCCCCAGGAGACAGGGGGACACAGCCCCGGGACCGAACCTGCGGAGCTCCTGCCGGGGCCCCACACAGCCGAGCCCCTCCTTCCCCAGCTCTCTACACTTTGTGACAGGATCGCCCCCAAGCCCGAGGCCTTTGCTCTCCTCTCCTTTCGCTGCCTTCTCCTGTCAGGCACTGACCCCACCCTGTGCCACCCCCATTAGCAGGCCTGGGATGTGGGGGTGAAGCGGGGAGCTAGCCAGGTGGCCATGAGGGCTGTTCTGCGCACCTGTGGGCCATGGGGTTCCAGGAGGGAGCTTGGGGCTCAGCAAGGTCACATGACACGGCTGAGGTCCCATGGACCGTGGCGGGCACCCCTCTCGGCTTCCCCTGCTGACCGGAACTCCCTGCGCAGCTGGCCAGGGCGGAGGTGGGGGACACTGGCCGCTACACCTGCGAGGCTCTGAACCGTGCCGGGCGCTCCGAGAAGCACTTCGATGTGAATGTCTGGGGTGAGGTCCCCAGCCCCCCAAAAGGCCAGGGCCTGGGGAGGGGGCTGCCCCCCTTCCCTCCCCATCCAGCCCCTGGCTCACCCCTCTCTCTCTGCCTCAGTTGCTCCAGCCTTCCCCTCGAGGGAGCCCCGCACCCTGGCCGTGACCGAGGGGCAGCCCGCCCGGCTGTCCTGCGAGTGCCGTGGTGTCCCCTTCCCCAAGGTTGTCTGGAGCAAGGACGGTAGGACAGCTGTCCCCACACTGCCCAGCACCCGGGCTGCTCCAGCCACTGCAGAGCCACCAGGGCTTCTGGCTGCATTCAGATGTCTGTTCCCCAGCAAGCCCTCCGGGGCCCCAGGCTGGGACACGGTGCCTGGGTGGCCCCATGCCCTGTCACCTGCTTTTGGCTACTCTGTTCTGCTCACTGACTGGAGCACCCTAAATTCCCAGCCCAAAATAGGCTGGTCCAAAATAGGTACTCAGTCAACACAGGAATTTGTCGAGAGTCTGTCTGTGCCTGGCCCTGTTCTAAGCCCTGGGAACAGCAGGGGATAAAACAGACCCAACCCCACCTCTTAGGGTTGAGGCAGTCAGGTGATAAAAAGTGAGCAAGTGACCTGGTAACTTAGGTGGTAAGAGGTGTGGTGACAGGTAAAGCCAGGGAGGGGATAAAACGTGCAGAGCAGGATTTGGGGATTTGAATCAGGGTGGGCAGGGACATTACACCTAGCAGACTTGAAGAGGGGAAGAGAGAAAGCTGAGAATATTGCAGAAAAAATTGTTCAGGTAGTGGTAATGGTAGGTGCAAAGGCCCTGGGGCAGGAATGAGCCACTCATGCTTCCAGAACAGCAGAGAGGCCAGGAGTTGGGATAGACAGGTCAGAGGACGAAGGGTCCAGGAGGAGGGACAGTGTCGCTGCCATGCCCTGGACGGGGGCTTCTCTTTTGCCGTCACAGGTCAGCCGCTGCCCGGGGAGGGGCCTGGCAAGGAGCAGGTGTCGGTGGTTGGTCGACTGCTGTACCTGGGGCAGACGCGGCTGGAGCAGGAGGGGAACTACACCTGCGAGTGCAGCAACGTGGCCGGGAGCAGCAGCCAGGCCCAGCGGCTGGTGGTGCAGGGTGAGCTGTGCCCGGACCCGGGGGGGACAGGCGGGGGCCAGAGAGAGAGGCGAGCGTCGGCCTAGGTCGCGCAGCAGTGAGTGCAAGGGGCAGGGGGGACCGAGCGCATCCCTGACGCTTCTTCCCCGCCCAGTCCCCCCGCAGATCTCCGGGCCCCGGGAGCCCCTCACGGCTGTGTCCGTGCCGCAGGGCGGGGAGGCCGCTCTGCACTGCGACGCCACTGGGAGGCCGCCGCCTGCCGTGACGTGGGAGCGGGACGGGCAGCCCGTGGGGCCCGAGCCGGGCCTGCGGCTGCAGAACCAGGGCCGGAGCCTGCAGGTGGAGCGGGCGCAGGTGGCCCACACCGGGCGTTACACCTGCGTGGCCGAGAACGCGGTGGGCCGCGCCGAGAGGAGGTTCTCGCTGTCCGTGCTGGGTGAGGCTGGCGGCTGCTCCTGCTCCGGGGCCTGCTCTCTGCTCTCTGTCGGGGGCGCACGGGGCCGCCAAGCCAATCAGGACCAGCGCTAACAGCCTTGCCTTCCTCGCCCACCTCCCCGCCCCTCTTCCCGCCTCCTCCTGTCCTTACTGTTCCCCCTCCGTTCCTAGCTGTCCACTTTCCCAATGGTGGTGGGATGCGATGGGGAAGTCAGGGGTCTGAGAGACTGGGGAGCCCCTGTGGGCTCTGGTGGGGGGTCAGGGCTGCCCCTGGAGGGCGTCACTTGGTGCTGGGGTGGAAGGGCTGAGAAGGAGTTGGGCCCTGGCAGGTGACAGGAAGAGGAAGCCAGGCAGGGCAGCAGGAGCGGCCCATTCATTCCAGGCCCTGGCTCCGCACCTCCAGTTTGCCTGGCCAGGCGGGGAGAGGGCTGTCACCCCCTCATCAGGCCTGGCATCCCAGGGACCCTGAGCTTGCCCAGCCCCCCACTTTAGGACCAGATCCCTCGGAGCTCAGCATTGCCTGGGGAGGGCAGGGTCCTGAGCGGCTATCTCTGCTCAGTGCCCCCGGTGCTCCTGGGAGACGCGGACGCTCTGACCAACGTCACTGCTGCCTTGCATGGCCCTTTGGTGCTGCTCTGCGAAGCCACTGGAGTCCCGCCCCCCAAAGTGCGCTGGTTCCGGGAGGAGGAGCCCATCTGCCCCGGGGAGGATACCTACCTGTTGGCAGGTGTGGTATCAGCCAGGTTGTGTCCTTTGGGTCTGACTCCCTCTGTCCAGGACATGTGACCTCTGACCCCAGACCCCCAAACGCTGGCCAGGTGAAGTTCCCCCGGTGGTGGGGAGAGGTAAAGAAGTTCCTTTTCTGCTCCCCTGCTGCTGACCCACGGTGAACATTTTCACAGTAAAAGTTCTGATAAGTCCTGCAGCCAGGAGCAGAGTGCACGAAGTACTGATCTGAGCGCCTTTGCTGTTTATTCACACACACACACACACACCCCCTCCCCAAGATGGATCTGTGATGGTTCTCACTGGTAAACAGAGAAGAAACTGAGGCCCAGACCCTCCTTCCCTCTCCAGGCGGCTGGATGCTGAGGGTGACCCAGGCTCAGGAGCAGCACCGAGGTCTCTACTCATGCCTGGCCAGCAACGAGGCTGGGGAGGCTCGGAGGAACTTCAGTGTGGAGGTCCTAAGTACGTCACAGCCCTGTTCTTGTGGGAGCCCTGGAATCCTTTGCCTCCTGCCTGGGAGCTTCCGGGCCCAGGCAGGAAAGGGGGAGAGGCCAAGACTTGCTACTTGGCTTTATCAAAATTTCTACTCCGAGGCCACAGTGGAACTTTCCAGAAGCAGAAGGACTGCACACAGTAGAAGGGGGAAAGTACTTTCAAGGGCTTGTCCGAGAGGCACCGAGATTTTCCTCACCCAGCAGGAAATGTTCAGTAAACTGTCTGCCCAGTGGAAGCAGGCGCCAGGGCAGGGAAACGGAGGCACAGGACAGTGAAGAGGAGCCTTGGGCTCTTGACTTCGTGCCTTGTGGTTGTATACCCCGAGCTGCCGGCTCTGGTTGGGAGCTGGTGTCTCTCCGCTTCTCCTAGTTCCCCCCACTATCGAGAGCGAGGACTTGGAGGAGGTGGTCAGGGTGCCCGAGCGACAGACGGCCCAGCTGACCTGCAATGCCACAGGTGAGGGCCTGCCGCTCCCCTGGGGCTCTGAGACATCTCTGCAGAGCTTGCTCCTCCCTGAGGTCCTCCCTGCTCCTTGCTGACTGCACGTCTCAGCCTCTAGGGCCACCCCCAGAGTCCTTGGCCAGCCCTGTGGCCAGGACTTCCTGACCAGCCTGGCTAATGAGACATGAACTGGTATCAGCTGAGATCCTGCAGAGCAGGCTGCCATTAATGCTTATGGGATGAAGGATGGATGGATGGATGGATGGACAGGTAGATGATTGATTGGATATGTGGACAGGCAGGAAAGTGAGTAGGAGGATGGGTGGATGGATGGATGGATGGATGGATGGATGGATATTTGGATGAATGGATGATGGATGGGTGAAGGGATAGATGGATAAGTGGATAAACAGTTGGATGAATAGATGAATAGGCAGGTAAGTGGGGGAGGAAGATGGAATAGAATGGATGGATGGACGGATACACAGGTAGATAGATGGTTGATTGGATAGATGGATAGGCAGGTGAGTGACTAGGAAGATGGGGGATGGATGTACGGATGGATGGTCGGATGAAAAAACAGGAGAAAAGATATATGTACAGATGGATAGTTGGTTGGATAGATGGACAGCCAGGTAAGTGGGTAGGAAGATGGATGGATGGATGGATGGATGGATGGATGGATGGATGGATGGGGAGTAGATGGATAGATGGGTGGACAGAAGAGTGGATGAATGAATGGATGAGAAGATGGAAGGAGTAACTTGTGGCTCTGTCCAGTCTGTTTGTACCAAGCCCTCTCCACCCACTCCCCAGCAAGGAAGAGGCAAGTGAGCCCAGGGAAGGGACCAGGGCAGGTGTGGCGTTGCTTCTGATCTCTGGTCTCTGGCTCAGGCCACCCACAGCCCAACGTCACCTGGTTCAAAGATGGCTGGGCCCTGGCTGGTGGAGACGCCCACCACATCTCCCCGGATGGCTCCCACCTGTGGGTCCTCCAGGCCAACCTGTCCCAGGCCGGCCACTACTCCTGCATTGCCACCAATGCCGTGGGGGAGAAGACCAAGCACTTCCAGCTCAGCGTGCTGGGTAAGCTCTGGGTGTCGCCCAGGCACACTGGGTGCTGGAGGGAGGTGTCACCAAGGCGCTGGTTACCTCCCTGCTGCTTACTCCTTACTGCTGCTCTTCCTTCTCTCGATTTGATAATGATAACCACAAGGATGATATTGGCGGCTGCAGTGAGGCCTTCGGTTAAATCTTCACAATGAGCCCAGGAGGGGGCAGATGAGTCTGTCCCCATGTCACTGATGAGGCTCTGATGCTTAGAGTGGGGACGTGGCTCACCCCCAGGGCATCTGTCCCCCAAGAACAATGTGCCACATGCTTTCTCATTCGGTAGGAGAAAAAGAGAGAGGACCAGGTGAGAAGCCACAGGCTGACTTGGTGACTTCCGCTTCTAAAAATGCTGGGTGTGAAAGAGGAAATGCCAGGACCAACAGGAGCAGGGCTGCTCCACCCTGCAGGGGAAAAGGCCCCTATGTCTTCCCCAGCTCAGGGAGGGGTACAAACTGGAAACACAAACAGAACAGAGACCAACTGTGTTAAATTAGTTGATATACTCGGTGTTGAGATGTTGATAGTAGGGAAAGTGAAGTGGAAATTATCCATCTTTCCTTTGTGCACTGATCAGCAGTGGGAAACCTGGGCTCTGGACAGCCGGGGCTGAATTCAAGTCCGGCTTCACCGAGTATGGACTCCTCTGAGCCTCAGTTTCCCATCTGTGTAAGGCACGCAGCTGCAGCATGAGCCTGAGCAGCAGGGCTCGAGGCTGTCCTGGCCCTCGGTTGGGGCTGGGGATCCGTGTGAGAGTGCCCTGCTGCCCCGCAGTGCCGCCCACCATCCTGGGAGCGACTGAGGACAGTGCTGGCGAGGAGGTGACCGTGACCATCAGCAACCCCATCTCTCTGATCTGCGAGGCGCTGGCCTTCCCCGCCCCCAACATCACCTGGATGAAGGATGGGGTCCCTTTTGAGGCTTCCAAGAACATCCAGCTGCTCCCAGGTGACGTCCTCCGGGCAGGGCCAGCGGGCACAGGTGACGAGGGTCAGACTGGGTCGGCTGGAGCTCACGGGGGCTGTGGCACTGACCCCCGAGCAGGCACCCGTGGGCTGCAGATCCTGAACGCCCAGAAGGAAGACGCGGGCCAGTACACCTGCGTGGTCACCAACGAGCTGGGGGAGGCGACGAAGAGCTACCACGTGGAGGTGCTCAGTGAGTCGGAGGCTCGGGCCACCAGCTATGCAGGACACCCCAGGGCACCTTCCGGTTTCGTCTGCCGCCGCTGGCTGGCTGCGGATGGTTCTGCCATTCCCCATGGCAGCCCCCAGGCTGCTAAGAGTTGGGGGCAGAGGGGCGTGTTAGGACTCTCCCTCCGTGGACTCCCAGCACCGCAGGCCTGGCTTCCTTCTACAGGGTCCTCATCTTGAGACCTGGACCCCAAGAGTGGCCTGCAGAGGTCACCCCAGGAGCCCCTGGGCTCAGGACTGCCCTGTCTCTCACCATCTCAGACAAACACCTTGTCCCCTAAGTGGGCAGCCTGGGAGCGGGTTGGCATCTGGCATCCCTGTTCCTCCACCCTCCGGAGCCGGCACCCCACTCCTGGGGCTCCCCACACCTTCTGTGATATTTTTCAGTCCCCCCTTCCATCTCCAAAGACGACCCCGCGGGGGAGCTGGCCGTGAAGGAGGTGAAGACCAAGGTGAACAGCACTTTGACCTTGGAGTGCCAGTGCTGGGGCGCCCCCCCACCCGCCATCAGCTGGTACAAAGACGGCCAGGTGAGCGCGGACCGCACCCGGCACCTCAGGCCGTCCCATCCAGGCTGTGCGAAACACTGCAGAAAAGGCAGACTGGAGAACATCTGCCCGCAGCTTGCCTGGGCCTCGCCCTGCCTTTATGTTTTATGTATTTATTTTAATTTAATTTTTAAAATTTAAACATTTTTAATATTTACTTTTGCAGTACTGGGGATTGAGCCCCAAGGCATTTATACTGAGCTACATCCCTGGCCCTTTTTGTTTTTTAATTTATTTTATTTGGAAACAGGTTCTCACTAAGTGGCTGAGTTTCCCAGGCTGGGCTTGAAGTTGTGATCCTCCTGCCTCAGCCTCCCAGACTGCTGGGATTACAGGCCTGCACCACTGTACCTAGCACAGCCTTGGGGTTTTTTGTTGTTGTTGTTTTGTTTTGGTACTGGGGATCGAACTCGGGGACCTTGCGCTTTCGAGGCAGGGTGCGGAACCACTGAGCTAAATCCCGGGCCCTCAGCCTTGGTTTTTAATCCAACTTTCTACAGGGGACAAGTCTCGAAAGCACCAACTGCCACTGTTTTTACCCTGTTGCTTCCAGTCTTTAGGCCATATGGATTTGCTTTTATGAAGTCAAGGTGCTCCTGTGACTTTATGCTGTGTTTTTAAAATGTACTGAAGTGTGAGTGTACTCATCTCGGTGCTGACTGTCTCCCTTCTTCTCCCCCGCCCCCCCAGCCCGTGACCCCCGGCCAGCGCCTGCGCATCCTGGGCGAGGGCCGCCTGCTCCAGATCCAGCCCACACAGGTCTTGGACTCCGGGCGGTACTTGTGCGTGGCCACCAACGTGGCGGGCGAGGACGACCAGGACTTCAACGTGCTCATCCAGGGTGCGTGTCACCAGCGCGGCCGACAGGGGGCACTGAGAGCGGAGCTGTGGCCGGCAGCCCACGCAGGCGTTTCCCACGCAGCTCCACCACCCAGGGCTGGGGAGATGAAGCTCAAGGGAAGGACTCTCGCCGGAGTCACAGTACTGAGCCTGGAATGGGCCCGACTGAGCCCAAACCCTGAGCTCTGGAGCCCTGTGGCTGACGTTTCGTCCGGAAATGGTGGGGAGAGTAGGTGGAGGGGCCCGAAGCGATGTGTTTTGAGGCTGTTTGGGGTGCGTGGGGGTCTTTATCGTCTTCTCTGTGCTTTTGCTAATGTTTGACATTTTCCTCTGAATGAAGTGAAGGCAGTAGGGATAGACATAGCTGTTAATTTTATCTGTACCAGAAAGAGGAGTTACAGCTACAGGGGAAAGGACGGAGGATGGGGGACTGCCCAGGGCTGGAAAAGACTAGTTTGTCTCTAAGTCCTGCTTCATTCCCCCTTTGATGCTCTCTGTAACAAGTTTTGCTAGGGAGCATCATCATCATTATGATTATCAATTTTTGTCATGAGGGCGTGCTCAGTACGACCTACTGAGCAGAGGTTGGTACTTCGTCAAGGCCCTCCGTTGGGTGGCCATGGTGTGCCTGTCTATCAGAGTCTCTATGGTTGCCTGAAGGTTTTTGACAAGTAAGGGTAGGAGGTAAGGGAGAATTATAACAAAGAGGATAAGGAACTTACGTTGCCCTTGTGACTCTGTGTTATTTAAGCTGTGGCCTTGTGTGGACTGGTCAGCGTCTAGAGTCACCAGAGCGGGGCAGTCATCTCTGGTAGGCTGGCTGATCTTGTCGCAGGATCAGCTCTTTTGGCTGGTCTGGTCTACTTGTCTTGAGCAGTTGGCTTTAGCCAGCTGTTGAGATCTAAGACACAGTTCCCGTTATTTTAACAACAAAAATTAACAAGATTACAATATAAGGCTCCTCCCATATGGGCCCTAGGGTTTTATTTTTTAATTTTCTTATTTTTTGACCCAAAGTCCCCAGGTTTGAATGGAGGTACCGGGTCTGTTAAGCTTATGTGTATTTTTTTGTTTGTTTGTTTTTATACCTAGCTGGGGATATCTTGCAGGGCTACTTTTAAAGCCTGTATTTGTTTCCCAGGGACAATTTTTCTAGTTTATAAAGATTATCTTTAATTTGACGTATGATTGGGGATGACCAACTGAATAAAACATTATAATGGGAATACCCAGTTTGTTGGGTGGAGCTGTACTGGACTTGGAGGACCATGGACAGGACTTGATCTCATCTCAAGTGGGATTTTTTGACAATATTTTTTTAAAAACATAACTGAGTGTCTGGTTCATGTGTTTGTTTGTTTGTTTGTTTATTTATTTATTTATAGCTCTGTAGCTGGTAAGCTGTGTGAAACTTTTATTTTATCTGTAACATCTGTATGAGCGCTTGGACTATCCATGGCGTGACCTCAAGGTCAAAGGCCATCTAAATCTTGGGATGATGTCTTCTAACAATACCTTGGTCACCTCTCATGTCCTTTTTGTTCAGGTGTGGAAGGCATTAATCTATTGTGAAAAGATACAGGGAAGCACCAACATATACTGATAGTCACCAGCTCGAGGGAATTTAGTAAAGTCCATAAGTAGGTTTCCATATGGGGGAGCTCCTGTTTCCTGGATACTTGGGGACTGGGTAGGCTTTGTCTTGGATTGTTCTGTGCCCAGGTCAGGCACTGTTCACAGACTCCGGGTGATGGCTGAGTCACAGCACGTAGGAGTGGCCCTCAGCCCTGTCTCCAGTGCTGTTTTTCCCGTATGTGACCCTTGATGGACTTGTCTTACAAACCTGGGGACCAACATCCCGGGGATAGCCAACTTTCCATTAGAGAACTTTTATCAACTTCCTTTTGTAGATTTTCTAGCTTCTTGGGCAAACCAGGCTTTTTCCCTTGATGAATAATTAGGGGGATATTTAGAATGAGTGACAGGCCCAGGGCCTCCCTTTTTGGGACTGTCAGGACAGCTTGTTTTGTCTTCTGGTCCTTTTTTTTGTTTTTGGCTTTTAATGTTCTAGTCTTTTGGTGCCCCCTGCATTGCATGACAGTTACCTTCTTGGCAGCCCACATAGCATCAAGAAATTGAAAAATCTTTTGGTAAAAAATATTTTATTGGGCTGGGGATTAGCTCAGTGGTTCCAGCACCTGCCTTGCAAGTGCAAGGTCCTGAGTTTGATCCCTGGTACAAAAAAAAAATTTACTAGTGCTGGGGATTTAGCTCAGTGGTTCCACCACCTGCTCCACAAGCGTGAGGACCTGAGTTCAATCCCCGGTACCAAAAAAAATATTTTATTTTATTTTTCTCTAGCTATTAGAAGCCCCTTTCTTTATTTATGGCTCCATGGTCATGTAATATTGTAAAGGCATATCTGCAATCCATATAGATGTTAGCTTTTTTGTCTTTTGTTCTTTGTCTTCTGGGCTGAAGTTTTGGTGGGCAGAGGTTGGGCCTCTACCACAGAGTCTAATGTCAACATCGCATATCTTGTCTGTTGGGCTCCTTCCAGCAACATTTGGGTCTCCAAAGGTCTGTGAGATCTCCCTGGCCTGAGAATACTTTGTCCATGATTTTTACAGAGTCCTGCAGGGGGCTCCTGGCTCAACTGGGAGCAAAGTAGCAGGATTAAGAATGCTCGTAGTCTGTAAGGTTATGTAGGGATTTTTTTTATAGGAGCCCTTAATATTGAGTCTTTCTTGGGTTTTATAACCAATGGTGTCTTCTCTGGTCCATCAAGGTTATGACTAAATGTGGCACTTGGATAGTCAGTTGCTGTCCCAGAGTCAGCTTGTCAGCTTCCTGCCTCAGCAGGGGATTGGCAGCAAGCACTTTAAAGCATGGAGGCCACCCCAGACCCACAGAGTCTGTTTGTTTTGACAAGTATGTCATCAGGCAACGCCAGGATCCTATGACCTGTGTCAGGACCCCATGGCCATTCTCTTTCATTCCTAGATGTACAGGAAGAAAGGCTGGGTTATATCTGGCAGCCCCAGGGATGGAGTTTGGGTTACGGCCATTTTGATTTATTTGAATGCCCTCTCCTGTTTAGCTTTCCAGAGAAGGGGCTCCTTTTCTTCCCCCTTTGGTAGCTTTATGTAAGGGCTTAGCCATGAGTGAGAAGTTAGGGATCCAGATGTGGCAGAAAAACTCTCTTATCTGGCACGTGGTAGTCGGGGTTGAGAGGGCAAAGACAGGTTGTTTTGGTTCAGTGCCCATTGATATTCCCCTTTTGTTACTCTAAAACCCAGACACCTGACCTTTTGTTGGCAAATTTGAGCCTTATTTTTAGACATCTTATATTTCAGAGCAGGTGAAGATCTCTGTTGGCTTGGAGTTATTCCTCATGGGAGGGAGGTGTAAAAAGATCATCTACACATTATAATAAAACACAGTTACTTCTTGGTGTGAGAAAGACCTTGAAATCAGTGGCCAGTGTTTCCTCAAAGATCCTCGGGTAGTTTTTAAACCCCTGGGGAAGCCTAGTCCAAGTGAACTGGGTTTTGGCTTTTTTTAATACCAGTAACTGGGTCCTCCCATTGAAATGTAAAAATGAGTTGAATGATTGGTGATAAGCAGAAACAGAAAAAGGCATCTTTCAAGTCCAGGCAAGTGAACCAGGCAGCACTTGCTGGGATGAGTCCCATTAGTGTATATGGGTTTGGCAGTGATGGGTGTATGGATTCAGAAGCCTGATTTACAGCACACAAGACTTGTGCTGGCCTATATTTATTAGTCCCTAGTTTATGTACTGACAAAAGCGAGGTGTTCCAAGAAAGCTGGCATTTGACCTGGATTTTATTTTTTATAAGCCTCTTTAAGTGTCCCTGGATGCCTTATATAGCTTCCTGGTGGAGAGGGTATTGGCAAACTCATATAGGAGTTTCCCCAGGTCTTAATTCCATTACCACCAGAGCTTGCTTTACAGCTAGTCCAGGTGAGTCATGTTCAGCCCATACTCCAGGAACCGTCTGTGTCAACCCATGCACTTCATTTGTTCCTGGCTGGGGTGGCTTATCAGAGTACAGTCTGCATTCCTCAGCCTGTGGGGCAGTGGGGGTTAACCTAGCCTCTGGGTGGGTCAGATTTAAAGTTGTTTTTCCCTGTGGCCTAAAGGCAATTTGGGGTTGTAATTTATGAAGCAACTCTCTTCTCAGCAAGAGAACTAGGCAGTTTGGAAGGGATAGGAACTCCTATTGGATGTCTCTTCCCCTGTAACACACCTCTTGGGCTGGAAAAATGGCTTCTTCTCTGGAACTGCAGTGGCCCCGACAGTAGTCACCTGACTTTTGTTCAACAGTCCCATGGGCTGTGTCACCATGGAATGTTCAGCTCTGTTACCTACCATAAAGTCCATCAGTCGGCCCCCAACAGTCATTGTGACCATAGGCTCCTGGGGGCCCCAAGAGGTGGAGCCCAGTGTGGCCTCATCCTCACCTTCAGCTCCTTTAAGGCTGATTAGATCAGTGCCCTGTTTCCTGTAGTAGTGGCCTTTTTTGGACAGGGTCCCATCTTGTACTTTTCCTCATCTTTTAAAATTTTTTCTGGACATTTATCCTTTTAATGTCCAGCCTTTTTGTATCGCGCACATTGATTCCAAGCTAGTTTCTGACAGTTCCTGGGTGTTTTTGTTCAGCTTGATCTTTGCCTTGTTTGTTTTTTTAAGCTTCTGGTCACCTTCCTGTTTTGGTTCTTGATCATGATTAATACATACTTTAGTGGTCACTTTTATGAGGTGAGTAGCGTTTATGCCAGCAAAAACCTCAAGCTTTTGTAATTTCTGCCTGATGTCGCCCTGTGCCTGTCCCATGAAAGATGCATTTACCACTCGCTGATTTTTAGTTGCCTCTGGGTTAAAGGGAGTGGGTGCTCTGGTCATCTTCCGCCCCTAGTTATCAGCCTATGTAAATATCTAGTTTCTTTCCCCAGCCGGCCACCCTATATCAAAGGAGGGCCAACTTATTTTATAGACTTTTTAACCTCTGGGGGGTCAGCTTTACTCTATAACCTCTCATATAGCCTTTTTATAAGTTCTTTAATATACATCCTAATGGGGTGGATTTTGATGTTTTTTCTTTCATATCTACTCTGTTACACCGCAAATTATTTTCTCAAGTACTTTTGTTTTAGGAATAACTTGAGCTCTATCAAATTAACAGGTAGCTATGCATATTTTTGAGTCCTTTGGGCAACAGGGAGCTTTTGGAAGGAACACCACTGGCTTTCATCCAACCAAGAATCAAACGTCCGTATTTTCTTTGATAAATTATTTCCACATGCTTTTTCTTGACATTTGCAAGCTTTTTAGTCTTGTCATTATCCTTCTTTTTATCTTTCTAACAGGAAAAAACTTTCATCATATAAAATCTTTTTATATCAAAAGTATAATTTTTTTACTTATTGTCTTTTTAATATTTTCCTCCATCTCATTTACTACAACTCTTTTACAACAAACTTGCCTGAAGCTGTTTGGATTTTAAAGTGGTGTTTTTTATTTTTTAAAAAATTCTTTTCTGAGATTGTTATATTTTAAGTTTAACTGGCTGCCAATAGACCTCAAAGTAACCTTGAATTAATGTTTTTATCAACAGTCAGCAGAGAGGAGAGCAGGTTAACTCTATAATTACAATTTAAAATTTTGCAATGTATAAGAAACGCTTTAAGCACACCAAAAAAACAAAAACATCAACTCAAATTGGAAACCAAAAGTACATTTGTCAACTAGCTAAACTTTGTAATTGATTCCTCCTGTAAAACCTCTTCCTTTTTTTTTTTTTTTGGTACTGGGGATCAAACTCGGGACCTTGCACTTGCCAGGCAGGCAGCAGAACCACTGAGCTCAATCCCCGGCCCTAAAACCTCTTTCTGTCAGGACACAGTTGCAGCTTTTTAACTTTGACCATTCAGCCCAAGACTGGGGCTGCACTGGCCTTGGGACTCCTGAACCCAGGAGCGTCCCTCCCACTGTCTTGCTCCACTTTCTGTTGCTTTGAAATGAATGGATGATCTTCGTTTTGCCTTTTTAACCTTGGCAGGTGCAGCTGGATCTGTCTTTCTGCCTTGTGCCTTTGTCTCAGCCCAGCTGCTGGATGCTCAGGCGTTCTTTTTGTTTTGATCCTCATCTGGGCTGGTCACTGTATTCACCCCATTTCACAGGTTTTTGGGGGGTTTTTTGTACCAGGGGTTGAACTGAGGACCTTTCGATTGCTGGGCAGGCATGGTGCCACTGACCTAAATCCCTGGCCCCTGTTTTTTTTTTTTTTTTTAATCAGCTTGTCTGTGGCACCCCACCTGTGTATCTCAGCACACTAAAGCTAAGCAGCTTTCCTCATGCCTTTGCCCTTTATAATGTAAATCATTCTCTCAGTTACTTAGTTTTTAGACCAATTAGATCACCTTCCTCCCGGAGGCCCCAGCTGACCTCAGGTGACATTGGACTCACACACTCCACTCCACTCTTTCACACACACTCATACACCTCCCCTCTCCCAGAAGTTTCCACTCGGGTGCCAGTTTTTCAAGCTTCTCTTGCTGCGCACCACTTCCCAGTTCCCAACACCCTGAGTCTGGCTACTCAGTACACCTGGGTGAGCTCTGTCTGACTCCCCCCCTGAGTCTACTGTCACACCCTCTGCAAGTCACTCTCTCTGTGGGCCTGTCTTGAGTTGTTAGAGAGCAACTCCTGCTGTGGGCTACCCCTGCATTCCACTTGGATTGTAGGTTTCCTGTGACTCAGTCGGGATCAGACCAACCATGAGCCTCTCCCGTGGTGGGCCACATCCATGTCCCTGGCACTCCTATGAGCTGATTCTCATTGCAGGCCACTCCTGCTTGGGGTGCCCAATTTAATCTGGGCTCGGTTATTCGGTACTCCCCAGGAAGTGACCAGCTTCCCCTTCTGTCCATAGGGGACAGGTTCCCCCTGGGGGGCCTGGCACTGTGGTTTCAGAATCTTCCTGAATCCCAACAGGATCCTTTTGTGCTGGAGCGGGTGGAGGGGCTGATTCCCTCTGCCTTGGTGGCACCAGAGTTCTCAGGATTCCCACAGCTTGGGCCCCTCTCAGGCCTGCAGGCAAGGGAGACAGCAACTGTCACCTCCAGTCCCTTCCTGGTCACCAGAAATGTTGCAGAATTCCAAGAGAAAGGAGAGACCAAATGAGAGTCAGGTGGATTTATGTAAGGTACAGGCACCGGCTCAGTGCACTCTGTCTGAAATGGCTGAGCACTGAACCAAGAGAAGTTTCAGCTTTTATATTTACTTTTTTTTTTTTTTTTGGTGGTCAGTTTTTATATTTTCATGTTTCTCAACAATGTGCAAAACTTTATTTTTGCCTGTGCTACTCTACATTTTATTATATTTACATTTTGTCAAAGAGGGTGGTTTTTTTGTGGGGTTTTTTTGGGTTTTTTTGGTACCGGGGATCGAACCCGGGTCCTTACGCTTGTGAAGCAGGTGGTGGAACCACTGAGCTAAATACTCGGCCCGAGGGTGGTTTTTCTAGTGACGTAGCAGGTGAGTTTACTGGAACAGGACAAGAGCAGACAGTTTTGTAGCTTTGCCTTGAAAGAGGACAGTGTCTTCTGAATGATATGAGAACACAGTGTCATCAACTTTGCTCACAGGACGTAGTTGTTAACATTATCTGTACCAGAACAAGGAGTTACAGCCATGGGGAGAGGAAGTGCCCCAGGCTGGGAAGGGCTTGGTTTTTCTTTAAGTATTGCTTCAGGGAGGAAGACAGGAAGTAGGCACTGATACCCAAGCCAAGCAGCTGAGTTTTGCTGCACATTTCAGCTGTGGCCCAGCAGGAGGAGCACCCTTTGCATTGCTGGTGCCTCTGGGCTGGATCCTTTGCACTGGCTCTGTCACTCACAATCTGAGGGACCTAAGCGTGTCACTGTCCTCTCAGCCTGCAGTAGGTAATCAATCAGAGCAGGTGCCCTTGCGGCCCCTTCTGGCTGTAGAAGCTGGTGATTTTGTGCCTCTGTGCTCTAATAAGCAATGCAGACCACACCTTCCCACCCTGAACATTTTCTCCAAGTTACAAGGAGGCTTTGGTGCCCATTAGAGGAGGGCTCTGTGGGGTTGGAATCTTATCCTGGCCCTAGCATGTAGTAGCTGCTCAGTAAGTGCACAATGTGAGGATTTAATGATTCCTTGACAGGAAGGAAAAGCTCCTGTGTGGAATTGTGCGCCTCCCATGCTGGCCGGTCATTTCTGAGAGCAGAGGTGCACCCCCTGGCTGCATCTCCTCACAGCATTGTCTCCTTGCCCAGTGCCCCCCATGTTCCAGAAGGTGGGTGATCCTAGTGCCGCCTTTGAGATCCTGTCCCAAGAGGAGGAGGCCCAGGGTGAGGTGACAGAATACCGAGAGGTGGTGGAGAACAACCCAGCCTACCTGTACTGTGACACCAATGCCATCCCACCACCGGAGCTCACCTGGTACAGGGAGGACCAGCTCCTCTCAGGCTCTGACAGGGTCTCTCTGTTGCAAGGTACGTGGGTGCCTGAGTGCTACTGTGTGACTGTGGATGATTTTGAATTCAAGGCTCCAAAGGAAAGGTTAGAAATTCCTGGCCTCCCGAACAGCTCCTGGCTCCCAGTGGACCAGGTGCCAGCTGGTGCTGGCGGTGCAGACCCACTGAATGGGTCTCTGTGGTCTCCAGCTCAGCGTTTGCACCATGTCTTGCCAGGTCTGGAGCATGGTGGTGCTAGAAAGGAGACCTGGGGTCCCCAGTAAGTAGAGTCAGACCAAGCTCAGTGTTTGCTCCTGTAAAGAAAGAGGTTCTGTCAGCAGTTCCAGGACTGACCCCTTCCCCTGCCGGTGACCTCTGACCTACTCCCAGGGGACTCAGCCACATGCAGATCCATAGCTCAGACCCTGACCATGAGTTAATCCCAGCCACCATCCAGAGCCGGACCTGGCCACTCTCCCCACCTGCTGCCCGGCCATTGACCTTGATCTCCCACCCCACTACCAACCTCTGACCCTGGCCATGAGCTCCTAACCCTGAGCACATCATGGCCATGGTTACAGCTAACCTGAGTCTGACCCTGACCAGTGATGAAGCTCAAACTTCAGCAGGCTCCACCCCAAGCTCTGCCTCTCCTTCCCGGCCACTGGGCCCCAGTGCTGCATGTCATGAACCCCTGGTTCTGCCCTGGTCAAGCCACCCCTAGCCTGGCCCTGAGCACATGGCCACCCTAACCCAGCATCAGCTGGAGCCCGACTCTAGTCCCTGCTCGATGCCAGGTTCTGTCCCTGCCTGGCTCTGGGTCACAGAAGGTCCCAAGTGACAACCCTCCCATGGCCACAGGCCCAGGAGCCTCCTTAGACACCAGAGCCCCGCCCTGCCACTGTCCTGCTGGCCCCTGGTGGAAGCCTCAGTTTCCCTGTCTGTAAGATGGGGTAACAGCAGCATGTGCCCATAAAGCCACTATGCCCGGGGCCTGGCACACAGCGTACTGGCAGCTGCACTGGGCTTGGCTCTCTCCTCACCCACAAGCTGGGCAGGGCAGGCCGGGTACAGAGCAGGCAGGGAGGGCAGTGTGTCCTATTCCTTGCTCTTTGGTGGGGACGAGTGTCTTGCCCTGAGCCCAGGCCTCTGTCCTGTGCACACAGGTGGCCGGGTCCTGCAGCTGCCCCTGGTGCGGGCAGAGGATGCCGGGAGGTATTCGTGCAGAGCCTCCAATGAGGTGGGCGAAGACTGGCTGCACTACGAGCTGCTGGTGCTGAGTGAGTGGCCCTGGGAGTCTAGGGACCGAGGCCCTATGCAGGCTCTGTCCGAATGGGCCCAGCCTGTGTGTCCAGCCCCACCAGACCGAGGTTCCCAGTGGGGTTGGCCGCTTGGGCTCTGCAGTGGGCAGCACTGGTTCACATTCGAGTTGGTCACTTCCTGGCTGTGTGACCATGAGCAAGCTGCAACCCCTCTGTGCTGTAGATTCCTTAGTTGCAACCAGACCTGGGAGGGCTTGGTGAGCAGGGTGCAGAGCCCCAGCCAGCGCCTGGCACCCGATGCCACTCTTCACCCACCTGTGCCCACCCCAGCCCCACCCGTGATCCTGGGTGACACCGAGGAGCTGGTGGAGGAGGTGACCGTCAACGCCAGCGGCACTGTCAGCCTACAGTGCCCGGCGCTGGGCAACCCGGCACCCACCTTGTCGTGGCTGCAGAATGGACTCCCTTTCGCCCCGAGCCCAAGGCTGCAGGTGCTGGAGGACGGGCGAGTCTTGCAGGTGAGGACAGCACTGCTCAGGTTGCAGGCATCCACAGGCCACCCCAGAGGCTTGCAGCCTGCGGCTTGTGGTTTCATCTGCCCAGCAAGCCGGGCTGCATGGTCCCTGTGAGCTCAGGGACACCTGGGAAAGGGGAGCGTGTGTGCTAGGGCCTGAGCCTAGTGGGCCCAGAGCCACTGCGGGAAGTTGGTGGCCTCACCCAGAGCTTGGCCACATGCAAGGCACCAGGCACCACCTGCCTCGGCCACCAGCGTCCACACACGGGGCTTCGTGGGACCCTGGGGGCCAGCACAGCCCCCAGCAGTCCTCCCCGTGACATCCCAACTGTCACACAGAGCCCCAGTGGGGGCCCCAGCTCTCCATGAGTCTCCGGGGTCACTTATCTGCTGTGGGGAGAGGGTCAGTTTTGGGGTGGCTCCCCCAGGTGTCCATGGCAGAAGTGGCCGACGCTGCCAGCTACATGTGTGTGGCTGAGAACCAGGCGGGCTCTGCAGAGAAGCTGTTCACCCTCAGGGTCCAAGGTGAGAGGGCCAAGGGGCAGCCCTGCGGTTCTGCGTCCCTCCCCAAGAGGGGTCTGGACTCGGGCTTTAGGGACCCCAGCCTGGGCCCAGTAGCAGCCTGGGACAGAGCATTTGGGGGACCTGATTACAGCTGGGCTGAACCCTGATGCTTATAAGCAACATTGGAGGCGGCCAGGGATGGCATTTCTCAGGCCACCCAGCACTGTTCTTGAGCACTTACTGTGTACACCCACGCTTTTCCTGGGCAACCCCTTCCTGTAGGGCTGGGGAACACTCAGAGGGGCCCCGGGTCAGAGAGGGGGCGCTTCAGCACCCCAAGTCTGCTCTCAGTCTCAGCAGCCTCAGGAACTCAGGTGTGGGACGGCTGTGGCCTCGGGGATGGGAGGGGACAGTGCTGAGCACTCAGTCACAGCCCGGTGCCTGGATTGGTATTTTGGCCCCACCCGCGGCTGACTGCTGTGCGGCCCTGAAGAGTGGCTGTCCCTCTCTGATCTCCAAGCCCCTGTGTGCTCATGGGCTGGGGAGCTGTCTGCCCCTGTTTGAAGATGTCTTCACCCTCGGGGTCTCACCCCTGCCGCTCCACCCCTGCCGGCATTGCTCCTCACGTCTTTCTTCATCCCTGTGGCTGTGGGGACAGTGCCACCACGAATCACAAGCCAGAACCCGGAGCAGGTCACGGCAGTCCTCAACAGCAGCGTCTCCCTCCCCTGTGAAGCCCTTGCTCACCCGAGTCCTGAGGTCACGTGGTACAAGGACAATGAGGCCCTTGTCTTGGGGAAAGAGGTTTTCCTCCTGCCTGGTGGGTAACCTGAGGCTTGTGGGGAGCTGCAGTGGCTTCCCCAAACCTGGGGCAGGCTGTGTGCCTGGGAGGGATCTCGATGGGGGGCTGGGGGCTGGTGTGAGGGGCTGGCTTCCCACAGGCACACACACGCTGCAGCTGCCCCGGGTGCAGCCCTCAGACTCCGGGACGTACCTGTGCGAGGCGCTCAACGCAGCCGGCCGAGACCAGAAAGTGGTGCAGCTCAGCGTGCTGGGTACATCCTGTCCCCCCACAATGCCGCCACTCTCTGTGGAGGAGGGGAGACTGCCTACGGTGGGGTGGGATACCCCTCGCCCACTGCCCCAAATGGGATAGCATTCAGTGGCACCATCTGCCACCGGGCAGACAGTGACAGTCTCCGGAGCTGGACACGCTTGGGCTGGGAGCTGAGCCCTGGGACCTTGGGCCAGTCATTGTCCCTCTTGAGCCCTGGGTTTCCCATCTGTCACCTGCTGGCACTTTGTGCAGTCCTTGGCCCAGTGTGTGGCTCATGGGAAGTTTGGATGATGGTCAAGTTGAGAGGGAGCAGCGAGATGAACCCCAAGAGCCAGGCCCAGGAAGGGACCCTTCTTTCCCATGCTCACATGATCATGGACTCTCAGCACAGAGACTGTGAGGGCTCATGGTCTTTGGAATCCTCTTCGGGGAAAGCTGGTCCCCAAGGTCAGCAGCCAGGGCATACCGAAGTCTCTTTGCAGCCCTGAGCTGGTTCATTCACTCATGTGCTCCCCTGCTGTGTACTGGACACCATGCCAGGTCCTGTGGTCTCAGAGCAGGGGGTGGGGGATCCTGTATCCATTAGCCAGAGTGGCAGGGCAGCGGGGGCCCCATGGGCGGGCTCTGCCCAGCTGGAGGCAGCCCTTGCAGGAAGGAGCCCAGGAGGGCTGTGAGCAGCTCCCTGTCTAGGACGCTGAGGCCCAGAGAGGGTGCGAGGCTGCCCCTTCCACTCAGCAGGTTCTGCCATGCTGGCCAGGTTCCCCCTCTCCAGGGTCTGGTTCACTATGGGACCCTGTGGGGCTCCATGGGTGTCACCCGTGGGAGGGCTTGGGAGGACTGGGGAGGCTGCAGTGAGTCACTGGGCTGTCCTGTGGCCCCAGTCCCCCCTACCTTTAGGGAGGCTCCTCCTGGTGGCCCCCCGGAGGCCATCCTTGTCCAGGCTGGGGACAAGACTGTCTTGAGCTGTGAGACAGACTCGCCCCTGGAGCCAGTCGTGACCTGGTACAAGGATCAGCAGCCCCTGGCCCTGGAGCCGCGGGTCCGGGCTCTGCAGGGCACACAGAGACTGGAGATCCTGGCGTCCCAGGTGGGTGGAAGGGCAGAAGGGTGGAGGGCTGGGGAGGGGGTGGCAGGTGTGTGACCTCCGGGTGGAGACCCAGGAAGCAGATGGGCTCCTGAGAGTCAGAGTCCAGCCCCATGCCTGCACTGACCCGCACTGAGCAGGTTCCTTCCCTGCTGCCTACCTCAGTTTCCCCAGATCTAGAAGTTTCCCTAGGTCCTTCTTGCTGGGATCTGTGGCTCCTAGGAGTCTGCCCCGTGCTGCCTCCCTCCCTGGCATAGGTCATGCACGCTCAAGGGTGTGTTGCATGAATACTTGCCATCATCCTGAAATCCCCCTGGGCCCTGTCTCCTGGCCTGGCCCCAGGCTGGGTCTCTGTTGGGGGACCCTTCTATCTCTTGGAGCTCTTGAGGAAGGCCAGAAGGTCCTGTCTTCCTTTAGCTCCCTGGGCAGAACCGATAGATTTGGGGAGTCCCTGCCCTGAAGGCTTCTGGGACCTGGATGTTTCAGGGGAGCCCTCACCCCAGCCCTGCACACCCCATCACCACATGCTCTTCCTGTCCCAGGTGTCGGACAAAGGTTCATACAGCTGTAAAGTCAGCAGTGCTGCTGGGGAGGCCATGCGGACCTTCTTCCTCACCGTCCAGGGTAAGCTGGGCCCAATGAGGCCAGGACCCCCACCCCAGCAGCACCTTGCCTAGAAAGAAGCGCCAGTGCCACAGGTTAGGGGCACAAGATCTGGAAATTAAAAGAGCAGGATCCGAAAGGGCTCTGCCAAGACCTGGTTTGTGGGGTGACTTTGTCCCCCTGGGCCTTGGGTTCATCGCTGGTCAGTCATCACTGGTAGGAGCAGGGTCTGCTGGCTGGGCACCCTGGAGGCACCGGATCTGCTGTGGCGTGCTGGGCACAAGGCCTGGCACTGGGTACTAGGATGGAGCCTGAGACACCAGACACTCAGAGCCCTGGGGCCACGCCACCTCTGTTTTGAACCCTGAAGGCACCGTGTCATCAGCCCAAGGATGGAACATACAGGGGTGGCGTTCAGTTGGACTTGTATCTCATGCTGGGTGGACAGGAGCTTGGCTAATCAGTCTGGGGAGTTGGCCAGGTTTTCTGGGGTCAGATATGTGTCAGCTAGTGTACAGATCTAGCTATGCAACCAAATTCCCCAAAGTACAATAGATTAAATCAGAGAGAAGTTTCCTCTCAGGCAAACTCCTAGTGGTGAGTGTCTGTGTTGGTGGAGTCCCCCAGCTCCATGTAGTAGTTTGGGAGAACCCACCCAGGTCCCTTCCATCTTGTTGCTCCTTCATCTCCAAGGGTGGTGTCCCTGTTTACATGGTTGAAGCTGGAACACACTGCATCCTGTCCCTAACCACAGGAAGCAGAAAGGACCAGAAGCATTTGAGTTATGCAACATTTGAGTTATGCAGAAGTGTATATGTTTCTTCCACTTGTACTCTGTGAATTAGAGCTCGGGCAGTTGGTCAGTGTGCTGCAAGGGAGGCTGGGAAGTGTAGTTTTTCCTTGCACAACCAGGTGCTCGCTAAAACTGCTGTGCATGATGGGAAAACAGGCTGGGGGGTACCCCATCCACCAGCAGCCTCTCAACCAGGGAGCAGCAGGTATGTCCCATCCTGAGGCATACTGAATATTCTTGAAAATGACCAACACCAGGCTTGCTGCCCCAATCCCACAGGTCCCTCCGTGAACAGGGGGAAATTGTGGATCTCTGGTCCTGGAGGGCAAAGATGGTTCACCTTGAGCCCAGCAGACACTGTTCCACTTGTAATGTCTGCTTGGGTGCATAACTTCATCCTGGATGAGCATAAGAATGCTGGGATTGATTAGTGATGTCTGCCCTGGGACAGGATAAGGACTACTGCAGCATGAGCCATGCATTCACCATCCTGGGCTCTCCTTTGTGAATGCTCTGAAATAACCAGCTGGTCCTTATAGCTGCATCTGTGAATAAAGCAATCATTATCATCGATGGCAGAGAATAGAATGTGAACTCTTGGCTCCAGGGAAGGGCTTGCTGATCTGCCTGAGATGAAGGGAAGGGGGAGTCTCAGGATTCCAGGAATGTGGCTTCTTTCCTGCAGTGGCCCCAATATTTGAGAACCCCAAGACAGAGACAGTGAGCCAGGTGGCTGGGAGAGCCCTGGTCCTGACCTGTGATGTGTCTGGGGTCCCTGCACCCACCGTGACTTGGCTGAAGGACAGAATGCCTGTGGGTGAGTCCAACACGTTCTTAACTCTTGAGTGCAAAATATTCTTTTACTCGAGACAATGATAACGAAGACAGAGGAAGTTGTTGGCTGTCGACACTCCCATCAAAATCAAAAGGCAGGTTCCAGTGGAGGCCCTGCCCCTCAGAGACCCCACCCCTCAGAGGCTCTGCTCCATTCAGAGGCCCCGCCCCCTTTGTCTTTTGACTTTGATTGGTTCTTAGACTCTAGACCTCAGGAACCATTCCCTTCCTTCCTCCTCCCTCTGGTCTCCCAGAAGACAGAAGGCCAGTTCTAGAGGTTCTAGACCAGAATGGTGCTACATGCCTGTAACCCCAGCACTCTGGGAGGCTAAAGCAGGAGGATTGCAAATTCAAGCCCAGCCTGGGGAGTTCAACTTAGCGAGACTTTGTCTCACAAAAGAGCTGGGGATGTAGTTCAGCATGAAGACCTTGGGTTCAATCTCCAATAGCACAGAGCTGTTTGTCACTCAGCATATTTCATCCAGAAAGGCTGGGGGGACAGAGGAGTACAGGGCGAGGTGGACAGCTGGGTGAGCAGTAGACAGCTTTGGGACAGAGCTGCGGCTGGAGGGGAGGAAGGGGCAGCACGCTCGGCTGATGAGACGGTGAGGGACTCTTTCACCTTGACCAGAGCCTTGACAGCTGGGGGAAGGGGTGGGGCAGGGCCTGAGCCCAGGCCCTGGACCCTGAGGGCATGGGTCCCTGGGGGGGAGAAGTGTCCCTAGTGGAAGGAAATCCAGACAGTTGTAAGGAACAGAGCAATCAGAGACGGAGCTGAGGAAAGTGGTGTACAAGAAGGTGGCCCCATCCCCTTGGGCCTGAGCACAAGAAGGGGGTGAGGAATTCAGAGCCCCCTGCCCTGTCTTGCAGAGAGCAGCGCGGTGCACGGTGTGGTCTCCCGGGGCGGCCACCTGCAGCTGAGCCGCCTGCAGCCCACCCAGGCCGGCACCTACACCTGTGTGGCTGAGAACGCCCAGGCTGAGGCCCGCAAGGACTTCATGGTGGCCGTGCTGGGTAGGTCTGAGCCCTGGGACTCCTCCAGGAGCCTCTTCCAGTGGTTGTGCCACCACCTCACCACACCCCTGCCCCAGAGGCCCCCCGGATCCGGAGCTCGGATGTCCCAAGGGAGCACAGCGTGCTGCAGGGCCGGGAGGTGCGGCTGGACTGTGAGGCCCAGGGACAGCCGCCGCCGGACGTGGCCTGGCTGAAGGACGGCGCCCCACTGCACCAGGCTGTGGGCACTCACCTCCGGTAAGACGGGTGTGCCCACCCCAGGGAACCTGCCACCATCCTGCTGCGCGCCCAGCCCTCAGCAGTGCCTCCCTCACAGGTTCTACCAGGACGGCAGCTCCCTGGTGCTCAAGGGCCTGCAGGCTGGGGACTCGGGTGCTTACACCTGCGTGGCCCACAACACTGCCGGCGAGGACGCCAGGCTGCACATGGTCACGGTGCTGGGTGAGGCGCGGCAGGGGACATGGGGACAGGGGGACACAGCAGCTTGGCCAGCGTGGGGTCTCTGTGGGCCCCGGGAGGTGCTGAGTGGGCCAGAGGAAAGAGCAGGAGACCTGGGTTCAAATCCCAGCCATACCCACACGGGGGCCATCATCATCAGTTCTCAAACTCTAGGCGCCACCCCTGGGTCAGGGAGCTGCAGGAGTTGGGGTGCAGGAGGGGAAGGGAGCGGGGTGCTGTGCCTGCAAACAGCAGGCTTTGTCCCTTAGGGGCCACAGGGCTCTGGGTCCCCTGACTACGATGGCGGCAGTGGCAGAGTCCAGGGATGGCTGCCCCTCCTGTTTGCCCTGGGAGGAGCTCTGTCTTCTGTCACCTCTCTTTGCTCTCTGCCCACCCCTAGTCCCTCCCACCATCGAGCAGGAGGCAGGTGGCACCGGGGCGCTGGTGAGCAGGCCCAGGGAACTGGTGACCATGGCGTGCCCGGTGCGGGGCTCCCTGCCCATCCACGTGAGCTGGCTCAAGGACGGGCTGCCACTGCCGCTCTCCCAGCGCACCCACCTGCTCGGCTCTGGCCGCACCCTCAGGTAGGGGAGAGGCTGGCTGGGCCTTAGAATACCAAACACTGCAGGCACAAAGCCAGGTGGTGACACCTGATGGCACCCAGCGCACCTGACAGGTTGAGGAAATCAGGAGGGCTTCCTGGAAGGAGGTGCTTACTGTTTCAGGAGTGGGAGGAAAAGAAACAGATGCAAAAATGAAGATGTGCTTTGAAGAAGAAGAAAGCAGGGAGAGAGATGGGGCAGCAGTGGAGGGCACTGGTTATTTCAGGGCAGGCAGGGGTAGGCAGTTGGCTAAGGGGGCATTTGCATGAGATGGGAGCAAGTGGGGTGGTGAATGGGTTCCATGGGGAAGAGCAGCCAGAGGAGCAGCAGGTGCAGAGGTCCTGGGGTGGCCAGGAGATGACAGGGCCAGGCCATGTAGGACCCAGAAGGACTGGGGTTTTCCTAAGAGCTAGAAAGCCAGGAGGGCTTTTCAGTGCAGAGGGCTCATGATGTGGCTGGCAATTTTTTTTGGTTTTGTTTTTTGTTTTTTGGGGTGAGAACATAAGGTAAATGTTCTAACCAGGCTTAAGCACCTTCACAGCTAGGAGGGTAAGGCAAAAGCATCGCAAGTTTGAGCCCAGCCTGGGCAACTTAGACTTAGTAAGGCCGCCTCAAAGTAAGCACTGAAAAGAGCTGAGAATGTAGCTGAGCGAAGGCCCTGGATTTAGTGCTCAGTGCCAAGTAAATAAATCCAAAGAAGTCGAGGCAAAGGGAAGCGTTTAAAGACAGAATGAGAAGGGTTGCGCCTGCAACTCCGAAACAGTCGTGTGCCACAGGGACTCATAACCAAGGTGGCGCAGGCCCTAGGCTGTCTTTATCAGACAGACAACCTGGAAGAGGATTTCCTGGGCAAAGCGGCGGGCCCTGCAAAGTCTTTTGTGAAGCCACCAGGACAGCCGGTCTGTCCCAGCCCCGGCTCTCTCTGCCTACCTCTGTGGTGGGGCTTGACCACCGAGACCGAGTCATGACTCTGGCAACTTGGGCCGCTGAGAGGGTCTCAGACACCAGGGGACAGGCAGGGACACTCACTGATGCTTCCACTTGGGAACTCGGGGGCAGCGTTGCGAGGTGGGACTGGCCGCAGAGTTAGGATGAGTCTAGAGATCCCGGGGAAGAAGGCGAGGCGGGGCAGGAGGTCAGGAGAGAGACACAGTGGGCCTCGGCACTGTGGCTGTCACTGGAGCAGCTAGGGGGATTGTGGGAGGACAAAGGGGCTTCAGGAGGAGGCCAGGGACAGGCTGGAGACAAGGACAGAGGGATGCCCCAGAGGGAGGACAGGTAAGCTGTTCCTGTCCCCGTGATGGGACAGCCGAGCTTCCGGAGTCCCGGAACGCAGGGGTCCGCTGCGGGGTGCAGTGGCTCAGGAGGGCAGGGCCTCCAGGAAGTGCCACTCAGAGCTTGGTCCGGGTCACCAGGGACACAGGGTGGACTCTGCTTTGCATTTCAGTCCTCGCTTGGAGAGGAGGCGGACAGAGGGGGCATTGCCGTGGCATTTCTGTGCAGCCTGAACCTCTCTTCCTGTCTGCGTCTCCCTCTCCCCTCCTCCCGCCTCGGGCTGGGGCTCAGGATTTCCCAGGTGCAGCTGGCAGACACGGGCACCTTCACCTGCGTGGCCTCGAGCCTGGCCGGCGTGGCCGAGAGGAACTTCACCTTGCAGGTGCTTGGTAAGGAGCAGGTGACGCAGGAGCGTTCCTTGGCCTGGTGGGGAGAATGAGGACCCTCGGCCCCCAGCCTATCTGGGGGGAACCAAGGGCAGTCCTTGGGCCCCCAGCAGAGCACACTCCGTGGTTCAGTCTTGGATTCCTTCGGCGGTTCGGCCACTTGTCTTGATAGTGGTGGCTGGGCACCCACGGCGCCAGGCCCTTGCCAGGTGCCAGGGTCCAGTGGTGGGCGGTGTGTCCATTAGCAGCTGCCCTGGGAAGGAGAGGGTGCTGCTGTGGGAGCCAGGAGGCACTCGCCTGGCCTTGGGGACCCCAGGGAGGTTCCTGGCCTAGGTGGGGCTAATCTAAGCCAGTCCTGGCACAGGTGAGCAGGAATCTCCAGAAGCAAGGCATCCGTTGGGTAGGAAGAGCCTGTGCTGAGTCCTGGGGTGAACTGGTTCCTTCCCACCCCCTTGTCCTCCCCAGTGCCCCCCAGCCTGGAGCCGGCGGACTTCCAGAGTGACATGGTGGTGGCCCGTGGCTCCTCCGTGGTCCTGCCATGTGATGCCCAGGGCAACCCCCTGCCCCTCGTATCTTGGATGAAGGATGGGGAGCCCTTGTTGCCCCAGAGCCTTGAGCAGGGGCCCGGCCTGCAGCTAGGGAGAGTGGGAGCCAGTGACTCGGGGACCTACGCCTGCGTGGCCACCAGCGAGGCAGGGGAGGCCAGGAGACACTTCCAGCTGACCGTGATGGGTATGTCGAGGTCCTCAGGGGGACCCAGGTGGATGGAGGAGATGTGCAAGAGGCAAGGGGAGGCTCGGGGAAGCCCCTGGGGAAGGCTCAGGGCGGGGCTGGTTCTGGACAGGGCAGCTGCTGGCCTGGGATCCCGGGGGAAAGTGACTGGGACACTGAATCCTCCCAGGGCTGCGTCTCATGGTCTTGGTGACAGTAGGAAAAATAAGAGCCCAAGGACTCAGTGAAAAATTCTGCAATGTCAAGCTGTACTGGAAAAATTCCTACCAATCACCCTCCCCCATACTATGTCTTGTTGGTTTGTTTTTGTTTTTGCAGTGCTAGGGGTGGAACCCAGGGCCTTTGCACTGAGCTATGTCCCAAACCCTTTTTTATTTATTTTGAGACAGAATCTTGCTGAGTTGCCCAGGCTGGGTTTAAACTTGCAATCTCCTGCCTCAGCCTCCCAGAGTGCTGGGATGGCAGGCGTGCGCCATCATGCCTGCCTTGCTTGTTGGTTTTAAAGCCCAGGTGATTGTCCCAGGCAGAAGGGCCCCTGGCTCTGATGTTTGTGTGTGTCTGTCTGGGTAAAGGGTGATGAGGGGACAGGAGCCCCAGCCCCGGCTCTGGGGCTGCACCTAACCAAGCCGCCCTGCAGACCCGCCCCACATCCAGGACTCGGGCCAGCCTGCAGAGCTGACGCTGACGGCCGGCGCCCCCATGGAGCTGCTGTGCGACGCCCGGGGCATCCCCCCCCCCAACATCACCTGGCATAAGGACGGGCAGGCCCTGCTCGGGCCGGAGGGCGGCAGCAGAGGGGGCCTCGTGTTCCGTGTGGAGGCCGCGCAGGTGCTGGATGGGGCAGCTGGGATGGGGCTGGGAGCCGGGTGGTAGAGGAGGGCACTGTGGCTTCCTCGGGGCTGCTAGGCAGCTACCTCGTCTTCTGCAGTTCTTCCTCTGTGTGGGTGTGAGGGTGTAGACATGGCCCCCAAGTCCTGCGCTCGGAAGCTCCCCAACATCAGAGCCAAAGCACGGGCCAGGGATTTAGCTCCGTGGTTCTGGCGCCTGCCTCGCAAGCTCAAGGTCCCGAGTTCGATCCCCGGTACCAAAAAAAAAAAAAAAAAAAAAACCAGAGCCAAAGCTGATGCAAAAACCAGGGAACTCCCTGTCCACAGCAGAGGAGGGCTGGGGCAGTCCTGGGGGCCCTCCGGGAAGAGCCCGGCCTTGCACGGGCCCTAAAGCAAGGAGGAAGAAATCCCGGGAGAGGCCTGGTGGGCTGGGAAGTGAGCGGAGTAGGAGGGAAGCCAGTTCGGAGCCCAGCAGGGGCTCATCCTGCTCTGTCCCCAGGTCGGGGATGCAGGACTATACACCTGTCTGGCCGAGAGCCCTGCGGGGGAAGCTGAGAAGAGCTTCCGGGTCAGAGTTCAAGGTAGGGGAACTGGGGGTGGAGGCAGGATGGGGCCTGCAGGACCGGGCCCCTCTCACGTCCTCTTGTACCCCAGCCCCTCCAAACGTGGTTGGGCCCCGGGGCCCCCGCTCTGTGGTTGGCCTGGCCCCGGGGCAGCTGGTCCTGGAGTGCTCAGTGGAGGCAGAGCCAGCGCCCGAGATCGAGTGGCACCGAGACGGCGTCTTGTTGCAGGTGGGTGCCAGGCTGGGGACCCGGGCGCTGCCTTCAGCCCCCGGTGGACTCCAGGGCCTGGCTGGGTGGGCCCTGGGCCCTGAGCCTGCCTTGAGCAGCCCTGTCTGGAATCCTCTACCCTGTTATTATTGTCACTTTGGGGCTGGCAGGACACCGAGGCGAGCCTGGGGTCACTTAGTGGCTGAGGCTCTCCGTGCTCCTTACACACATGGGAGAGTCTGCAGCTAAATTTAAGGATTTTGTGCCTTTGGGGTACCCGCTCCCCCAGAAAAGCCTGGTTCTGTACCCCGCGGCCCTGCAGGCGGACACGCACACCCAGTTCCCGGAGCGCGGCAGGTTCCTGCAGCTGCGGGCCCTGAGCGCGGCCGACAGCGGCCACTACAGCTGCACAGCCCGCAACCAGGCCGGCAGCACCAGCGTGGCCTTCCGCGTGGAGATCCACAGTGAGTGTGCCAGCCCGCCTGCCCGCCCTCGAGCCCCACGGGCCTCAGACTGCCAGCCCAGCCCTCTGTCCCCTCCGCAGCGGCGCCCGCCATCCAGCCAGGTCCGCCCGCCGTGAACGCCTCTGAGAACCAGACGGCCCTGCTGCCCTGCCGGGCCTCCGGCGAGCCCCCACCTCTTGTGAGCTGGCGGAAGGACGGGGCACCCCTGGACCCTGGGAGCCCCAGGTGGGCACTGGTGGGGCTGGTGTCGGGGAGTCTCAGGACCTCTGGAGAGCCCCAACGTGCCCAGGGCCCCCAAATCTTCAGCCCCAGCTAGGCCTCTGACTCTCTGTGAATGCCAAGTCCTGATTTCCGAGACAGAGAATGCCATTGGCCCAGGCTGGGTGATGTGTCCATCCCTGGTCCAATCAGCTGCGTTTGGGGGCGGGGTCACATGGTCCCAGGGAGCCTGGGGAGGACCACTTCCTAAATCCAGAGGGAGAGGTCCCTAGTTGACACCTTGGTCCATCCCCTCTCAGCCTGTCCCCCTACTTGTTGGTCTCCGTGGCAACCCCTCCCTCCATTCCAGGGTGGAGGTTCTGGCTGATGGGTCCCTGAGGATCCAGCCCGTCCTCTCCCAGGACGCCGGTCACTACTTCTGCCTGGCGTCCAACTCCGCTGGTTCCGATCGGCAGGGGCTCGACCTCCAGGTCTTCGGTAGGTGGGCGGGGAAGGGCATGTTCCTTGCCTTCATCAGCCAAGGCTTTGGGGACCAAGCCTTCTTAGTTTCTGGCTTACCCCGGCTGTCAGGAGCGGAGAGCAATGCTCTTCAAAGGTTTTTGACCGTGAAAGCCATTAGTAAAAAGTCTGGATCATGCACACTCGAAGGATGTGTATTTATTTGTGTGCAGATTTCACACACCTACTACCACCCTGCTCTATCGGGTGAGTGTACTGTGTGCAGAGCAGGTCCAACAAGGGGAGATGCTCTGAGGAAACTCCCCCAGTGCATATCGGGGGTGCGCCGGGTAGTGGAGCGCTGCCGACCTCCTTCAGGCAGAGGGTTGGGTGGAACCCAGGCTCAGGGTCAAGGAGAGGCCCGAAGCCCCAGTGTGGGGCCCTGTTGGAGGTTCCCTGGGGCGTTTTCCTGCTCCATGGGGTGGGTGGAGGTGGCAGTGGGCACCCCAAACCTGGGCTCTGGGCTCTGTCTGGCACAGCCTCAGCCCCTCATCCTGCACCCACCTCCTACCCCACTCTATCCCCAGGGCCTCCAGCCATCGCCCCTGGCCCCTCCAGCCTCACCCTCACTGCCCCCAGCCCAGCCACACTGCCCTGCGAGGCCAGTGGCTCCCCCAAGCCCCTGGTGGCCTGGTGGAAAGACGGACAGAAGCTGGACTTCCGCACACAGCAGGGCGCCTACCGGTAGGAGCTGATTCTTACACTGGGCACTTGAGCCAGGGCAGGGGGCACCATCTCCCAGAGGGGCCCAGGTAGGAAACCAGGCCAGGACCAGACTCCAGGGCCCGGGAGGGTCATGACTGAGGCAGCCAGGGTGGCCTTGTTGGGGGACAGGCATTTGGCACATTCCGTGCCAATGGGAAAACACAGGACTATTATGTGCTTTGCAGGCAGGCATTAGAAACAAAACATGGAGGAGGGAGTGGGGATTTAGCTCAGTGGTTCCGCTGCCTGCCTCACAAGTGCAAGGACCCAAGTTTGATCCCTGGTTCCCAAAAACAACAACAACAAAAAAAAAACATGGAGGGGCTGGGGATTTAGCTCAGTGGTTCCGCTGCCTGCCTCACAAGTGCAAGGACCCAAGTTTGATCCCTGGTTCCCAAAAACAACAACAACAAAAAAAAAACATGGAGGGGCTGGGGATTTAGCTCAGTGGTTCTGGCACCTGCCTCGAAAGCACAAGGACCCGAGTTTGATCCCCGGTACCCAAAAAAAAACAACACGGAGGGGCCAGGGGTGCAGTTCTTCCATGGTAGAGTATTTGCCCCATATGCATGAGGCCAGGGATTCCATCCCCACCACCCCAAAAGTGTAGAGGTTGGGGTGTGTGCTGTCTGGCCCTGTGTCTGCCCAGGAGCCTCGGTTTCCCCGCTGAGCTAATTGTTCAGTGGCCGTGGGAGGATTAAAGGAACCACCTCCAGCCAATTAGTCCACCAGACATTGTGCGTCAGGTACAGGGTCACCGTCATCCTGGGGCCTGAGCCAGGGGCTCAGTCCAGTGAGCCCTCTGCCTGGGGCTTCCAGAGAGGTTGGCACAGAAGTTAGCAGAGAAGTTACTGCAGCAAACGCAAGAAACAAGGGATGGAAACAAAACCACACAAACCCAAGGCTAAAACTTGAGGGATAGAAACTTCTGGAAGGTGCTTTCTTTTCGGGGGGGGGGTGAGACAGGGCCTTGCTATGCAGTCCAGGCTGGCCCTGAGCTCACAGCAACCTTCCTGCCTCAACCTCCCAAGTAATGGGAATACAGGTGTGTGACACCATCCCTGGCTGGAAGGCACTTTAGAGTCAGGGCTGGGTGCAGACCCAGGAGGGAAGTGGTTTCAAGGTGCCCGGGTCCAGATTGCTGAGGCTGAGGCAGGTCGGCCGTGCTGGCTCACCCAGGCCATCTGCCTGCCTGTCCGTCCTCCAGCCTCCTGCCCTCCAATGCCCTGCTGCTCATGGCCCCCAGTGCCCAGGACTCAGCTCGGTTTGAGTGCGTGGTGAGCAATGAGGTGGGCGAGGCCCGCAAGCTCTACCAGGTGACCGTTCAGGGTGAGTGAGGGCGGGTGTGGACCTCTCCTCCAGGAGCCTCCCCGGATCCCGCTCGTTCTCCCTCTCAAGTATCCCAGCTCCGGCACAGTGTCTGGCAGAAGAGGCTCCTCCTCACTCCTGTGTGGTCTGGCCCTGTTGCAGCCCCACGCCCCAGTTCAGGTCACCCCACAGGCTGCCTTGCTCTGGGAACTGGCTGTGCTAACCAGTTTTCTGTGCCACACCCCAGGACCTTTGCACATACTGTTCCCACAGCCAGGAGTACTGTTCCCCTCACCCAGCCCACACCTGCTTTCCTTACAGGTGTCTGGTTCAGTGCCACATCCCAGGGAGGCCTCTCCACTGCCCTCACCCCAAGTCAGCTGGCTCCCCTGGGCCCCTGTCTTTATGGGTCACTCTCAAAGCCTCCACAGAGAGCTGTTCATGACTGTAGCCCTGTGCCCCATACCTGCAGAGTGAGCAGAAGTGTGCTGCCCTTGTCCCCGCCTCCCTCCCTGGTCCCGGGCCACTAAAGTCACCCTCCGTGTGTAGCTCCCCCCCAGCCCAGTCTCCCCTGCACCTCAGTAGGGCCTCGGCCTTGTGCTGGGTTGCAGAGCCCCCGACCATCGCAGACGACCAGACGGACTTCGCCGTGAGCAGGATGGCATCCGTGGTCCTCACCTGCCATAACACGGGCGTGCCGGCCCCGGCTGTGTCTTGGAGCAAGGCGGGCGCCCAGCTGGGGGCCAGGGGGAGTGGCTACCGCATCTCACCTTCCGGTGCGTAGGGGGCAGCCAGGGAGATGCAGATGGAAGGGTGGCCTGGCTCCCCCGAGCCTCAGTTTCCCCTCTGGCGCTGCAGTGTTGAGACCCAGCAAGGGGCCATGAGGCTCAGGGGCAGCTCCATGCTCTTTGCTGGCAAAGGAGAGAAATCGCAGCCCCCAGGTTTTTTGTGAAGCTAGTTTTATCCCTAAGAACAATTGCTCTTTATTCTGAAGTTATGCTCTTCATCTCCTGATGTTGAAAGTTCCTTTCTTTGATGAAATTAAGGTAATAGTAGAAAATTTTTTTTTCAGTACTGGGGATTGAACCCGGAGTCTTTACACTGAGCTACATCCTTGGTCCCTTTTTGTTTTTTATTTTGAGACAGAGTCTTGTTAAATTGCTAAATTGTCCAAGCTGGGCTTGAATGTGCAATCCTCCTGCCTCGGCCTCCCAGAGTGCTGGGGTTACAGGTCTGTGCTGCCACACCTGGCTGCATGGTGATTTTTAGAACATCTTTGCTTGTGAAAATCCTTTTTGGGGATTCCCCAAATTAAATTCATTTGTTGGTTGGTCAGGGAAATCCTAAACTGGAAACCACCTGTTAGCTCTGTGGTTTCCAAGGTCCTCTAAGGCAGCAGAACACTTCCTTCTGGCCAGCGGTTATGGTGGAGAACTTCACAGCTCCGGATCCATCCGGGCTGGGCCGGGCCGTGGGGGGTCTGAGGCCTTCAAGCCTGGCTCCTCCACCCCCCAGTGGCCCTGGGGATACACAGAGGACACCTGGAGGCTCCTGCACCTGGCTGTGGGCGCAGCCTGTGGCCCGAGGAAGGGCAGAGGTGCCCGTGAGCACCAGGTAAAGGAGGGCAGGTCAGGGAGGCAGGGATCCGGAGGCTTCCTAGGGAGGCAGGTTTCTAAATCTGGTGGGACTCGGCCAGAGATTCCCCGCAGAGCAAGGGCTGATCCTGGAATGTCCAGCAGCGGGCGCTAGAGACCACATCATCTGATGTGTCATTGTGCCAGATGTGATCAGAATAATGTTTAAATGTAAAAGATGATTTACAGTGAAAGGTACACTGCCATTAAGCCCCCTTGAAATCTTCCCTGTTGCTTCAGACACACTTATCCCATCATGTTTGCCACTTTCCGAAGCAGTTCTGGATGGACCCTTTCCTGAGTGTCTTCGTGTGTGTTGAATGGTGGACCTGCCGAGGACCACCCAACAGAACGGCAGCTCAGAAAAACATGATGCTGTGTCCTCGTCTACCTTATTCACTGGGCCTGCCACTGTGTGATTTCTGGCTCCTCCCCAAAGTCAAAATGGGCACAGGAAGGAAATATTTTCAATTGATCCAGGACATCGAGGCAGCCACAATAGTGCAACTAAAGACCCTCAGGAACGAGGACTGCAGAGCTGCTGCAGGAAGTGGCGAGGATCATGGGATCAGTGTGTTAAAATAAGGAGCAGTGTTGGTGGGGAGATTCATGGAAATGTGTCTTTTACTATAACACATTTTCTTAAATTTAAAAGTTCTTTTTTTTTTTTTTGTACTGGGGATTCAACTTGGGTCCTTGCACTTGTTAGGCAGGTGGTGGAACAACTGAGCCAAATCCCCAGCCCTAAACATTCTTAAACATTTAAACATTCTCCATGTTTTTCAATCACATCTGATACACATGAGTAAACTGAGGCCCAGTTATGCTCACACAGCCGGCAGGGGCAGCCTCCGATCCTGATGCCTTTTACAAAGATGTGGGAGCAGGTGTGCGGGAGCCCTGCCAACTCTGCCCCTGGGGACCCTGTCCCTGAACCTGTTGTCGCTTACAGGTGCCCTGGAGATCGGCCAGGTGCTCCCCGTCCACGCCGGCCGCTACACCTGCACAGCCCGCAATGCCGCCGGTGTGGCCCGCAAACACATGGTCCTCACTGTGCAGGGTATGGGCCTGGCTGGATCCCGGGCGGGGAGCAGGTGGGGCTGGGCTGGGAGCATCCCGTGTACATGGATCCCGCTCCCATGGGGTCCTTGGAAGAGAAGACTGGGCCCTGGGTCCTTTGTCGTGTGCTGTGAGATGTGTTCCAGGGACCCATGTCCCGTGCCCCCAGCCGCCCCTGTGGTGAAGCCGCTGCCCAGCATGGTCCAGGTGCTGGCCGAGGAGGAGGTGCTGCTGCCGTGTGAGGCCTCGGGCGTGCCCCGGCCCACTGTCACCTGGCAGAAAGAGGGGCTCAGCATCCCTGCAGGTGAGACACAGGAACCCTGGCCCCCCCTGCCTGCCCAAAGCCCCTGCAGGCCGTTGAGAGGCCCACAAAGCCCACCTGGCCCAGGGACACAGCCGCCGCCCCCCCCCCACGTCACCTGGTGCCCCAGCCTAAGACCTGTCTGGGTGACCAGGGCCTGAGCTGGAGGCTGTGGAGCAGGTGGATGGGCTTGGCTGCCTGCCAGGCCTCCCGGTCACTCTGTTGCTCAGTCACTCCGCAACCCCGTGAGTCACTGGCCACCTGTCGGAACAGCTCAAGCCGCCCTCCTTGGGGGGCCCTGCCCCGCCAGCCCCCGATTTTTTCCCACCGCATCCAGGAGAGAGGAGCCAGGTCCTCCCCAGCGGACAGCTGCGGCTCATGCACGCCCACCCCGAGGACGCTGGGAACTACTTCTGCATGGCCCAGAACAGCGCAGGCAGCGCCATGGGGAAGACGCGGCTGGTGGTGCAAGGTGGGAGAGGGTGGGCCCGAGCTAGACCCCCGACCGAAGCCTGCAAGGCTCTGCCCGCTGTGGCCCCACAAGGAGCTTGTCCTCTCACGCCCTGGACTGGCCTCAGGCCTGCTTCGGCCCAGGAATCCAGCTGGACCGTCCCCCCTGCATTTCCACTTGGCAGTGATAGCCACTTCTGTCCTCCTCCTGCAGACACAGCTACGGGTGCCCCCTCCCGCAGTGTGTCCAGCCCTCTTCCCAGAGACTCGGGGCAAAGCTGGCCAAAGATCTGCACCATGGGGCCATCCCCTGGGCAGCGGTGCAGGGCTGGGGCTGCATGTGTCCTCCCTGGCCGCTCTGTCCAGTGTGCTCTCTCCCCAAATGAGCGGACACCGAGTGTGCCAGCCAGTGCCCATTGCTCTGCCCCACAATCCCCACAGTGCCCCCCGTGATCGAGAATGGCCTCCCGGACCTGTCCACCACAGAAGGCTCCCACGCCCTCCTGCCCTGCGTGGCCAGGGGCAGCCCTGAGCCCGACATCCGCTGGGAGAAGGACGGCCAGCTTGTGTCCGTGTCCGGAGCCCAGGACAAGTTCAGCCTGCAGCCCTCAGGGGAACTGCTGGTGAAGAACTTGGAGGTGAGGGCGGCCAGAGGGCAGAGGGGAAGAGGCCACTCACCTGCTAAGCGGCCCTGGGGGTGGAGGGGCTGAGAGGGAGAATGGTGACAGCATCGCGTGCCTAAAGCATAGCACCCAGTTGTTCTCAACTGTAGCTTGATGCTGAGGGTCCTTGGGTCTTCGAGGTGTAGAGCCAGGGCTCTGGGTGGAGCCAGGGATGTGGGTGGAGCCAGGGCTGTGGGTGGAGCCAGGGCAGTGGGCGGGAACAGGATGGTTTAGGCGCTTCCATCAGGAGCAGTGACCCCTGGGCTTGGTGTGGTCCAGTTAGGCCTGGGAACTTGAGGAGCCGAGCAGAGCAGTTCCCACAGCAGTGAGGCAGCAGGCCTGCCACAAGCTGTGTGACCCTAGCAAGTCTGCTCCATGGGAACCTGCCTGGCTGCGTCTCCAGGGCCTCTGGCCAGGCCAGGGTGCAGACAGTTCTCAGGCCAGCACCTCCCTCTCCCGCAGGGCCAGGACGCGGGCACCTACACCTGTACAGCGGAGAATGTGGTGGGCCGGGCCTGGCGGCGCGTGCACCTCACCATCCTGGCCCTGCCCGCCTTCACCATGCTGCCTGGGGACCACAGCCTGCACCTCGGGGACAGGCTCTGGCTGCGCTGTGCAGCCCGGGGCAGCCCAACCCCCCGCCTTGGCTGGACCATCAACGACCAGCCAGTCACAGGTCTGGGCCGCTGGGGGTGGTGGGAGCTGGACAGGAGGAAGAGGCTGTTGGTGGGGCCCAGGGGCTCTGGCAAGAGGCCACCAGAGAGGAAGACTCAGGCCAGAGCGGCGGTGCCCAGCGGGTCCTGCAGCAGCCCCTTGACTGTTCACCAAACACCTCCGCGAGGGGCAGGTGCCCACCCCATCCTCTGTGGCCTGGGCAGTCCCAGAGTGGGTCTGACTCGGCCAGCCTCCCCACAGGGAGAAGGGGCATCCGTTTTAGTTCTGCATCCTTCCTCAGCACCTGCCGGATACCCAGGCCTACATGGAGACCTCAGGGCACAAGGCCAGGTCCTTGGACTCAGTGGCCTGAGACCTGGCTTTCTCCTCCACAGAGGGTGTGTCCGAGCAGGATGGGGGCAGCACGCTGCAGCGGGCAGCCGTGACCAGAGAGGACAGCGGGACCTACGTCTGCTGGGCTGAGAACAGAGTGGGCCGTGTGCAGGTGGTCAGCTTCGTGCACGTGAAAGGTACGGCATGAGCCCAGACGCCTTCCCCCCGAGACCGCCAGGTGGCCCGGATGTTTACTTTCCCAGAGCCTGGGCCCTGTCCTCTAACTCGTGGGCCTCCACATTGGGACCCACTGTGAAATGCTGAGGCCACTCCCTGCAGTGGGCGGTCCTGGGAAGGGAGGAGAAACCCCCGAGGCTTGCTGGCGGTCTGTCCCCTCCAGCCTGGCTCCACCCTTGGTGACACTGGCAGCACAACTGCAGGTGGCCAGGACTTGATGGAGGGGACCAGCAGCCCAGGGCACCAGGACCCAGCTGTGGCTCCTGCTAGATTCAGGAACGGTAGAAAGCAGCCCTGAGCATCTAACAGGGATTTGAGAATCACATGAACCTCTGCACTGCTGCATACAACAGAGGTGTCCTCATGTTTTCCTATAGTTCTGGCTTCCCAAGGTACCTGGCACACATCTGCTGTTGGTGCAATTGATCTGTGAGATCAATTACTGAAGACACATGTGCCCCTGTGCCCCTGCCTGTACCCATCTCAGGCATCACTAATCAATGGCAGCACGAATCCCCCTCAGTTTCAAATTTTTCTTCTCAGCCCAGTTCCTGGCAGCCACTGCCAGTCTGACAAGGCCCAGGACATGGAATTTGTTTGTGCTCCCAATGCATTGACCACACACAAGCCCTGGAGACAGAGGCTAGGGAGGACTTTGGGGATGGCTTATGGGAGTTGAGCCTTGGTTAATGTCGCCCCATGCAGAGGCCCCCATCCTACAAGGAGAAGCCTTCTCCCACCTGGAGGAGCCTGTAGGGGGCAGCATCCAGCTAGACTGCATGGTCCATGGTGACCCAGCCCCGGACATCCACTGGACCAAGGATGGTCTTCCACTGTGGGACAGCCGCCTGCGGGTGCAGAATGGCTCACTGACCATCCACAAGACCAAGGCAAGGCGGCGACCCCAGGACAGCCCTGTGCTGCCTCTGATGGCTGGGGAGGGGCTTGTTTAGTTTGGCACTGCCCTTTACAGTCTACAGAGCCTTTCCTTCCCTCCCACCACGACCAGGGTGGCTGCCAGCCAGTGACTTAGCTGTTCTGAACCTCCATCACCCCAGCCGCTTGTCCAGGGCCAGTGACTTCTTCTGCCTCCTAGGGGAATAGTGAATAGTGAGAAATCAGATGTCCCTTGCCAGCTATCAGAGAGTGGCCTGTGGCTGAGCCCCAGAGCACCATTATTAGCAGAGGGCAGTAATGGTGCCCTCACTGGACAAGTGCAGACCTGGAAGCTCAGAGAGCTGCATGGCGAGTATGTGCAGGAGAGAGGAGCCCGTGCCAGTCCTCTTGACTCCCCCTCCCTAAGGTTTCCAGATCACCGCGCCTGGGCAGCCCCTCTCCCCTTCCATGGGGCACCCTAAGTTTGGTCTGGATGCAAGTTATCTCAGGGCGTTGGCTCTCTGGGGAGCTGTCACTGGATACTGACAACAGCGGGGCGGGGGGGCCAGCCCCCACCTTGCACTGCACACCCACACAGTCCTGGGGGACCCGGGCATGTGCATGCCTGTTATCCTGGCACTCTGGGACCCTGAGGCAGCAGGATCATGAGTTCGAGTCTAGCCCAGGCAACTTAGCAATTTAGCAAGGCCCTGTTTCATAAAAAATAAAGAAAATTGGCTGGGGTGGTCACCCCGTGTGAAGCCCCCAGCTGGGTTCAGTCTCCAGTACTGAGAGTGAAGTCTTGATGCTTATCATTCCCACTGCAGAGATGGGGAAACTGAGGCTGCAGAGACGTATGGCAAAGTAATGGTCCCATACAGGGAGCATAGGTCTGGGACAGTCTCTAGTTGGCCTGACCTCCGAGTCTGCTCAGCTCTGGGCCATGTTGCCCGTGGTGCAGTCTTCTGGACTCACCCAGGCCTGGGTGTGGCCTTGGGCTGCCCCAGCTTCGTTTGCAGGGGACGCGGCTCTCCTGTGTCCGGTCGCAGACCCACGGCTGCGAGCTACCCTGGCCGCCCAGGTCAGAGGAGTGCAGTGCAGGCCGACACTGTCTGTGTCCCGAGAAGCCCTGCAGCTCTGCCGCGTGCTATCCCCCTCGGGGCTTCCCACGCACATCTGCACTGGGTCCATCCGTCCCTGTGTCCCGAGCCGCCCGTCCCATCCTGAGCCCGTCTCCCTGCAGATGGCCGACGCGGGGCTGTACCAGTGCCTGGCGGAGAACGAGGTTGGCGCCGTGAGGAAAGTGGTGACGCTCATCCTGCAGAGTGAGTCTCGCCCTGCCCTGGGCCTGGACGCTTGTCCCCAGCAGGAGGGGACACTAGGGGGCGCTTGGGGGGCAGCTGTGCTGCGGAACAGATGTTTGGAACCCACGACTGACATCCAGTGAAATGTCACTTAGATGTGGGACAGGACTGGGGGCCAGGCTTGGGGTCCGGCTGTTCACAGCTCAAAGCCGTCACTGAGGTCCTCATGGTGACACTAAGCGCTCTCTGAACCCCAGGGAAACCCAAGAGGGAGTCTGCGCCAGGACTTTGTAGAGAGCAATGTGCTGAGACAAAGGCACATACAGAGAAGGGGATGTGTTACAGGTGCCCGACTCCATGAGCTTTCATAACGGGAACCCATGCAGGTCCCCCCGGCACAGCCTTCCAAACCCCGCCCCCAACGCTGTAATCATGGTCTCAGCTTTGCCTCTTTATTTCTAAAACACAGCTTTACTGAGGTATAATTTATATACTATAAAATTTACCCATTTGTACAGTGGAATATTATACAGCCTTGAGGACCTTGTGCCATGGGAAATGAGCCAGATTCTCTCATGTGAGGTCTGTGCAGCAGTCAGATTCACAAAGGCAGAGAAGGAGGTGGCTGTCAGCCGCTGGAGGGTGGGCGGGGGAGCAGCTGCTGTTTTAACGGGTACAGAAGTGGATTTTGCCACAGGAAAAAGTTCTGGCACTGGGTTGCACAACAGCGTGACACACTTCACACTGCAGAACCAAATACTTTAAAAGGGTTGCTGTGGTAACCCTCATGTTCGTGTTTTTACCACTTTTCTTGAGGGCGGTGCTGGGAGTGGAACCCAGGGCCTCATGCACGCTAGGCAAGTGCTCTACCACTGAGCTGCACCTCCACCCTGCTATAAAGTTTTCAGGTGAAAAAAATTCAGAGTATAAGTATACACCAGGTAAGCCGGGCATGGTGATGCACACTTGTAATCTCAGCACTCAGGAGGCTGAGGCAGGAGGATTGCTGTGAGTTCGAGACCAGCCTGGGCTACCCAGTGAGTTCAAGCCAGCCTGAACTGCATAGCGAAACTCTGTCTAAAGCCCCTCTCACTCAAAAGTATACAGTTGATTAATTGGTAGTTTATAGAGTAATGGCAGCTTTATCACAGCCCACTTTTAGAAGATTTCTGTCCCTCCAAAAACATTCCCTTTCCCCTTTGCCATCAGTCCTCGCTCCCAGCCTCGACCCCAGCAGTGAGTGATCAGCATTCTGTCTCTATAGCGTCACCTGTCCTGGATGTGTCTTTCTTCGCAGCTGTTATTTGTCATCAGCCCATCAGTCCTCATGGGGAGCTGGTACATGGACAGAACTCATCTTAATTCTTTTCTCGACCCTTCCCCTCCCCTCCCCCCCCTTGGCCCCCTTCCCTTTGGTAAAGGGCCTGGGAGGTCCAGGGAATGGAGTCTTGTGTAGCCTTCCGGTTCTGGCCTCTCCGCACTGTGCTCTTGGGTCATCTGTGTGTACCACCTGTCAGGAGGCCATCTGTCTTCACAGCTGAACAGTATTCCACTGCATGCAGGGGCCACATTTTGTTTATCCATTACCAGTTACCGGACATTCTTTCCAATTTTTGGCCTTTTTAATTTTTTAGACAGAGTCTCGGTATGTAGCCCAGGCTGGCCTTGAACTTGCAATGATCCTCCTGCCCTAGCCTCCCCGAGTGCTGGGTTCACAGGCATGCGCCACCATGCCTGGGTAATTTCTGGCCACCATAAACAATGCTGCTGCACACGTTTGCGTGGGTGTACGCTTTCCTTCCTCTTGGGTCAGCTCCTGGGAGTCTAAGTGCCGGGTGATGTGGTAGGCGTGTGTCTCAGTGTTTTAGAAACTACCAAGCGGGCTTTCCTTCCAGCAGTGTGTGAGGTTTCGGTTTCTCTGCAGCCCGAACTGTACTTGCTGATGTCCATCGTTTTTATTTTACCCACCTTGGCAGGTGACATCCAACCTGCCACCTGTCTCAGCCATTTTCGTCCCCCTCGGAACTGCTGCCCATGTGATGCCCGTGTCTCTGCTCACGGGCCAGCCTTGCATCTTCCTTGGCCACCTGGTCACATCCGGTTCCCGCTTTTCACTGAGCTGTGCATCTTACTAATGAGCCGTGAGAGCCCTTTACAGGGTGGGGACACAAGTCCTTCATCAGATACACAATTTGTAGATATTTTCTTAGCTTGTCTTTGCCTTTTTTTTTTTTTTTTTTTTTTTTTTTTGGTGCCGGGGATTGAACTTGAGTCCTTGCGCTTGCGCAGCAGGCGGCGAAACCAGTGAGCAAAATCCCCGGCCTGTGCCTTTTCTTAATGGTGATATCAAAGAGCAGAAGTTGTGAAATCTAATGAAATCCAGATTTATCAGATTTGTACTTTTTGGATCATATATTAGGTGTTATATCTAAAACTCATCTTCACCTAACCTGAGGTCACTTTTCTTCTATGATGTCCACAGTTGTAGTTCTTATGTCATTTAGGCCTGTGATCTGTTTTGAGTTCATGTTTATGTGAGATTTGTGTCTGAATGCCTGTTTTATTTCTTTTAGTACTGGGGGTTGAACCCAGGGCCTTCACACTACATCCCCAGACATTGTTAAATTTTTACTTTGCAAGAAGGTCTCACAATGTCACTAAATTGCAGGGCTGAGCTCAAAGTAAACATCCTCCTGCCTCAGGCTCCCAGAGTGCTGGGATTATAGGTGTTTGTCACCATCCCTTGTTCCTTTTTTCTCTCTCTCTGTTTCTTTTTTTCCTTTGTGGATCTCTAACTGTTCCGGCATCATTTATGCAGAGCTTTCGTTTCTCTCAGTGATATTTTGTAGTTTTCAGTATAAGTCTTAAACTCTTTCTGTTAAATTAATGACTATTCTATTATTTTTTGGTTGCTCTTTTTTGAGGTAGGGTCTTGCTGTGTAGTGTAGTTCAGGCTGGCTTTGAACTCACTATGTAGCCTAGGTCTCTAACTCACAGAGATCCTTCTGCCTCAGCTTCCTGAATGCCGGGATTATAGGCCTGTGCCACCAAGCCTGCAAATGGATGCTATTTTGGCTCTAATGGTGTTCTTAGTTTGATCTCTGGAATTTCACTGCTCATACACAGAAACACTGTTGTGCCCAGATCGCGAAGTCCCCGAAGACCACCAAGGAGCCAATTCCAATGCAAACACACGAGGGTCATTTATTCAAGCTCGAGCAGGGACTCTCAACCATCGCCGATGCAGCGGGTCAGGATCGAGAGCCCCAAATTTCAAATTAGCGGGGTTTTTATAGAGGTTACAGCAAGGTTTGGAGATCTTTCACTTAGCAGTTACATGATTGGTTAACATTTAGCAAGCATGAAGTGTACATTTCTGATTGGCTAGGTTCATCGGGGGGGTTGAGGGGCGGTTACATGTAGGTTTTAGGAGGGAAATGAGGGACAAGGGTTAGTGGTCGACTGTCACGTACTGATGGTCAGCAGACACACTGACTAATAGTCACGACCATTACATACTGACAGTCAGCACATCTACAGATTGTTCTATGGATAGGGGGCCCAGAACGTTCTTTTCCTAGGCAAACAGATGGTTGAGTAACTAACTTAGGAGCTTTGCTTCGGTACAGATTGTGTCTTTTGTCCCAGAGCAGGCACATTTTAACCATTAATTTGTGAGAGACTAGGGGAGTGGTGCGTTTTAGCAAAATGGAGTCGCTCTGGTCTCACAACACAATTGGTTTTTATGTCTTGGTCTTGCATCCCGCAGCCTCGCTTAGTTCCTAGTCCTTGTCATTTCACAGTGGGGTCCTCAGGGCTCTACGTGGAGGACTTGCTGGTGTAACCCATGAGTAAGACAGGTGGCCTTGGCCTTGGCCCTCTGTGTGCTCCAACTTCTTGCACTGCCTGCTGCAGAATGGGGCACAGTCTGTCTGCATTGGGCCTGGTGGGAGCCCTCAGACTTTGAGGACGCCCTTGATGGGGCGGAGGGGGTTTGCCGTCACACTCACTTCCTGGGGGATGTGCTAGGGACAGCCACTGGCTTGCCTGGCGCATAGGCCGTGGAGGACTCAGAACCCAGGAAGATCCCCCTGGGCCTTGGGACCAGCACAAAGTACTGACAGCTCTCTCCTATCACCTGGCTGGGCTCGGCCTCCTGGAAACACCAGCGCCTCCCACAAATCATAACTCTACACCTGTTCTCTGCTGCCAGAGGACTAAGAAAAGCATGACCCAGCAAGAAAGAAAACCTCCAGACCAGAATGCTCTGGTCCAGCCAGACAGCATAGAAAGCACAGCCCCAACCCATCAGCAGACACTGAGAGACCCTGCAGGGGAGGGCACCCCGCTGTGCTGGGGTCAGAGGTCAAGTAGGGGGCCTGGGTGTCCTTGACCTTGGTAGCAGTGGTCAGCACCTTCTGAGTGACAGAGGAGGCTGCTAAAGTGGACGATTCGTGTAAGAACCAGTCTCAAACCAGGTGTGGTTCACACACCTGTGATTCTAGGTACTGGGGAGGCTGAGGCAGGAGGATCTCAATTTGAGCCTGGCCTAGACAATTTAGGAAGACTTGTCTCCAAATAAAAAGGGAAGTGGCTCAGTGGTGGAGAGCTTACCTTAAGCCCCAGGACAGAGAGAGAGAGAGAGAGAGAGAGAGAGAGAGAGGAAGAAGAATCTTACAACACTCTAATGGAAATTCACCAGCCAGATCAAGAAGGAAGAAATCTCAACTTGAATGAGAAAAGACAGTGGCACGGCTGTGTGACTCATCAGAGCAGGATTTAAAAGTCGCCATCATGAAATCACTTCAAGGGCCAATTGTAAACGGGCTAGAGACAAGAAGTAGTGACAGCAGGGTGGTGGGGCTGGAGGTCACGATGGCCGGGCTCCCAGCTCCCTCAGGGTCCTCAGGTCTCCCTGCGGGAGTCACACCTGCCACACTGCGGGGGTGGGAGGGTGGGGGGGACAGTAGGCCAGCGACACCTCCCGGGCGGGCGGGGCCCCAGCCCCACAGGGCAGGGTGGTGTCTCCCATTTGCCCCAGGCTGGTTTTCCTTCTCAGTTGCCGCTCCCTGTTCCAGGCCACCCCTACCCTAGTAATACATGACAATCAGGGTGACAACCGCAGTGGGGGTGGGGGACACAGTTCCAGGCAGAAGGCCACAGACTCTCACTGTTCTTATCCAAAGTCCTAGAAGCTTTTTATGGACAAGGGAGTCTCAATAGGTTGTACGCCTTTTGTTGATTTCTAGGTCCCTGAAATTTGAAAATGTACATATATTTTTTGAGTTTTTTGAGTCAGAGTCTCCCTATGTAGCTCAGACTGGGCTTCAACTTGGGGCAATCCTCCTTCCTCAGCCTCTGGAGTGCTGGATTATAGGCTTCTGCTGCCACACCCAGACAAAAAATTTTTGTAGTGCAGTTTGATCACCATCTGTTGTTGTCAGACTTCTGCACCGCACTGTGGGTGGCACACGTGTGCCGTTCCTGGCCAACTGGTCGGTGCCCATTCCTGGCTGGTTTTCTGCCGCAGGGAGACCCCTTCACATGTCACAGATTGTAGGGAACAGGGGAAGTTTCCAGAACCTCTGCAGTAAATCCTAGTCTCCTGCAAGCCACAGCATCACATGGCGAATTACAGGAAAGGTAGACAAATGAGACTGAGAAGAAGCTGAGCTTTGGGTCTGATCAGTGCTGCTCTGGGCAGCAAAGACAAGAACCCCTAGCTTGCAGCACCTTTTATTCAGTACATCAGGAGAAACATGTAACAAATGAATATGTAGAGTTCAGTACGTCACATTGGGATGAGCAAGGTGTAACAAAAGACTGGGTGGGGACAGTGGAAATCTAAGAACAATGAAGAACTATGCAGATGAAGATTTGGTTCCTCCCTGGCTCTCCTGCAGGTGTGGTTTTGTCCTGGAGATTACAGCACCCAGGGATCACTGAGGTCTCAGTTGTGACCTGAGGCCAAAATGCAATTATGTCTGGAATGTCGTACCTGGTCTGTAGCCTGGAGAACTAGGCCTACTCAAATGATTTATCCCTAGAATTATGCAGCATTGCTCCCAACAACAGATCTCACTGCAGGTGGTTTCCAGCTCGGGCTGAGGGTGAACAGAGTTGTGCAGACTCGGGTACTTGTCTTCCACTGAGCCCACGTCCTTGTGTCACTAGGATGTCCCACCGGAGTGGAACTGCAGGGTCCTACGGTGCACACTCCTCCAGGTCTAGGAAAACTGGCTGCCATGGGCAGGGACTCAGCTCCCAAAGATGTGTCCATGCCTGAAGCCCAGGACCTGGGGACCCAACTTGGACAAAGAATGTGCACAGCCATGATTGGGTTGGGGACACTGAGATTGGGAGATTGTCTCAGGTTACCCCAAGGGTTCTTAGAAGAGAGAGAAAGCTGGATGTGCTGGCACATGTCTGTCATCCCAGCACTCAGGAGGCTGAGTCAGGAGGGTCACAGCAAATTCAAGGCCAGCCTGAGCTACATAGCAGGACCCTGTCTCAAACACAAGAGAGAGAGAGAGAGAGAGAGAAGAAAGAGAAATAGAGGGATACCGCATATACAGGAGAGGAGGCTCAGTGGACATGGAATGGAGGCAGAGGCAGGGTAGTGCACTCAGAAACAGTGAATGCACAGATCTTCCTCCCCCGGAGCCCCAGAGGAAGCATGGCATGGTGACTTCATCCCAGTGGCAGGGGTCGTGGACTTCTGTCCCTCACGCCTCGAGAGCACACGTCCAGCAGTTCTGACCACCACTTGCGGGGTTCATGATGCCCCCACGGGTAGCTGACTAGCAGACACTTTTCGTGGCGGCCGCCCCTCTGGGGGGGTGTGAGTCCTGCTGGCCCCATGTCCTCGCCAGCGCTGGGCGTTTCTGTCTGCATCCCTGCCCCAGGGACCAGGGTCAGAAGGACTGACCAGAGGGCCAGGGAGCAGCAAGCCCAGCTCCACCTCTGTCACAAGGCTCCCAGCTCAGGCGGTTCCAGCAGTGTCACTTGTGTCACCAGAAACAAGCTCTGTGTCTTGGAATTGAGATGTGTCTAGCAACTCATAATGAGGCTGAACAGCGGGGTCCCAGCAGCCATGAAGAACGAATGCTTAATGTGTGGGATGGAAGCTGAGGTCGATTGGGGAGCAAGAGAGCAAATGTGCAGGCCAGTAACAGTGCTCAGATTGGATTGTGCCTCATTTTCTCCTCCTTGCTTTCTGTGTTGTCTGAGGCACCTAAGTGAATATGTCACAAGTAGACAAAAATAACCCAATATTCCTAAATGCTGCCTGGGGCCTCCCACAGGTGCCCCGGTGTTCCAGGTGGAGCCCCAGGATGTCACAGTGAGGACCGGTGAGGACGTGGCCCTTCAGTGCCAGGCCACTGGAGAGCCAGAGCCCACCATTGAGTGGCTGCATGCAGGGCGACCCTTGCAGGCCAGCCAGCGACTCCAGACCCTGCAGGATGGGAGCCTGTGGCTGGAACGCGCAGAGCCTGGAGATGCTGGGCCATACGAGTGCATCGCTCACAACCTGCTGGGCTCTGCCACAGCCAGGGCGTTCCTGGTTGTGAGAGGTATGAGACATTGTTGCCCAGGTCTCTGTGGACACAAGCAGGGGCTCCTTTACCCTGGGGGTTCGTGCCTCGCTTTGGGGGGGGACTCGGGCCACTGTGCTGCCCGCTCCCCAACTCTTTGCTTAGTCAAACTCAGAATCAGCCAATGAAGAGTGCCTTGTGGGTCATCTTGGTCTACCCTACGCACTTACATTTGAGGAAACTGAGTCTCAAGGGCCCGTTTGCCACTTGTGTTAGACAGGGAAACTGGCTGTCCCAGGATATTTCACAGCCTGTGGAATTGGCAGAGTAAAGCAGGAGTGTCCATGGTCCTCCTGGGATGCTGTGCATATCGGGGGGCTGGTGCCTGCCAGACTTTGCACATGGCCTGGCCAGGGAAGCAGGCAGATGAGACACAGCTCAGAGAGTTCACTAACTCTGCTGTCTCAGGATTCTTTCATCAACCATCTTCTCCCTTGGGACAGACTCAAACTTAAAGTTAAAGAAATGGGCAATCCTGAGAACCACAGTAAAGTAATTCGGACCTGCACAAAGGAAAGTCACAGAATACTATTTCTAGGTGGTCTGTAACCTGTAGTAAATAGTCCACAGGTATGGCTTTGTGTCCCTCCCTTGTCCCTGGAAAATATAGCCAATCTATGGCAGTGTCAGAATCATTCTCTGTAGAACCCTTCTCCAGCCCTGTCCTTGCAGACATCACCAATCTATCACGATTGGCAATGTCACAATCATTCTCCATGGAATCCTTCCCCAGCCCTGCCCTGGCAGACATCACCAATCTATCACGATTGGCAATGTCACAATCATTCTCCATGGAATCCTTCCCCAGCCCTGCCCTGGCAGACATCACCAATCTATCACCACTGGCAATGTCAGAATCTTCCTCCGTAGAACCCTTCTCAGGCACAGAACCCTTCTCTCAACTAATTGGGTTTTGGCCCTCTGTCATTTGAAACCCACTGTCTACCAAATGTGGGGCCTCTCTGGCCCCTGGTCTCCCATCTGCTACAATCCAGGGGCAGGATTTGAACAAATGCAGCTCTGGAAGTTCAGCGTTGTGCTATCAGCCAGGGATGCTCTCAAGAGTGGGAGAGCGGAGCTCTGTTTCCGAGCTTGGACCTCCCCACTCCTGCTGACCTGCACATGGCCTCTCGGTTGGCTCTGCAGGCAGGGCTGACACCCAAAGGGCTGCAGGTGGGGCTTAAGTAACACGCACTGCCTGTGTCCGGCTCTGGAGGCTGGGAGGGCACGGTCGGGGTGTGGGGGGGGTTGGTCTCTTTGGAGGTCTCCGAGGGGCAGACACCACAGCTTCTGGTGACCTGCTGCCCGACTTTTGTCACAGGGAATTGTCCCTGTGTGTCTATCTCTGAATTTCCCCCTTTAAAATTAATTAATCAATTTATTTATTAATTTATTGTTATTACTTTTGGTTTTTTGAGACAAGGTCTCACTATGTAGCCCAGGCTGGACTTGAACTCCTGGCAGTTCCCCTGCCTCAGCCTCCTCTGGAGTGCTGGGATTACAGGCGAGCACCACCTGGCTCCTCTTTTAATACGGATGCAGGCACACTGGATTAGGTCCCACCCTAATGACCTCACTGTCACTTGGTTTCCTCTACAGAGATCCTAAGGTCGCAGTCAGAGGTCTGGGGTTAGGACTCGAACATTTGAATTTGGGCCGCGTGGCGCAGTCAGACCCTCTGCAGCCTCCTCATTTTTCAATGGAAATGACTGTTTCCCCTTCATATGTGCTAATTGCAGAAAGGCCAGAAAATATAGAAATGTGAGAAGGAAGAAGTAATGATCTCCTGTAATTCAGTTAGCAGGAATAGCTCAGGCCGTAATTTGGGGATGCATTCTCCCACCTTTTCTCTGAATGGAAAGAGATTCTCTATTCCTTTTTGGACAAGGCCTGTTCTCAGGTCCTCTTTGCAACCTGCCATGGACAAGGCCACTCTGACTTGGGTGACGTCCCCCGTAGCCAGCCAGGGTCCCCCTCTTTGCTAGCTTCGGAGAGGATTTATCTGCATTTCTGTCAGCTTTGTTAGACAAGCAACAGATTCTTTTTCCTAGTTCCTACTTCAAGACCAAAGTGTGGTGCCCGCTGTGCTGTGGTGGCCCGAATATTTGTACAGGGTAAATTCCTCAAGGGACTTGATTAGGCTGAGTGAGTTTTGGTTTTGGTTTTTGGTGGGTTTTTTTCATTTTTATTCTTGTTGTTTTGCAGTCCTGGGGATTGAACCCAAGGTCTTCCCACTGAGCTCCATCCCCAGCCCTTTTTAAAATTTTTGTCTCGAGACAGGGTCTTGCCAAGTTGTTAAGTTACCCAGACTGGGCTTAAATTTGCAATCCTCCTGCCTCAGCCTCCCAGAGTGCTGGGATTATAGATATGTGCCACTGTAACGAGCTAACGGGAATTTTTGAGGCCTCCTGACTATAAACGTGTCCCTCCCTTCCCTGCCTGCTTGTACCTCCTTCCCAGCAGCCTGATGGGTCCCCGTGCTGACCTCGCTGGGCACAAGGAGTTGCAAAGACTCCCCCCGGGTTCCAAGAAGCGAGATGGTGGCTTCCCTTCGCTGGACTCTGAGGTCCTGCGCTTTCCCGAGCTGCCTCCCACCCCCACCTCACCATCTGCAGCCCCTGGCTCCTTCCGTCCCCTCATTAGAAGACCTGGGCTTGGCCCCGTCTCCCCTCCCGGCCCAGAGCAGCAGATTGGCATGGGACGCATCCCAGACAGGCACAAATCTCATCAGCCCTGGCCCCAGGCCTCAGGAAACGGTCCTCACCAGCCCCTCATTTGTCCATTTAGGATGCTGGCTGCTGAGTGTTTTCTGTTATTTTTTGACAGATCGTGGCCATTTGTTCCTAATGTCCCCCGAGAGCTAGCGGGTGGAGAGCAGGCTGACCTCCCCCCTCAACCTCTGGAATACCAGCTGCCCGGCACTGGCCCATTAGGAGGAGGAAGCCCCCCCCATTAGCTGCAGAGCGGCCCTGGCAGACCGCCTGGCACCGATAGAAAGCCAGCACGCCTCGCCAGTCCAGCTGCAGGGCACAGGGCCAAGGCCGCCGATGGAATGGGGGCCTCGGGTGGTGGCACACAGCCCCCCAGTGCCAGCACACAGCCCCCCAGTGCCAGCCACTGCCACCATGGGCTCCTGTGTGTCCCAGGGCCACCTCCTTGTTTCACAGACAAACCTGCTCACTGTGGCGTGGGGCCTGGCATGCCCAGGGTTCAGGAAGGTGGTGGAGAAGCAGATCTCGCTGCGGGCATCTCACCCCTGCTCGGGTGCCTCCACTCAGCCTTGCCTCTCTTTTAGAGTCAGGGTGCCCTGTGCCTTGGGTCTGTAACAGTTTGCTCTGTGTGTTGGGGAAGGTACTGCGCCTCTCTGAGCTTCAGCATTCCTTTCCTGCTTGTCCTGAGGGCACGGGTGGCTCTTTTGCTTCCTCCCAGGGCACCCCCAGGGGAGCCGGGGCAGCATGATTGGGGTGATCAACGGCCAGGAGTTTGGCGTGGCTGCTGTCAACACCAGTGTGCGACGGGAGCCACATTCCGGAGTCACCACCATCCAGAGCAGCATCAGCCGCGTCCCAGCAGATGTGGGTGAGTGGGGCCAGGTGGCCGCTCATCAAGGCCCCACTGTCCCAGCCCACTGGGGACCCTCCAGCATGGGCTGGAGCAGAAAGAGCAAAGGCTGTTCTCAGAGGCTTGCGCAGGGCCTGGTACCTGGAGATCTGGCTGCCCTCTAAGTAATCCTAGCTACTGGGGAGGCTGAGGCAGGAGGATGGCTGGTTCAAGGCCAACCTGGACCAACTAGGGAGACCCTGTCTTTAAATGAAAAACTTAAAAAGGTTTGAGGATGTAGCTTGAGGGAGTGAACACCTAGCATGCATGCACAAGCCCCCAGGCTAAATCCCCTGTACTGAACACGTACACTGATTAGGATCAGGTGGCTCCAGGGACCCAGAAAGTGGTGTTTGAAGCCCGGGTGCTGTGAAAGGGTCACCGGAAATGGTTATGGTACATGAGGTGCAGGTGGGGAGACCCCAGTTAGCTAGGAAGCCCAAGAAGTGTCCGCTTCTGCACAGACTCACGACCAGCATGTTCTGAGCACACAGCCTTCTGCAGGACCGGAGCCGGCGCCCAGGGCCCTGCTGTCTCCCCTCCTTCTAAAGCTGCCCCAGCTCCGGCCTCCGTACACAGTGGGGTCCGGGACTTTGGCCATGTCACTCTGAGCCAGCCTGCAGGAGGCATCTGGCCCCGGGCAGGTGGCTGGGCTCTGCACAGTGGACCGGGGGACAGAGGTCGGGAGGGTTCTCCCCGTGCACAGGGCCTCAGCTCCCTCCTGCCAGTGGCCCAGAGCCGCCGCCACCCCTGGGCATGGGCAATGCTCCTGTCCTGGTCTGCAGCCAAGTGTCACGTGAAGGCCTGAGAGTGCAAGTCTGGGGCAAATTTTTGGCTCTGTTTTCGAAGTCAGTCCTTCCTCTCCCGGGCTCTTCCGGAAGTCATCTGCAAACTAGGAAAGGCAGCTGATTTTCAACTCAGCCCAGCAAATACATAATGACAGCCTGTAGAGTGCCAGGCTCTGTGGTGACCCAGTGGCCCTCAGTCTGTAGAACTGAGTTGAGTATCTGTAAATTATAGATATTCATACAAACTTACTCATTTTCACAACTACTTCATGAAGACATACTTGCCTTTGCTGTTTCCCAGATTCTGGGTAAATAACCAGTGCAAAGGGCCCCGAGGCAGTGCTTAATCAGGGAGAGAAAGGGCTGAGCTGTCCTGGGGGTACTGAGGAGCCACAGAGGGCTCTTGAGCAGGAGTGCGCCCACCCTGAACATCCAGCCCTAGCCTAGGCTCTGTCCTTCCCTGTCCAGGACCTCTGATGCGGGTGCTGGTGGTCACCATCGCCCCCATCTACTGGGCCCTGGCTGGAGAGAGTGGGGGGTCACTGAATGGCCACTCCCTGACGGGTGGCAGTTTCCAGCAGGAGTCGCATGTGGAGTTTGCTACAGGTGAGTGGCGTCTCCTCAAGGGGGCAGGAGGCTCAGATTGGGCCCGGTACGCTCCCCAAGGTGACCCTGGCTGGATGGGCTGGGTTGCAGGGGAGCTGCTCAGGATGACCCAGGTGGCGCGGGGCCTGGACTCCGAAGGACTCCTGCTCCTGGACCTGGTGGTCGATGGCGCTGTCCCCGAGGCCCTGGCGGACGAGGATCTCCAAGTGCAGGTGGGGGTCCAGACTGGTTGGGGGAGAGGGGGCTGTGCCAGCTGCCACCCCTGAGCGCCAGGCCCTTCCTTCCCAGCCCCTGCACCCGCCGCAGCCACTGCCCCCTGCCCGGGCTGCCCGGTGCTTGGAGGAAGAGGGGAGCTGCTTGCCCAGGGCTCCCCCAGCCCCCCAGACCCTTGGGTTTCGTGGCTTAGGAGTGGAAACCCCAGGGCTCCTCCTTCTCCTCCGCAGGACTTCGAGGAACGCTATGTGCAGACGGGGCCCGGCCAGCTCTTTGTGGGCTCCATGCAGCGCTTCCTCCATGACAACCTCCCGGGGCTCCTACACTGCAACCACAGCATCCGGTACTCGGCAGCACGGGGCCCCCAGCCCCAGCTGGTGCAGCACCTGTGGGCCTCGGCTATCAGCTCGGCCTTCGACCCCGAGGCCCAGGCCCTGCGCTACCAGCTCACCACGGCCCTGCGAGCTGGTGAGGGCCGTCCTTCATCTCCACCCCCACTGCTCCAGCTAAAACTAGCCAGGATCAGTGGCAAGGGACTGCTTGCCTGTGCTGCCCTCCAGCCGGCCCCTCCGGCCACCACCGGTGCCATGTCCCTTCCTGTCCCACAGTGCCAGACCTCTAGGGCCCCCAGGTGGACCTCCAGCTCCAGGCTGCCCTGCAAAAGCCCAGCTACACCCCACATTCTTCTTTGAGGGTGCTGTACAGAGCCCCCCGCGGCTCTGGTGACCCCACAACCCCACGGTCTCAGTGAGGGTTGTCCTCGTCAGAGGTCCCCAAGGCTTCACACTGGATGAGGGACAGTGAGACAGCCAGTGCTGTGGCCAGGCAGACCCCATTCCTGTACTGCCTGTGCCACTTTCTGGCTGGGCGACCATGGGGACAGCGTCCTGTCTCCAGTCCAGGGGTTCCCATGGGCGCAGTGGGAGGCAGGGCCTGCCCAGTAGATGCCACCTCTAAAGCCCCGTCTGGGCTCCCGTGCCCTGTTCCAGGGTGCTGTCCTCAGGGTTACTCAGGCGGTGGCTTCTTCCAATCTCCAGAACCCTGTCCCCTGCCGCACCCTCCACCAGACCTTCGTTCTTGCTGCCCACTGCTCTGTGCCCAGCCGCTGGGTCCTTGTGACCGCAGTTTGGACGTGTGGCCCCCTGCTTTCTACTTCTGTGGTTTCTCCTGAGTCCACCTGGCTTGATGTTCCGGGAGACCCTGGCACAGGCACGCAACCAGACCTGTCCTGTGCCCATCCCCTCCAACAGGCCTGGGTGGGACCGGGCCCCTGGCCTCGCTGGCTTAGGACAGGGCTGGGCTCTGGGCCGGGCGGAGGCTGTGACCCAGGCCACCGTGTCCTCAGAGCCTGTCCCTTGCTTTGCAGAAGAGCACGAGGTGGGCTGCCCTGAGGGCTTTGAGCCGGACCCCCAAGGAGCATTTTGTGTGGGTGAGCAGCTCCCCTCCCCAGGCGGGGGGCACGCGCTGTCACCGCCAGCCGGCAGGAGGCTCCGGGAGCAAGGATCGCAGCTCTGTCCCTCCGAAGACAGAGAGGAGTGTTTGGTGGCCCCAGTCCCTGCTCCCACCCTGTCACAATGCTCCTGGCTGCTTCTCCTGCTCCTGCCCCGCCGGCTTCACCCGGCCTGGGATGAGAACTGCGGAAGTGAGGGCCGGGGCATGGTGACAGTGAGTTGGCAGGAGGACTGGGGACCTTCTTGCAGGACCCTCCTGTGTGAACACTGGGCCGGTCAGGGTGCAGGGAGGCCCAGGGCCCTGTGCTCACGCCGCCCCTGCCGTGTCTGTCCCCAGACGTGGACGAGTGTGCGTGGGGCGCCCACCTCTGCCGGGAGGGACAGCACTGTGTGAACCTGCTCGGAGCCTACCGCTGCCTTCCTGACTGCGGGCCCGGCTTCCGGGTGGCGGCTGACGGGGCCGGCTGTGAAGGTGACAGGCGCAAGGAGCCCAGGACACACGCCCAGGGACTGCTGGCTCAGCAGATAGGGCTGCCTGTGTCTCGCGGTGCTGGGCTCTTGGGCATCGGCGGAGACCCTTGGCAGAAGGAAGCAGCACAGGGGGCCAGGAGACCAGAGCTGGCCCCGAGGTCTGGGTCCTGGCCTGGCCCAGTCCTGGCAGCTTCCGGTCCCCTTGGTCCTGTGTTGGAAGAAGGGGGCCATGGATGGCCATGGGGCCGCCTCCCCATCCCCCGCGCGCCATGGCTCAGCCCAGCGACAGCCTCAGAATCCTTCTCCACCCACTTCCCCTGCAGCCACCACTGATCAGGGGCTGCTGAAACCTGAGTGCCCCCCCACGGCACCCTCTGGGGTCCATTGCATGGCTCCTCGGGGACAGGGTGGCCATGGTGGGGCAGCGAGCCTGCCCCCAGCCCTCCTGCACGGGCCTCAGGGCCCGCCGATTTTCAGGGCTCTTCCGGTGGCTGCGTGGTCCCCCACGCTCTTCCTTTCTTCTTTAGCCCTTTCCTGCATGCCCTGCCCCTGAGCCCTGCAAAGCCACCTGCCAATTCTGTCCTCGCACGACCCCATGAACACAGCCTGTCCTTAGCCCTTTCACAGACTGGGAAACTGAGGCCCAGAGGGGGAGGACTGGAACCCAGAACCTCCCTTCACAGCCCCCCTTTGAAGCCCATTCCTTCCTCTGGCCCCGGACTCTGCTGACCTCCAGCCTGGTGTCCCCAGGGTGGCAGTGCAGACGCTGGAGCACAGCCCGGTGTCCGTGTGTGGAGGAGGGGCGGGCGAGGCCCAAAGTGGAGGTCACCCCCGGGGAGGCTCCGGCTAAGCCCCGCCCCGACTCCCCAGATGTAGATGAGTGTCAGGAGCAGCTGGATGAGTGTCACTACAGCCAGCTCTGTGAGAACACAGCGGGTGGGCACCGCTGCAGCTGCCCCAGGGGATACCGGACCCAGGGCCCCGGCCTGCCCTGCCTAGGTATGGACACCTGGTCCTCGCTGGGCCCTGGTGGTGGCCCCTGGCTCTCGGGCAGTGGTGTTTGTGGCCAAGATGCTGGCAACTTCTGAGAACCAGCAGTCCTGGACCTATGCTCTATCCTGTAGGCCACCTCTCCTGGAGGCTGGGAAGGGCAGGCAGGTGGTGTCGATGGGGTGGATCCCAGAGAGGTGCAGGGAACAGAAGGGACCCAAGTGACCACCCAGGGTAGTGGGGCTGGGGAGCTGGGGAGGGGCCCTCTGAGTATAGACAGAGCTGAGGGGAGGCTGGTGGCATCACAGAGGGCTGGTGCAGAGGCAGCCTGTGCAGCGTGTGAGGCTCAGGGTTCCAGGGAGGCCTAAGCAACAGAGGCCTTGAGCTGTCCTGGGTGCCATCTGGCCTCTCTCTCTCTGCAGATGTCAACGAGTGCCTGCAGCTCCCTGAGCCCTGCGCCCACCAGTGCCACAACTTCCAGGGTAGCTACCGCTGTCTGTGCCCACTGGGCCATACCCTCCTCCGTGACGGCAAGACCTGTACCTCACTGGACCGGAGCACACACAATGTGACCACTGTCAGCCACCGGGGACCCTTGGTGCCCTGGCTGCGGCCACGGGGCCCCATCCCTGGTGGCTCTTACCATGCCTGGGTCTCCCTGCGGCCGGGACCCAGAGCCCTGAGCAGTGTGGGCCGGGCCTGGTGTCCGCCTGGCTTCATCCGGCAGAACAGCATTTGCGTGGGTAAGGCCGGGCCCCGTCACCCACAGGAATGTACTCCTGTGTTACCTTGGGCCCCTGGGCTGGAGATGGGCACCCCCAAGAGCTCATGGGCGAGGGGGTGGCCGGTGGAGCTGAGGCTGGCTTCTTCTTTGAGGGGCATCTCCACTGTGCTAATGGGCAAGGGGCCCCGGCTCCAGGAGGGGATGGGCTGTTCTGACTTCCAGAGGCTGACCAGAAAGGGTCTCCTAAATGTGTTCCCAGGAACCCACCTTGAGAAATACTCCATTTGGTACTTGAATAAAGCAGTCAGGGAGGAGCATGCTCTGGAAGGAAGGGGGATGTTCCGGGGCTAAGGGTGGCAGAGGGGGGTGAAGCAGAGGTGGCTCTGCCTGGCTCCTGGTGGTCCTTTCCCTGGTCCTTGGTGACAGAGGCTGACGCAGGGCGATGTCTCCACTGTTGCCAAGTCCAGGGACCGCTCCAGTTCCTGCAGCCAGAGCCGGGTGGGGCTGGGCAAGGAGTGGCACGGGGGGCAGGGAAATTCACGGCCTGCCCTGGGCCGGGAGGCGGGCGTGAGGGCCCCTGGGTGCGTGTGTGATGCAGGCGCTCTGCCCGATCCCCACCCCACGCCCCGCCAGACCTTGACGAGTGTCTGGTGCGGAGCCTGTGCCAGCACGCCTGCCAGAACACCGAGGGCAGCTACCAGTGCCTCTGTCCCACCGGCTACCGCCTCCTGGCCAGCGGGAAGAACTGCCAGGGTGAGCGGGCGGCGTCCTGGGACTGGCCAGGCATCCCAGCCGGGCGGGAGGGCTGCTCTCGGCGGTGTGTCCCCTGCCTCCCCCTGGCCTCTCAGCCTCTCAGTCTCCTTCCTGGTGAAGCAGGCTCAGCCAGCGCCCCTCCCACCGTGGGGATACCCGGGAGGTGGCCGTGGTGACACTCTCTGGCTCTCCACTTCCCAGTGCTTCCCGCCCTGCAGACTGAGAACCAGGCCGCCCTGCCTGGCTCTGCCCCTCACCCTCTGCCTCGGGGTCAGGGAATGTCCCCCTGGGAAGGCTGGGAGGACCTGGCATGCTGCCCACGGGCTTCGGGCACCCTGGGTGGGAGGTGAAGCCAGTGCCTGGTGCAACCCCCTCTCTCCCAGGCTCTCCAGCTGGGCACCAGGCTCTGGGTGTCCCCGTGGGGCCACCATCATGCCCTGCCAAGGCCAGCCCCTGGGACAGTGTGGGGGGCTCTGGGCTGGGCTGAGGCCAGGCTGGCTGAGGACAAGGGGCCAGGGGTGCTCCCGCCTGGCTGGTCGGGAAGGCGTTTCTCTCCCACTTCCTCCCCCTCCACCGATGCCTTCTCTGGTTTCCGGCTTCACTAACCTCTGCCACCCAGACATCAACGAGTGTGAGGAGGATGGCATCGAGTGTGAGCCCGGGCAGATGTGCTTCAACACCCGAGGCAGCTTCCAGTGTGTGGACACGCCCTGTCCCAACTCGTTCCGGCAGGGCGCCAGCCCCGGGTAAGGCGGGGAGGGGAGGCTTTGTCCGCCAGGAGCGGGCCGCTTCCGCTCTGCTCCTGCAGGCCGCGTTCAGGCCTTGCTGCTGTGCTCCCAGCATGGTGACAGGCAGGCCGGAGTCGGGAGAGGACGGACCGGACACACAAACACACCCCGGGCGGCTGAGGCGGGAGGCTCGGAGTGCAGCCCAGCCTGGGCAATCTAGCAAGACCTTGTCTCAAAAAATAAAAAGGACTGGAGATGCAGCTCAGTAGTACAGTGCCTCTGGGTTTGATCCCCAGTACCACACACACACACAAATAAAATATATAAAAAGGCACAGAAACTTGAAGACCGGGAGGCAGGAGCGCTGGGTGGGGAGTTTCCCGGACCTTACAAACCGGAGGGGCAGTGGGCGGAGATCCGGGTGCCCTGGCGGGGCCTAGCGCTGGTCTCTGAGCCTCCGCCCTGCGCTCTGCAGAAACAGAGCTGACTCAGCCGCGGCCTGGGGGCTCTGGCTCTGTCACCGCTGGGCTGGGGGAGGACTTGGGCCGAGGGGGCGGCACCTCGCTGCTCCTAAGGGGGGGCGGCACCGCACCGACTCGGGTGGTGACCGCGTGGCTCTGTCGCCCGTCGCCTGACCTCCGTGCCCCGCGCAGGACCTGCTTCCGCCGCTGCTCGCAGGACTGCGACGCCGGGGGACCCACCACGCTGCAGTACCGGCTGCTGCCGCTGCCCCTGGGGGTGCGCGCCCACCGCGACGTGGCGCGCCTGGCCGCCTTCTCCGAGCCCGGCGTCCCCGCCGACCGCACGGAGCTCCGCGTGCTCGAGCCCGACCCGCGCAGCCCCTTCGCGCTGCGGCCCCTGCGCGCCGGGCTGGGCGCCGTCTACACCCGCCGCGCGCTCACCCACGACGGCCTCTACAGGCTCACCGTGCGCGCCTCCGCGCCGCGCCACCAGAGCGTCCACGTGCTGCTCATCGCCGTGTCCCCCTACCCGTACTGAGCCCGGAGGCCGGGGACACCTGCGGCGGTGAGCGGGACGTCCCCGTCGGTCCCCTTCTAAGCAGCGCTCAGCCAGCGGCCTTGACGCGGCGCCTGGGGCGCGGCCCGCTGGCACAGCTGGATGTCGCCGGCCCCAGAGGTTGCCCAGGCCTCGGGGTGCTGGGCCCGGACACAGGGCAGCTGGACCCAGGGAAGGGGGACTCCGTGGGCCGCAACAGCTGTCACCCGTCCGCACCTGGCGCAGCCCACATGAACCCAGCATGTGAGGGTATAAAAACCGTTTCTGACCCACGTGGTTTCCGTGTGCCCGCATTTTGATCAGCTCGCTCTTGGCTGGGAGGGAGACCCTCCCGAGGGAGACACCCCCCCCCCCCGCAGCCGCCCCTGTCTAATCAAGAGCCCAGGAGTCGACTCCAGCAGACCCACTCCTCGAGACAGGGTGGTCTCGGGGACCTCTAGTTCAGTTTTCTGTGAAATAAGAATATTGCGCGTGGCACGCGCCTCTCATCCCAGCGCTGGGAAGGCTGAGGCAGCAGGATTGGCCTGAGGTTTGAGGCCAGCCTGGGCCACAAAGTCGAGTCCAAGGCCAGCCTGCACTACATGGGAAGACCCTGTCTCAAAGACAAAAAATCACGCTCATCCTCCTGTATACTTTAAATCATCTCTAGATACTTAAAATACCTAGTACATAAAGCCTATGTAGATAATCGCTACATCGTTGTTTAGGAAGCAACGGCAAGAACGAAGTCTGTGTATGCACGGTGCAGGCACAGCAATGGGGCCCTCAACTCACACACACTTTAGTCGCACACAACATTCTGGCAGCTCTGCACTCCTCTTTCCTGAGGGTCTTTATTTGTGCTGTTCTGGCTGCCTCAGTGTCCTGAATCAATTCAAAAACTTTTGCCTTGGGGTCATTTTGTCTTTGGGAACAGCCAGGATTCGCATGGTGCCAGATCTGGTGGGTAGGGTGGATGAAGACAGGGTGTCATGTTTTGTTTTGTTTTTTGGTACCAGTGATCGAACTTGGGACCTTGCACTTGTGAGGCAGGTGGCAGAACCACTGAGCTAAGTCCCCGGCCCATCATGTTTTTTTATAAGCTGCCTTTCTGTTGGATGGCACTCGGCAGCAGCATTCACTGTATTTCTGATCACACCTCCTGAAGACCCTCATGAAGGAGGACTCCAGAATGGCTTCAGAAAGTGGCAAGACTGATGAGATGAGATGAATGTGCTCATAGCAAGTGGGAGGATTTTGAGTGGAATTAATGGCAATGTGTCTGTAATAAATTCTGCAAGCTCACCATGTATTTTGATCACATCTGGTGTCGCCAGCCTGCGGATGCAGGGACCTCGGGTGGAGCCCAGCAAGAACCAGGGCTCCTTGTCCTCCCACCCCTCTGTCCTTTCCCATCCTCCTGGGCTGGTGACAGCCCTGCCTTGGTGACCTCCAATTGCCAGCTGCCCCCAGACACAGCCTCGGGAGCCCATGTCCTTTGCATGTGGTTCTGTGGAAGAGGGTTCCTGTCCCTGCCCCTAGCTCAGTGTGACACAGTCCCCTCCCATCCATGTCCCCTGTTCTCTGCTGTGCCACCAGGAAAGTTGTCTGAGTTATTTCCCTCTCCCGGTGCATGGCAACCAGATTAACCAGGAACTGCCAGCGATGCTGGGCAAAACAGAGGGCATCCCTGTCTTGTTTTCCAAAGCAAAGAAGCTTGAGGAAGGGGGCAAGACCCAGTTACTGATTAAACTGGGAGCCTGACTATGGCCTGACAAACAGAACCTCCCATGGGGCACTTCTGCTTTCAGAGCTGGTTCCCTTTACGCCACAGTTCTGCAGCCTTTTTTTTTTTTTTTTTTTTATAAACCCACATAGGAAATATTTTCAGCTTTGGGGACATCCAGTCTCTGTCACTTCTGACCTCTCCCTCAAAGGAGCAAAGCCTCAGATGTCCTACAGACAAATAGACATGTTGTGTTTCAATAAAACTTTATTTGTGGACACTTCATATGTTGAGTTCCTTGTCATCTTCGCATGCTATGGGGTTTTATTTTATTTTTAAGACTCGGTCTCACTATGCAGTTCAGGCTGGCCTTAAACTCATTAGGTAGCCCAGGCTGGCCTCTGACTTGCAGCGATCTTCCTGCCCCAGCCACCTAAGTGCTGGGATCACAGGTGTGCCCCACCACACCTGGCTTAGTTTTCTTTGGCTATTTTTCAATCACTTACAATGGAAAGGCCGTTCTTAGTTTGCACACAGCCTTTTACAAAAACAGGCGTGGCCTGTGGTTTGTGAACGCCGAGGCTTTAATCCCTCTCCTGGAGGCGGGAGTGGAGCAGGAGGGCGAGGGTCCCCACAGACCCCTGCAGACCCCATTGTCCAGGCCACCTTCCAGGGCCCAGAGGTCAGATCTTGAGCCCTGCTGTCCACTGGACTGTTAATTTTTGATGGAGCCAGGGACTTCGCAGCCCAAGAGGAGAGATATGATCTCAGAGTTCTAAGACCTGCAAAGCGAGGTGGTGGCTCCTCTCTTATCCCTGCTCTCTGTCTCCTTGCACCCTTGTGTCCCTCAGCCCTTTGGGTTTGTAAAACTACCATTTGTTGAGTCTTTCTGTCCATTGTCTTCTGAACTGAGTTTATTTCACGCTCTTAATATTGCAGATTGCTACGTCAGGTAGGAGTGATAGGCAGTTGGAAAGGGGCCAGGCCCAAGACAGACTCAGCCTAGAGGTGAGACAAACCGGGCCTGTGGTCAAAGCCTGAGTTGATAGAAAGGACGCTCCAAGATGGAGATGAGGGTGAGGCCAGAGCCTCCGCAGAGATAGATGGAGCTTCCAGCTGAGCTCTAACCAGCAGATAGGGTCCAGTGAGCCTGAACAATGTAGCACACACAAAGAAACAATGTAACACACAGAAAACCAATGCAACACAGAGAAACAAACAATGTAACACACATAGAAACAATGCAACACAGAGAAACAATGTAACACACATAGAAACAATGTAACACAGAGAAACAATGTAACGTGTAGAGGACCAGAACACTCTGAGGCTCCCCTTGTCCCTTCCAGAACCCCCTTGCTCTTCTTCTGCTGCGTACCTTTGCCAAGCACTTTTGTTTTTCCACTAGATCTATGTTAGCTAAGTGGCCACTTGGAATCCTACAGGCTGATGATAGTTGAGCCCTTGGTAGCCTGTGATGTGATTTCCCTGTATCAGAACCCCTAGACCAAGAGCCTCAGCCGCCACCCGCTCTCGGAAGCCTTCCGTCTCGCAAGAGCTTTCTCTTAATAAACCTTTCCTGCTCTTCACCTCCTTTGTCCTGGACTCCATTCTTGGATAAGTTGGGAGTTGCTTCCCTTTAATACTAGGACCTCCAGAGGCAAGAAATCGCGTCCACATTTCACCAGGAAGGGGGGCTCAGAGAAGGGGAGGCCCTTGTCTAAGCACACACAGCCTGGAGGGGAAAACTCAACCAGGCACACCCATCTTGTTCCACAGCCTAGGGCTGTAACTGCCCACTCAGGAGGAAACAGAGCCCAGGGGCAGGAAGACCAGCAGGGGCCTCAGGGAGTGCTGTGGGGCGTGGTGGCACACATCTGTGTTCTAGCACTTTGGGAGGCTGAGGCAGGAAGATTGCAACTTAGAGCCTGCCCCAGCAATTTAGCAAGTCACCCAGACTTTGTGTAAAACAAATAAACAGGCTGGGGTGTAGCTACCCGCGAAAGCCTCCCACACCTGCCGTTGCCAGAGCCAACACCCAGAGCGGCATTTCCTGTCATTGGCTAAGGGCCGTCCAGCCACCAACCCTGGTGTCGCCAGCCCCTCGTGTCACTGACCGAGGCACCTCTGCACATTGGGGAAAATAGCCCTGCAGGTCACTCATTAAACTCCCTTAGGCAGCTTTTTCCAGGAATCTGACAACTGGACTCTGTGTCCCTCTGGGCGGGGGCTGGAACCTGGGTCCAGCGGAGGTCACGCTCTGTTCCGGGGCCGCTGCCCAGGCCTGGCCAGTGGCAAAGTGGCCTCTGGTGCCAGTGGAGAGATGGCTGCATGGTGAGTCGTCAGAATCTCTGTGCATTCAAGACCAGGAGGTGCAGGGCCTTCGGTGGCAGGGGCCAGGAGGAGCCCTCAACAGGATAGCACTCAGGCTGTGTAGGGGATTTAGGAGATCGGTTCAGACAGAGGGCAGAGATGTCAGAGCCTGAGCTTTTTGTTTTTTGGGACAGGATCTCACTGTGTAGCCCAGGCTGGCCTTGAAGTCTCGGTGATCCTCCTGCCTCAGCCTCCTGAGTGCTGGGATTATAAGTTTGTGAGTGTGGGAAGCAGTGAGGTGCCTCCTGCAGGGGCACAGGTGAGGCTGTGGTGGTCTAGGCCAAGGCAGCAGGGTGGGGGGACGAAGGCAGGACCCCGGCCTTGTGCTCATCCATCAGACCTACACTGTGCTGTGCGGATATGACAGCTGATGACAAGGCGCTGAGCTGTGGTGGCGTGTGTGGGGTCCGAGTGGCATCTCCAAGGGCAGCAGGTGCCAGGACCAAGTGGCAGGGAGGAGCCTGACCCAGGGAGTGAGCCCAAGAGGCCTGTGGAGGGGACACAGCAGGCAGGGGCCCAGGAGGCGGAAGTAGGAGCTTCTGGCTTTGATCCTGAGAGTGACAGGGACAATCAAAGTCTTCCGTATAAATCATTCCATTCACTAGTATTTCGCTATATACCTCTAAACTGTAAGTTTTAAAACAGTAACTACAGCCAGGGATTTAGCTCAGTGGTTTTGCCGCCTGCTGCACAAGTGCAAGGACCCAAGTTCGATCCCCAGTACCAAAATAAATAAATAAATAAAAATAAAACAGTAACTACAATGTCATTCTTAGCATACTTTAAAAACCAACAGTAGCATCCAATTTCCTGTCAGTGTTCAAACGTCCAATTGTTCATAAGGTTTTGCTTTTGCACTTAAAAAAAATCAGAGTCCAAGCCAGCGTGGTGGCCCACATCTATAATCCCAGCACTCAGGAGGCTGAGGCAGGAGGATCAGGATGAGCTTGAGGCCAGCCTCAACCACATAGCAAGGCCCTGTCTCAAAATCAAAAACAAAAAAAGATTCTTAACTGGGATTTCATAAAAAATCAAGAAACAGCTTTTTGACACTCATGGGTATACACATCACATTGTCTTAGATGTACACTACTGGTTTAAGCTAAAACTTAAATTCACCGTGAATGAAGATTATCTCAAGATGTAACTGCCTATATAAATTGACCCGTCACAAGCAATACAATCGCTCATGGGTACAGTGATATGTTTTTGAATAAATAATTCTGAGCTTTAAAAAAATTTTTGGAGAGATTTAGGCAGTTATAAATAAATAAATAGAGAGCGACCGTGTTCATGGGTTGAAAAACTCAATATTGTTAATATGCTCACTTCTCCCAAGCTGATACATAGCTCTACTGTAATTCCCAATCAAAACCCTGGAAGGCCTTTAACATAAACTGATACTGCTTCTCCTCTTATGGACAAGAAGAGACATAACAGATTTATAAAGGACCAACGTTAGACTGGAAGACTTGCTCTACAGCTAAAGACACATGGTGCAAGCAAAAAGCTGGATAAATAAGGGAATGGGACAGAAAGCCAAGCCAGGTCTGCATTTATGTGGGCAATTCATTTGCAAGAAAGGTGCCCACCAAATTAAGCAAGGGAAAGGCTTCCATATTGCTAGAACAACTAGAAATTGAAATTGGAAAAACTGAACCGTCGAGGAAGGGTAGGTATGACCTGTTTGGATTTGTGTTTTTTGTGTTGGTTTGGTCTGTTTGAGACAGGGTCTTAGTTCAGGCTGACCTTGAACTTGTGGAGAAGCTCCAGCCTCAGCCTCCCGAGTGCTGTGATTATAGGCATGTGCCACCATGCTTGGCTATGATTTATGTTTTTTAAGAACTCTCTGGCCTGGCCTTCATGAGGCCCTGGGTTCAATCCTAGCTACCAGCAAAACAGTAAAAGCCTCTCTGGCTGTTGGAAGGGCAACTGGGGTGAGCAGGGAAAGCAGAGTGGGTCTGAGTGAGAAATGATCTGGGTCTAAAAGAAGGTGGGAGACTAGTATGGGAGAGGGCGGTGGAGAGAAAGGGCAGAGCCTGGACATATCTAGAAGACATGAACACCTGTGACGATGGGACCGTGCCTCAGTTTCTCCACCTGGCCAGGCCCAGGTACCTCAGTGCTATGAGGGACTCCACCTATTAGGACCACGTACCTCGCAGGGAGCAGAGGAGCCCTGACCTGGCCATGGGAAGGGGGCAGGGAGAAGGCCAAGGGTCACCCACAGTCCGGGATCCGGTCTGCAGGGGGGTTCGGGCACGGGCCGGGGGAGCACTGAGCATGCGCCTCTTGAGGGTGGGCTACTCAGCCAGGAGTGGGCCCTACGGCGCCAGGGTCCAGCCTGCTGCTCCATGTGCAGAGCCCTTGTGGCTCCCCAGAAGCGGGTGACCTCACTGCCTCTCATGTCACCAGTGCCTGTGCGTCAGGAGGGGACCGTCTCCTGGCCCGAGGCCATTTCTGCAGCTTGGACTAAAGGTCCCTGAAGCCTGCAACCCTGGGTTGTGAACCTGTCAGCTCGAAGCTGGCCTGGAGTGCAGGGTTTGGGCCAGAGCTTTGGGCGCTGGTTTCTCCTCCTGTGGTGCTGCTTCAGGCTGTGCGGCCTTGGAAAGATGCATCCGAGGTCTCAGGCCTGCACCCTGGGGACAACTTCATGTGGGGGAGTTGCAAAGATGGACGCTTAGAAAGAGACCCCTGGGCACCCAGACCCGCGTGGCTCACCCAGCCTCCCCAGGGTTTGGGCGCCAGAGGTGAGGGGCTCACGGTGGCCTTGGAGCTGCAGCTTGAACTGCAGAGTGGAGGCCGGCGGCTCCTCTCCCTCCAGAAAGGACCCAGCTGCTCTTCCCGCTGAGGCTTCAGTTGCTAGGTGAAGGCGTAAGGGCTGCGACAGGCGCGGGCAGCTGGCAGGACCAAGAGCCCGATGGTGACTCGGGGTTCGGAGCTGGCTGAGGACTGGGGCGTACCCCCCCCCCCCCCGCCAGTCCTGACCCGAGCAAGGCCTTGGGTGTCATCCTGGGGCCGGCAGACCTCCCCGGGAGACGTCCATGTAACAGCCTTCCGAGGGCCAGACACCACCGCAGTTCCCAGTTTCGCTTTACGAGCTGCAGGCATCCCTGCTGCCGGCCTCAACCTTCCCTGCCGTCCAATGGGTTAGCGGCGGGCGCGTCTCCTGCTCACCATTTACTGGGTGCCCTGGGGAATCTGGTCGGGTGCCAGTCTGGGGAGACAACCGAGCGCCGCCATCCGGGCGAGGGGTGCAACTCAGCCTCCAGCGCCGGCCGCCTCGGGGCTTCCCCGCACCGGCTCCGGGGGCTCCAAGGCGTGGGACGCGGGCGGCGGAGGAAAGCGAGCCCCCAGCTCTCTGGGCCTAAGGGGCTTTCGTCTCCACTTGCACCCCGGAGCCTTGGAACGCTTCCCGCGGATCACGCCGCCTGGACACCGGTCGCGCACTGCTGCGCCCTGAGGCGCCAGCCGCCCAGCCCGGTCGGAGCCCGCGCGCCGCGCCCACGCCCGTGACCCCCGGGTGGCTGAGCTGGCGCGGGGCCCGGAGCGGCCGGGGCGGAGCGGGGAGACGGGGAGGGGGGCGGGCCCGGGATCCGCCCCCCGCAGGTGGCCGCGGGCTCTGAGAGGCTGGCGGCGGGGGCCCGGCCCGGGGAGGAGCCTGTCAGCCTGTCGCGCGCCCCCACGTGCCCCGGCCCTGCCCCCCCCCACCCCGCTCTGTGTTTATAACCCCGGGGCGCGCGCCGCTCCCGGCCCTGCTCCTCCACCTGCCACCAGGGTAAGGAGTCCTCGGCGCTCGCCCTCCCCACTTCCCAACCTAGGCCGCCCCTCCCCGGGCCCCTGGCCCGGTGGAGCGGAGGCCGAGGCACGCACTGGCCGCCCTCCCCAGTTCCCAACCTAGGCCGCCCCTCCCCGGGCCCCGGCCCGGCGAGGGGCGGAGGCCGAGGCACGCACTGGCCGGGCCGGAGCGCAGAGGGGTGCGGGGCCCCTGTTGCTCACACGCGTGGACGCCGGATGCTGGCTTCTGGAGCCTGGCGGCCGAGTTGGGGGACCAGGCCCGGTGTCCCCTGGGCGGACCTAGGTCCTTCCCGGATCTCTCGGATCCGGCTTCCTGTGCACCATGGAGCTCCCAGATGGAGGCCCGAAAGTGGAGTGGGCAGGAGCTCGCATTCCCTCGCTCCCGCCCCGACTCGCCATCCGTCTCCGCCCCTTGTTCTGGGAGAGTTCCAGCCCCATCTTGGCCCCTGATCCTCCAGGGCTCAGGCGCTTCGCTTTCCCCCAGCCTCAGTTTACCCTGAGCATGTGGGCCCTGAGACCCTGGCGACCTGCCCCAGGGCCCTGGGTGTGAAGGTCCCGTCCCCGGGCGCAGAGACAGTTCTGTCCGGGTGGGGCACTGCCCAGCCCTGTGTCCCAAGTCCTGGGCTGGGCTCTGGGGGAGGAGCCCCTCCGGGAAACTCGGCTCTCTGGGTTTTATTGTCTTTGGCCCCCAGGTCGGCGGGGAGGTCGTCAGGAACGCAGAGTCCCGTCCTGCAGGGCCCTCCGAGTTCTCTGCTGCAAAGTGGGGTGCAGGCTCTGGGCAGGAACAGACCTGTCCTTCCCCAGGGCTATACCGGGGTGCCCTGGGCTTTGATCCCTCCTCTCCCAGCTCCAGGTCAGGCCATGCCATGCCAGGGACAGGAGGGCAGGTGAGGCCTCGCGTCAGCTTCCCTGTCCCCATCCGGTAGTGCTGCACCTGGATATGGAGAGGTCGTCCAGGGGGACAGTGGAGGCAGAAGCAGACACAAGGGGGCAGGGGGAGGAGCCTCTGTCAACTCCCCTCCAGTCCCCTTCCCTGTCCCTAAGGGAGCCACGACTCTGAGCACCCATAGGGTCCCAGGCTCAGGATGGGGGACTCCACTTCCCGGGCAGTCTCTGCACCTCTGAGTACCCACAGGGGCCCCACATCTGCCTCATGCCCTGGGCTTGTGGAGTCATTCACCCCAGGAGCCCGGGGGCAGAGCTCTGCCCCGCCCACCTGCTGTGCCAGCACTTGGGCAGGACAACTGAACACAGCCCTTGAAGTGGCCATGGGCACCCACGTGGAAAGAGCTTCCAGGGTGGAACTCAGGGGTGAAGAAGGCTCTGAGCTCTGCAGTAACACTTCGGGCAGAGTTGCGCTTCCAGCCCTGGCTCCTTTGCTTCTGCAGGACAGGTCCTGCCCCAGGTTGGGCCAGGCAGGGAGCAGATGCACTGTGATATTAGAATAAATAGACAAGTGTGCCCCTTTCTGTTAGCAGATGTTCCTAGGAGAACATTTGAGGGTCTCTCCCCGGGATCTGTGGAGACCTTCGTCTTCCTCCCTCCCTACTACATTGGGAACATTTTTGTTAAAACTAGAGACCAAAGCCCAGAGATTTAGCTCAGTGGTGCTGCTGCCTGCCTCAAAAGCAAAAGGTCCTGAGTTTGATCCCTGGTACCAAAAAAACCCCCCAAAATTAGAGACCAAACTTGCCGAAAATGACCCGGATCTGTCAAATGAAAGCTTAGGCCGGGCCCTGTGGAAGGAAGGTGGGCTGCCTTCTGGTCAATAGTGGAATTACAGCCTAGCTCCTTCAGATGCAAACGAAGCCTGCAGTATAGGAGCTGAAATCCTAGAGAGAGGAACCCCAAAGTGAGAGACTTTTCCTGTCCAGGCAGAGTCAGGCTGTAGGAAAATAACAGATGGAGCTCAGCTGAGCTGGGCTGTCAGGAGGGCTTGGGAGGAGCAGCCCAGGAAGCAGCAGCCATGCAGGGGCCACACAGAGAAATAGGGGGCGGTCTGTGAGGGGGCAATGACCTGGGAACCCTTAGGGCCATGGAGCAGAGAGCAAAGCTGCCTGCAGCCAGCCTGGGCTTGAAGCCACTGTGTCCTGTCACCACGGCACTGGCTTCCGGGCTCCTCACCAGCGGACAGTGGCCGTGGCAGTGGGCCCGGGGAATGACATTCCCATGGCCCGGACGTAGCCTCTGCCTTGTCACTCGAGCTCTGACATTTTAGAGCCGCGGGAGTTTCCTTGGTGCCAAGGGAATGCCCAGGCTGGCCTGGCCCGTGTTCCCTGGGCACTGGCCTGACGGCTCTGGCCAAGGCCACAGAGAATACCCCCCGCCTTGCCAACCGAGGCCAGGCTGGCAGGCAGTGTGACTCAAGGTCACCTTCCTCATCCCAGGCCAGTGTCTCTTCTGGGTGACGGTGTCCCGATGGCCTTGGGAGCAGGGAGGCAGGGGCATATGTCTGGGAGCTGGAAAAAACCTCCCTGGGCCCTTCCTGGAGCACGAGGGGCCTGAGTCTGTATTGCTAGGTGCCTCCTCAGGAAGGAAGCCTGGGGTCCTGGCACATCTGCATGGCTTTTAAAAAAAATTTTGGCACCAGGGATCGAACTTGGGACCTTGTGCTTTCAAGGAAGGTGGTGGAACTGTTAAGCTAAATCCCTGGCCCTGCGTGGCTTTTAAGTTGTGCATCTGGAGAAATTGAGGCCAGGAGAGTGAGGGTGTGCCCAAGATCAGCTGTGGGCCCATGCTTGGTGCCCGGCCCTCAGCTCCTCCCTAGCATTTCCCTGAACCCTGCTGTCGCCTGTGGTGGTCAGGTCTTCCTCACTCCTGACTTGCAGATTGGCACCCATGCTGGGAGAGCTGCAAAGACTCAAATCCAGATAGCTGCAGGCTGTGCCTGCAGAAAGAATGCTCTTCCTCTTCAAATCGAGGCCTCAGGTCCATTTAGATTTTGCCCCAGGCTTCAGCCTGGTCATCCAGTCCCTCCAGGCCCTGTGGCTGAAGAAGGAGGCCACTTCACCTCCTGCTAGGAGCAGGGTGATGCTAATTTAGGGTTCCATTGCATCACTTACTCAGCCCAGCTCTCACTGTATTTCTACTTTTTTTTTTTTTTTCCCCCTGGTAGCAGGGATTGAACTCTGGTCCTTGAGCTTGTGCAGCAGGCAGTGAAACCACTGAGCTAAATCCCCAGCCCTCTGGCTCCCACTGTATCTCCATGTGCACACACAGAGGTATCTCTTTCTTGTGTAAGCCTGACAGGCCACGAGTACACACATGCACACACACCCCAGCACACAGGCATGTGCAGACTGGAAGTACACACTTGGCAGGTGCACACGGGCACACAGTGCAGGCACAGGGCACTCTGAGGTGCACGCCCCTGGCACACCCATCCCTCATCCCTCTACCTGCACACAACCCGGAAGGCAGGAAGGGCTCCCTGGTTTCTGAGTGAGAGCTGGCTTACAGCCCACACTTCCAGGGGTCCCCCCTCAGCTCAGAGCTGGTAGAGTGGGGGACAATTGGCATTCACTGCCGAGCTAGGCCAGGAGGGGAGGCGGTGGGCCTGCTGGGGTGGGGCAGGGCCGGTCTGTGGAGCTCCCTGCCCCCCCAGTGCCCCTCTTGGCTCCGAGTGCCTGTGTGAGGGCAGAGGCAGGGGTTTCCGGAAGGCCCTTATCCTGGGGCCACATCTGCTCTCCATCCTGAGCCCGAAGCCCCAGCCCACCCTGGGTGTCCGAGCCGACTCATCTGACCTCACCTCACCCAACTCCTCCTTCCTGCGCCTCCCAGAGAGGCAGCCCAGCTGATGTGGGTGTGAGTCCTGGCTCTGCCACTTGCCAGCCTAGCAAGGTCTTGGGCAAGCTTCTTAACCCAAGCCTCAGTTTCCCTATCTTTAAGATGGGAGGCCCATGGGGGCAGGGCTCAGCTTATGTTGGACGGGTGTGTTTACCATCAGGACAATACATGCAATGGACACACCACCCATGCCATTGTACCAGCTCCCCCACGCATGCACACAGGGGTGGGAGGCTGTACATCCTTCCTGGAAGGCCGCCTGGGCCTCCCTGTGATGTCTGTGGGCCTGGCCAGACTCTCTAGCGCAGAAGGCAGGGCCCGTGACTGACTGGTGGCACCTGGGCCGCCGTGCCAAGCAGCTGAGCCGCTGTTGCTTTTGCAGAGTGGTTCCCTGAGCGGGAAAGACAGAGCGTGGACACCTGAAAGCTGCACCTCCAATCCCAGGTACTTCCTCCCTGCATCCTTTCGGCCTCCCTCTCCCTCCTTCACTCTAACTTCCACACCAGTTGCCTGGCTGCAGTTGCCATGGGCACCATCTGCTGGCTCCAGGTCAGGGCCTGCAGGGTCACCAACAGCTGGCCAGGGACTCGGGCTGGGCATGGTTGCAGGCTCAGTGGAGGGGAGTTGTGGCGCCCATCGGAACCCGCCTCGCCCAGCCACACTGTCCCGGGAGGTCCACAGGGCAGCGGGCAGAGCCTGGGGAGTGCGCCGGGGCCTGTGTATTCCTGAGCTGGGCCCCAGAGTCCCCATAGCTGCATATCCGGCAGATGGCCCGAGCCAGACACCTGCCACTCCTGGTCGGGGTGTGGGCCTGGGTTCAGACCTGGCCCTGCTACCTGCTCATCCCTCGGATGACCTTGGCAGGTGACCTCGCCTCTCTGATCCTTGGTTTCCTCTTTAGCACGGTTTCCTCTTTAGCATGGGGCAGTGACAGCACCCACCTGC